GAGCAAGAAACGACGCAGGGAGGTGAGCAAGAGAGGAGTGAGAATTTTACATGGAACGCAAAACATCATGGTCGTTGAGAATGAGATGGGTGCCGTAGTGAAACAGAGAAGAAGGCAAGCCATTCTGCACGATGACAGAACACAGCCAGAATTCATCAATGGGACGTCTTATTGGCTACGCAACGCCGTTCAAATTCCTAGTTCCGTATGAGGCCTTGTTCGCTGTCGCAGTGCTGCCGCCCATGTGGCTGAGAATCCGAAAACTGTGCCGATACTTCTTGCATCCGGCCTCGAACATAGGCCTACGACCAGTGCTACGACAACCCCCTTTTTTGCAATCAACGCAAACGACAACACAGGACTGCTACAAAGCTGCTGTTGGGGAGAGCCTCACAGTCGGTTCAAGGGCTTTCCCGCCTTGATTCCTTTTTTGAACCGCGGCTACGCAGGTCTATATCTTTGGCGATCTGGATTTGGAGGAGCTGCCCGCACGTGCGAAGTCAACAACTGAGGCAACGAACCGCTCTCATCATCTCGACACCTGCGACGGCAAGTCTTGCCGAACAAAAGTTGAAACGACAAGGGCGATGCAGCGGGTGAATCAACTTCAAAGCCCGACAGGAGCCGAGAAAACATGAGAAATCGCTAGCCTGGCCCGAGGAGTCGTATTCACGCCTGCAGGCTGCACAAGCCATGTGGTCGGGACATGTTGGGACAGATGCGAAACAACACTCAAGGGGGCCCAAATTGTGACCAATGCCCTCCCTATGGCTGAGCTTCAGAGGTGGAGCAAAGGCAAAGGCCCAGGCCCGTGGCAATGGAAAACTCCTCCGGCTCCTGCCACTTAGACTTAGGTGCCCGTCTCTTGAAAGGTCCCTCAGCTCGGATGCTCGGATTCTTCTCCCATGCTCGCACCAGCCGTTCGCCGAGCCAGTCCTGGAAGAGGGTGAACCTTGGCGTTTCAATGTTCTGAATAAGAGGGATTCAGATGCTTTCACCTTCCCCCCAAGCCCAACACAAGAGCTTCCGGGTTTACCACCACAAGGGCTTCCGGTGTGGGGTAGCAAATGCGAGCAGGCAATGCCCATGCATGCTATGTGGAAGAAAGCCAAATGGTGTGTGCACGCCTGTGCACGTGTCCCTGCGCATCCACATGCAAACTGCTGCTGCGATCTGAGCTCAGCAAACAGTACCCCAGCGCTAAGCTGCCTGCAGCGAACATACGAGATTCAGTCAAAGCACCACATAACACAACCCCTCCTAATGCCATCAAGTCCGCATTCGCCTGCTGAAAAAGGCAAAAAAAAAACGTAGCCTCAGCATTATCTGTCCTGAAACCCCTAAACTCTAAGCCTGCCATCAACAAGTGATCCGAACAAACTCAGGATCGAACTCTTGAGCACCAGCCTGCACATCAGCCAGGTCGGCTGGATTGATCGGCAGGCACTGTAGATTTCGAACTTAACGATTGACACACTCACACCACTCTTGTTCAATGTCTACGAGCATCCCTTAACGCCCTGCATGTGCATGTATAATGATGCGAGCGGTTGATGCAGAATTCTTGCACCGGTCTTTCAAGCTCACCGCTGATTCATAAACGGAGTCAGATGAAGAAAATTACTACTCTCAACGGTTCCGGGGCTCGTTTTCTATGAACACTGCAAGCATGCAATCCGTCCGCAGATGTCGAAACCCTTGCATGCCGTTATTGCTTTAGGCCTGGCTTTTATGTGACTATAATAATCTCCACTCAATTCTCAAGACAAGTCCCGCCCCACAATCCTGACCTCCGATCATTCCAACCAGCAGCGTGCCCCGGACCCCCGCTTATTCTCAGTAGAGGGTATTGGGGTATAAATCAAACCCCAATATTAGTCTGTGCTCGCATGCACTTCAGAAGAGGCCGCAAATGCTAGGGCAACGAAAGGAAGCAGAGTCGATAGAGCTCGGTCGTTATTGCGTGCATGCTCGGCAGTGTGGATGCAAAACCCTATGTATTGCCATGCAGCTTCAACCTGCAAGATGATAGCGTTCTACTGCTTTCCACCGGCCCACACAAATTCATCCTTGTCGTACCGTAGTACCTTGACCGACCTCGTATCACTTCATGCTTGGCCGCACCTATGACATGCCTACATGTTCCCTGTCTCTCTGTTTCGCTCCCTCTGGCACTACTTCCTCATGGTCCCACTATGTCAGGCACCATTACACCCATCATACCCATCTGGATACATCATTACACTATGGCCTTATCATGCCTGGGCGAGGTGCTTTCTCCTCTACACGAAAAATTAGACTATCAGTGCAACCTCGAGCTCATCGTGCTATAAAGAACTTCGGAAATGATTTCTATCTCTGGGCATGTCTTCAACAGACATTCAAGGTGAGGCTTCGAAGATTGCCGCTGGCGCCTGCAGGCTTGCTGCCGGCTCCTCCATGGCCCGAAAACAAAGTTGATGATGCAGACTTTGATGCTGAAGATCAGGATGACGATGATGATGATAACGACGATACCGACGATGAGATGTGTGATGGCGGTGTTGGTAAAGAGTGCTTGCATGTCTATGTTGTGATCCGATGTCTTTGCTGGGCCGCAGTATCGCGATGTCCACAACCAGACTAAGTAGAAATACTGACACTCGACGACAACGACAACTTCGACACTACAGCAGTAGCCGCAGCGAGCCAACATCAACAGCAACCAGCAACAACTAGGTATCAGATTCTGAAGGTAACAATACTACTAAGCAATTGGCAGCAGCTGGAGCCTTGCATTACATAGCTGAAGCTACAGTCCGTCCTCCACCAAGGAAGAAGTGGAAGGCAAGGCAGCAACCTCGCAGCAGCCGGCTCGCTTCATTACTTGTTCAATAGACGCAGAAACTTCCGGCTCTAAGTTGCGAACATCACACCATCAAGGGTGTGCAGGCACACTGAAGGGAGCAGAGGCTTCGTGGGAGCGGGTTCTAAGGCGTCCACCCGCGGTATCGCAGGGGTCCTTGGCAAATGCTGACAGAGAGGATCAACAATCGCAGATGACAAGAAGCGACAACCGAGGCCGTTTGAGGCTGGGACGCTGCTTGCGGCGCCTGTGCTGGTATCATGTGTTACAAAGGCAAGTTTCCTGGGCTGTACCCCACGTCACTTCACTTACTACTTCGACCTCAGATGCGCTTTCATGGGCGGGAATCTCTCTCTCCCCATCTCTCTATCGCTTCATGTCTCTATCTGTCTATCTCTCCATCTTGCTGTCTATCTGGCTAGCTATCCATCTATCAACCTGTCTATTTGTATTACTACTTCTGCCGGGCATGGGCGTTCGAGACCCTTTGGCCACTAGGGCCCCCCCATTATTTGATGGGGCTTTGGAGGAGTGTGAAGAGGCTGGTTTGGTTCCCCCTGGAACGAAGGTATGATACATGTTACTGTCTTACTTTGCTTTGCTAGGGGCTAGGAACGGGAGCAGTCGCTCTCTCTCTCTCTCTCTCTCTCTCTCTCTCTCTCTCTCTCTCTCTCTCTCTCTCTCCCTTTCCCTGTGTATGCATGTATATGTATAGATACCATGTATGTATATATATATATATGTATATGTATATATATATATATATCCACACATATACAAACAGACAGACATACATATATACATACACTGAATACCAAGAAACCGATAACATGCAGCGGGATACATAGATGGATAGATGGGTAGATAGACACATTAGCTGCAAGATAGCAAGCAAGCAAGCCTCAATAGTGTCTGAGAAGCACCAAGCTTACCTTTGGTTAGTAGGGAATGGAAGAATGGTAGTAATAGTAGTTCTAATTGTACCCCATTCCTCCATTCCCTACTAACCAAAGGTAAGCTGAGAAGCACCAAGTCCCCAAGCAGCGGAAACCAGATGAAGCCAGGCCTTCAAAGGCAGCTTCGCGGCGAGCTCAGCCTGCCGACATCATTGTTCAAACAAGACATCTCCCGGTGTCTCTGTGTGTGTACATATGTATATATATATATATATACATATACATATTAGAGACATTTGCTTAAGTATGTACATTTTCGGTCATGCATCTTGTATCAGTATTCTCGCAAAGATGAAGGACAAATACAATATCCTATATTGTCCGACACTCATCATACAATGTCGACCCGCCTGCCCGGCACACAGACGTCCGAAAAATCGCCGGCTGTCACTGACGCACGCTCGTGTTTGCCTTGCACCTTCCGCGCATACTGCTAGGCAGATGCCCACGAGCAGCACATTGGCGATCATGCAGGAAGCCTAAGGCCTAAGACTTGGTGAGACGTATAACCCGGTGAAGCGTTGTGGTGGTGAAACTGCAGTAAGGCATAACGTCCTTTGTCCGCGAACTTGTGCCTCTTAGCCACCATAGCTCTTATATGTTGGTTATACAACTTTACTGCACATCATGTGTGTGTATATATATATATATACGTATATGGAGTGCGGCGCTGGGCAGGCGAAAGCCTCCAACAAAAACTTTTCACTGCCAGGAGGACTGCCGGAAGATTGTGCCAGGGCCGCCGTTCCCTGGAAACCACGGGCAGGACCTAGACATATTCCATAGTGCGTTATATATCAAAGTATCAATATATCATCATAAACTAAGTATCATAAGTTTTATAATACATCTATCTTCTTCCGAACCACCCACGAACGAACCCTACCCCATCATTCATTCCAAAACTCTCCCCACCCCAGCGAACCGGACATGCACTGCAAGTCACTCAGCATAACAGGTTTCGCGCGGGTTGTCAGCGATAGGTGGCTACCACACAGTCAGAAAATGCAACAGACACAAGAGAGTTTGAAAAGGTATCCCTGCTCTGCACTTCCATGTAAAAAGCGGCCGCGCAAGCGATAAGACTAACGACTGGAGACAGGTGTGACAAAGGAGAAACCAACTTCGTAGAAACCGTGTTCGTGAGGGGCAACTCCTGGCAAACAGGCCGTCTGTTCTCCTCGTCCCCGGCTGCAGCCTTATGCGCCGCCTTGCGAGCATCGTTCCGATAACCGCAAGTTCCGCACTAGACACTGCACATGGCCCAAGCAGGATGGGCAGCCCATCACAGCGATATACAGATGCTTATGACTGTCCATGGCCGTCCCTTGTTCTCAAGATGGATCCCAAGCACCACTTCAACACGGAACTTGCTAGATTCACAACGGAGAGAACAGCCGATGCGAAGAGCACAACCCCCTTTTTTATGCAGCCTTCGCCGGTGCCAGTGGCAGCGCCCTCTTCGTCCTTGCTCAAGGGGGGGCATCCGCATGATCAGAGATCATGCAAACTGGTAAGTGCATGATACCGTGGCCTGCTGCCAAGGCTTGCCGGTGCCTGCCACAAGGTCAATGATGCCGCAGGCAAACTAGTTGCACCAGATGGACAGCAGCTACCGGCTACCCAAGAAACCGGCACTTCCCGTGCAGGCCGCCAGCTACCCAACTAGCGCGACCTTCGAGGAAATTCCATTCTCAAGACGGGCCCGGCGATGCTCTGGACTGGCCGTGTCTTCCAGATTCCCCGGCTCAATGCTCTTCAGGCAGGTCAACGGCAAGTGTCAGTTTGGAACAAAGCTACGGCTGCCTTGAAACTCCTGACAGTGACTGACAGTGCGTCAGCCCTTCGCGTAATCAGGACAGGCGTGCAGTTTTGGACCACCACGAAGATGTACTCGGTCTGGGTGACGCAGATGAGTTCCGTGCCCTCCTTTGTTCGGATCCGCACCTGAAAGGAAAGGCTGAAAACTCCGTCATGACAACGACAACATGCTCTCTACAAGTACCTGATAAGGAGTGCAAACTTTCATATTCAAGACCACGGCTTGAACTTTAATGGGATGTACCGACATGGTCAAACCGCCACGAACGGATTACAGATGTTATCAACTGGGCAGGTCTTAAGATCTCTAAACCACCAAGCGAAATCGTCCACAGAAGGTATCACTGACAGCATAGCCAAAGGATGTGAAAGGAAAGGCACGTTAGCAAGCTCAGATTCAGCGGGACCGCTGAGGAGTTCCCGCAGGCTCTTCTTGCAGTGCGCAACGAAATCCTTGGAGGAAGATGGGATGACACACTGCATTTACGTGGAGAAGGTGACGTGACCGTCGGAGGTGCAACTGCACACCACGAAAGTGCTGATCTGACGGCCCGGCAGACATAAGCGCAGCGTAAATCACAGCCCTCGCAAGTGAACGCTGTTTCCTTCTGATGGTGCATGCCAGCAGTCAGCCGTGGCTAGAAAAGGCCTTTCGTATGGCATGCTCTCGTGCCACTTGGTCGGGATGCCATCGGTATTGATCACGACGAAACCTGAACGCCAGAGGTTGCACTTTCTGGACTATGGCAGATCAGCCGCAGTCGATACGCATGTGTATGGGCATGTGCGCAGCTGTATGTGTTTATATGTGTGTGTGAATGTGTGTATATGTATGTGTATATATATATATATGTATGTATGGAGACAAGAACTGGAAACACATGTTCTTCAGGAGGTACTCAAACTTGACTTTTGTCCACGAAATCACACACACCTGTGCAACTGACTGTCTCATCACTTCCGGGAAGAAAGTTACATGAAAGTGCTGAGGACACACTCTCGCCGATTCACGAAATCCATGGCCGCATAATAAACATGATGACAATACTTATCATATACTACTGATACTAATACTGGTAATAATAATACTAATCTACTACTACTACTCCTACTACTACTACGACGACGACTACTACTACTATGCTTTGCCGGGAGGTGCCACAAACAAATCGACTTGTTCTTGCGAATGCAAACAGAACTCCTTGAAACCTTTCAGTACGGCACGAAACACAAGACTAGGAGCCTCAAGATGAGCAGCAATGTTTATTTCAATGGCACCTTTGCCATGATTGCGCATGATCTCGTGCGAAAAGAGATGTAAAGCTCCAGCAAAGTACCACCCGAAACCATCCCGAAACCTATCCTCGAAGTCAGTCTCTGAATTCCTAATCCTCCAACCCGACTCACCACCCGGACCCAAATCACAGCGTGACACCCCCCCCCCTCCCACCCAAATACAACACCAGAACGCACCGAACCCCAAACTCCAGGTGCTGCGATCTATCCAGCCACAGGGCAGGCGGCAATCCTAGACTCGGAGAAGTCAATGATAACACCGATAAGATACTAATTCTGCATAATATTACGAATAATAACAATACTAATCATATACTACTGCTATGACTTAGAAACCCTTAACTTCCGACCCACACTGCAGAAATTCATCGCGACTCACAGTCCGAAGAGCCGGTCACGCTGGGAAAGTCATTCAGGAATTGCTTCAAGACGGTATCCACCTGATCCCCAGGGACTCGGGTCGAGGATGGGTGGTCAAAAAGTTTAGGGTGAAACTGTATACCTTCACTACATCCTAAAACCCGACCCGGTGCTTCGAGTTAGCACCACAGCCTCGTCGGGCAGGTAACAAAGAAAAGGTGGGCTACACCAGAGAAGACAGCGCAAGCGCACACACCCGCACACCAACAAAAAAACAATGCCCATCTGACGCTTTCCGCCCGGCAAAACTCCGAACAACCGAGACAACCTGTGCGAGCCCACCCCCCCCCCCCCAACGACAATTCTATAAGCCGGTTTAGTACGTGTCTCGACTCTTTGTCAAACCGATATGTCGCACGATCACAACTGCTTGAGGGTCTTCGCAGGCAATCTTGGATTCTCCCGATGAACTGGTACCGGTTGTACCGGGCCAGGTCGTGACTCCAAGCTTCGCCGGAAACACCCTCCAGCCATCCGGTACAACCTGTACCGGATGTACCGGTACGTTCGCAACACCAACCTCGGGCAAGCCTGTGTCTCAAAGCCACGCCAATATTACCCACACGGGTTGAATCTACTTGTTCATAGGAGCAGGCGTCTGGCTGGGGGTGTCAAGCATCAGCATTGGTTCTGATCGGAGTTTAGTATTCAGCCCCGTGGTGCTGATGGCAATTCCGGCAAGGCAGCAAGGCAACTGTGTTCTTATCGGGTTACAGTCATACATCCCAGATTACCGGAAAGCTTGGGATCTTTGTGTCATATTATGTTTATGTATGGAAGTCTCAATACATGGCTTTAGGTGTGAGGCTTGAAGCCTTTGTTGTTCAAGAACCGTGGGACTTGTATGTGAAACACGTCGGGCACCACATCCCAAGCTTGTTCCCACATACCAAGACCCGCCTCTCACACTCTCAACCCCAACCTACTCACCCCAAACGCCTGTGCGCAAACCCAAAGGTGCTGCAAACATGGTCTTATGCATCTTTGCATCTGCGCTCTGTGGCTTTGAAGGATTGCAGAGCGTCCAACCATTTTGTTTAAAACCATAGTACTAAGTAACCCAAACCCACATCCAACTTCACCCCGAAACCTGCCGACCTCGGAAACCCCGACCCCACCCAAACAGAAAAACCCTCCACCCCCAACCCCAAAATCCTGAACCTTCAACCCCAAATGAGCTATATAGCACCTTATGATACCGTATGACTGCATGTCGCCTTGAGGTCCCTATATCAAGAACTACCCAAGGCCTCGGAGGTCTGCGCCCCTGCCATCCTCTGCCCCCTACCGGATTTGAGCCGGAAAGCTGCCAGGGTACTGAAGAGCTGAATTCCGAAGTTGGAAAGGCTTCGCCACCCCAAAGATACTCACATACTAACATACTAACATACTAATATACTACTATTCTAATATACTAATATACTAATATACTAATATACTAATATACTAATATAGCAGTATATTCATACACTAGTATTCTAATATACCAATACACTCGGAGAGTTCAGAGTGGCGGCTCCAGGAGCCTCTGTGGGTCTGTGTGGTAGCGGCTGCCTCTCAGTGTGCGAGGCAGTGTATGCAAGTTATCGTTCGAGTTTTCTGTGAAAGGTTCTACCTGCCTGCCTGAGCACTCCTTATCAAGCACCAATCTCCACAAAAACAGCCCTGTCTTCATCTGGGCATCCTTCTCTATGAAATCGGCGCAAGGCGCTGACATCTCCCATCCGTCTGTCCCTGGCCCTATCTTCAAGCAGCTTGGGGAATGTTAAACTCTGCTTCGTGAGCGGACATGTACACTTTACATGTGCCGACCGTGATCCCATGCACACAGCTTCATCTCAGGCCCTGCATGTCACAATATAGTGGCATCCTGCATCCCACGCCGGAGCCTGTGAAGCTGTGCCAGCTGACCTCGAAATCAATCGTTCCCATTCCCCCACCCCCCGCGCAGCACTTCGATGGCTCGGGCCGGTCCGTGCAGAGTACTGCACATGCCCGAAGTCAAAGCTCGTAGCCCAACAGTGGTGACCAGCAGAAGTACATAAGCAAGCACAGATTCACTTTCAACTTCGATGTTGCGCAGAAGTGCATTGCAGCTTCTCCGCGGAGAGGTCGGATGCTAAAGTGTCGTCATATCAGCTACGGGGGGTGATGTGCCATACACTGTGAGTTTGTCATACATGGTGAAACCAAAAATCTAAACAGGAAAAACGCATGCGCATCTGATTCCAGATCCTCACAGCGCTTCCTGAAGAACCTCCATATTACCCAAATTTGTGGAGAAATCGCTGCCCGAATCAATCTCGCCAATGTCACGATCCAGACCCATGGTTGGGTTCATAAGCAAGGCCTTCTGCTTCTCCTTGGTCACATCCTCCAAGATATCCACGAAGTTGGTATGAAAATCCACCAAGTATATATCATTCACGTCTTCGCCGAAAGGGTTTTCTAGCTCTTTGGCCACCTCGTTCAGGCACCAAAGGCAGGCATAAAGGAAAAAACACAGAATGGGCCCGACCAAGCCGCCGGTGAATACCACGACGTACACTGGAATAAGCACGGAGAAGGACGCCAGGAGCAAGCCCAACAACTGGGCAAAGGGCAAGGGGAAGGGCACATCGGCGATCTTGAGACAGTTGTTAAAACCGAGCATGCCATTTGAGAGCTCCTGATACATTCGGGACTGAATGGGAGGAGCAACATCAATGTGCCTCATGGCATCAGCAAGATCCCAGATGATCCAATACATCACCGTCGCCACTGGGTCGTAGGACTGCTCCAAAAGCTCAAGCTGCTCACGGGAAGGTTTCTCAAAAACCACATAGACGCTTTCATTGGGAGCGTGGCGATCGAAGTGCTTCCACTCAACCATATGTGGCAGATCGAACAGCTTCATTTCCTTCTGGATGCGCATCGCTCCCCGTGTCTTCGCCCACTTTGACCTGATATCTTCTATCAGTTGGTTGTCCCCAGTATGCAGCCGATCTGCAGCAAGCATGCTGAGAATGGCGAAGTTGGTCTTCATCCTTCTCTGCTTCATTTGAAGGCATTCGACCTTCTTGCCGTCTCCTTTGCTCACTGCGGCCAGGCGTGAGACCTCGGCGAAAGCCTGGAACTGCGTGAAAGTATCCGTCCATTTGCTGTACATGTTGTGAAGCTGGGTAACAGCCTCCCAATACCTGTTCCAAGCAAGCTGTGTCCTAAAAACAATTGCGAAGGTCACACCAGCGCCAAGAGCCTGGAAGCCATAGTGGTGCAGAACCGATGGCGCCCATTCCGACTCAATGTCTCTGAGATACTGAGTCAATATACCAAGCAGAGCAATGAACAAACTCCCAACAATAGTATCGCACCGATAGAAGACACTCCCATGTAGTTGCAGAAGAAGCCAGAAGCTACTCTTGTTGTAGTAGAGCAACATGGCGTCAAACACGAGATGGCACAACCATATTCAGGTTGCCCGTGAAAATTCCCAGGACTGTGGTGAAACGAAGGCCAGCCCCAGCTACTCCTAGCAGCTTAGACTGTCGATGACGAAGGGAGGCTGATGCACCTACATATGCAGTGTGCCATACGCGAGTACAAATGTACATCCATGTGCTTCTACAAAGACAACAACAATGGGTAGCTAGATAGGAAGGCCGATAGGTATAAAGATAGAACGACGGGCCGATGTGCGAGCGTGGGGTCTATACTGGGTTCATAATCACGTATATGTGCTTATGAACCGAAAGCTGCACAGCAGACTGCTACTACTACTACTACTACTACTACTACTACTACTACTACTACTACTACTACTACTACTACTACTACTACTACTACTACTACTATAAGCGAAGGGCAGCAGCCTTCAGGCAAGGGAAGACAAGGCACTGGGAGCGGGCTTGCCAGCAACTCAGCTACTCCTGAAGCCAAACCGTCGGCGGATTGCATTGTCGCGCATCACAGGAGATGCCTGAAGAACGTGGTAGACATACTTGGAGCTGGCACCGCAGTTTCGTCTGCGTGTACAGAAAGCATTCCTTGATGTAATGTAGGGGCCCGAATATCTAGATTAGGGTTTTGGGGCCACTGTTACTGTTGTGTAACTATAATCAGAAACCCCCAAAAGAGCATTGGCAATAATCAAGGCTTCTATATTGGGATTCCGGTGATCATGACCGGGATGTTCGTAAGATGTGACTCTTGGGCCCATGCGGCACAAGCGCAGCAGCTGCCAGTGCCTCTTATACAGCCGTCTGATGGAGCAAACGCACCTTGTTTGGGGAGAAGCTCCAAGTCCCTGACCCTGTAGGTATAGATGGCACAGTACAGTAGCTGGTACAAGTAAGTCTGTGAGTCTGTGAGTCTGTGACTCTGTCAGTCCGACGGAGCAAGGCGAGAAGAGAAGGCATCGTTCTAAGGAGTTCCACAGCAAGCACGCACGCGCATGGGCTAGCCCACCTAGCATGCACCCAACAACCCCCTCCCGGCCCGCCCACGGACGCACACATGCACGCGCACACACACGCACACATGCCCTGTGACACCCTGGCGGGCCGCCTGCTGGCCATACATCCTCGCCGTGTTGCCGTGGTGGTCTCGTAACTCCACGATCCTGTGAGGATTCCACTACAAGCATGGCGAGACGCCCTGCGGTTTCTGCCTCGTGCCCGGGACATGCATGCAGTCCGAATTGGTTCTAATGCTGCTGTAACATTGTAGCCTCCCGGCCGCTTTCGATACCGATACCTCTCCCCATACCTTCTTGGCATCCGACTGCTTCCCAGCGCGTGCAGACAGCCAACTCAACACCTCGCAGCAGCTTGGGCACGGCTTGTACAACAAGCGAACTTGAGCTTAATGCAGGAGGCTCAACTACCATAGTTGCACGAACCTGACAGTCATCGCACAGTAGAGCTTGGGATGCCGTCTCTCAAAAGTTGGACCCTCTGCTCGACATCCCTCCTCCGGCTTTGTCCATAAGTGGCGATCCTTGAAAGAAGCCCAACAATAATAAAAGCTGAACCCTAATCCCAAAGCCCTAAACCCTAAGCCTCTGTCTCGATCCCCTGGCCTCCTGAAAACCGGCGCGCCCAGCCAAGTGCAAGGCACTCCTTCCGTCTGAGGCGCATGGACCCCAGACTAAGTATGCTAAACGTCGTCTCTAGACCACGAATCCCAATCAAAATTCTTCGGCTCCCGCATGCTGTGGCTTGCAGTGGCTAGCACGATTCAGGGATTCTTCGGAGCTTGAGACACTGACCACACACTCCTATAGACTGGGAAACGATTTCGTCTGAGCTTCCTCTGCCGATCTCTACCCCTGAGGTTCGGCCAGCGTGCAGTATACTAAGCTATCATCGAGAGCATGTAGAATCGAACCCAGGCTGGTGGCCTGAACTTTGGGTGGGCTCCTGCTCTGACCTGTAGAATGCCACTCGGCAAAAGCTGAGTCCCCGGCTGCCCCTTGCGATTCAGAGTGCTTACCTCCGTGGCTTATATTGCCAGGGGGATCGAGACAGGAAGGCAGGACGAGACGTAGCAGGTGTGAGCCCTGTTGAGTCTGCAAGCGCGAATTACATGCCAGACGGATTCCAACCTTCATGTGCCACCCACCGGCTATAACAAACATATACATATGTATATATGTACATAGGGGAGGGACGGAGGGAGGGAGAGAGCGATAGAGCGAGAGAGCGCGAGAGACAAAGAGAGCGAGAGGGGGAGAGAGAGAGAGAGAGAGAGACAGAAGAGAGAGAAAGAGAGAAAGAGAGAAGGGGATGCAGGGGTGGAGCGAGGGGGGAGGGAGGGAGGGAGGGAGCGAGGTTCATGTATGCTTAGAAAGAGAGGGAAGATATACATTATATATATATATATACACATATACATATATCAATATCTTGTCCGTGGAATATCCCACAGTCGAAGCCTCCGCCTTCCGCTCCACGAGCAGTCGGCAAATCTCCCTGGCTGGCCTTGGAAAGGAGACCAAGGCACAGATCTTACTATATTAAACTATATAATGTTTGACTATAGTACAATATACATATATATTCTGTTAATTATATATACAAATTACATAATAAAAAAATGTGTGTGTATATATACATTATATATATATATAATATAATATAATATAATATAATATAATATAATATAATATAATATAATATAATATAATATAATATAATATAATATAATATAATATAATATAATATAATATAATATAATATAATATAATATAATATAATATAATATATATGTATATATATATATATAACAAAGTTTCCTTCCTCGTCAGACGCATGTGGGGTTTATGCTCTCACGCTCGGACACACCAAATGAGGTTTCTGCTTGAAGCTCGTTTCGGAGTTCTGAAAAAATTGCATGAGCCGAGGCCTTTTGTTTAGGGCTGGCACCAGGTCACCAGGCAGGGTTTGGGGCAACTTAGCGGAATGGCCCCTTTTAGCCCGCTGTTTTGGAACCCGTGCTAAGCCTGAGTGTAAAATGGCGGTCCTGCGAAGCCCTTCTGACCATTTTCGGACCGCTGCCAGCCGCTTCGGTTCAGTTCCCAGGAATTTTGCGAAGTGCAGCCGTAGATGCGCAGCAGACCTTCGTCCTCAGCACCTCGGTGCGAGATGGCATGGGTTTCGAAACGACATGGCAGCCAATTACGCGCTAATTACTGCGCTGGGCCTGAGTGATTGATGTAATCCAGATTTCTTTAAGACAAAATGCTGCCACGAGGCTGTTGAAGCAAGCGAGTGCCTCAGGAAGTGTCAACGATTAGTCCACGTTGCCTCATAACCTACCTGTATTCATGGTATCCATCTGTGGCACAAGCTACAGTAGCACTCTTCAAGTATCAATGAGCTTGGTGAATAAGCCGCAAAGCCGCAAAGAGGGTTTTAAGCACAGCAGCCCTGATAAAGCATCGGTAAACTTTGTTGCACGTGTAACAGTTACAGTTCCTGCGTCCCGGGATCCCTCACCCCACACCCTCAAGAGGGCTAGGATTGCGCCAAGGCTCAGCAACCGTCACTGCCCGCCAGCGTTGTGCTTCGCAGAAGCCCTCCGACACAGGCAAGTTGGCCAGGCAGTTGAGCAGAGCCGTCATGACCTACGGATTCCCCGGGCTGGGCCAAGGTGGCTGTAGGATGCGGTTTTCCCAGACGTGCATGACAACTGGGTTCTTGCAACCATACCAAAAACTCCATCCTTCCGAGATTCTGCCGCTTCTTCCTTGTGGCTCTGCGCAGAATTTCCAGGCAGCGAAGGCGGGAGCATGAGGATTGTCGACGCCTGTGCTTTGGAAAGCGGGATCGTGCTACATAGGTCCCCAAGAGCTTGAGATAGCCCAAAATTGCCTCGCGTTCCCGCAGCAGCACATGCGACAGAAACTCCTCTTCACTGGAAGCCGAGCACGGAAGCCACCTGTCCCAGACACGATCACAAAACTCAATAAAGTTACCTTACCGAGGCTCGATGGGGCCTGGGCCTGTTCTGCCTCGTGCTTACCCGTGTTCGTGCACCACCGGTGCTTAGACGTGTAGCAATGGAGACGGCCTGATGCCGTCGCGCCCATAACGATCTCGCGGTCCTGGTCGACGACCGCAACTGTAAACGGCCTGGGCCGGCATACCTGCTGCACCAACGATGTGATCGGCAAGGCCAAGCGGCGACTGCAAGGAGCATAGCACGACTCTGGGGAAGGGTTTCCACAATTCAGTTCCGTGTGTCTGCAAGAACTCCGCGAGACAGCTGTGCTCAGGTCGCCGACGTCTTCTCCGAGACAAGGACAAGCCTTGTCTTCGATGGGTCGACAAGTCACTTGCGCCAAGGGGATCGGAAACCATTGCCCGCCGAATCCTCCGCTTTGCGAGGTGTGCTGAGAGCCAAATGTCGTTGTGGTCCCCGCAAGCGGAGACTCGCCGCTCACTAAACTGCAGCGGCCTTAAGCCTTGCAGCATCTGCCTCTGCAGCAAAAGCCCAAGGAAGTGGCACAAAATGGGCCCGGCGTCCACGTGGCCTCCTCGTCGCAGATTCCGTGCCAAGGCCGGCCCCGAAATCTCCGAGGCCTTGTCGAAGTCGGAGTCTCTCAGCTGCAGCCAGCCATGCGCAGCGACGGCGGCACCGGGAGTTCCGGCAGCAAAGCGGAGTAGGTTCGTTATGAGCTCTGGGTGGTAGCTGTGGTCATCATCCACGGCAAGAATCCACGCACTGGGGTCTCGAACCAGCTTCGCAGCTGCAAGCAGGCCAGTTCCGGGCCCGAAATCCTTGCACCGAATAACCTTTAATCGCCTCCACCGCCGCTTCAGAAGCACGAGCCATGGCGGAAGAGCAGACGGATACCTTACAAGATTCTTACAAGCATTTGCCATCCGCAGTGGCAACCCCAAGTGCCCTGTCCAATGTACAGTGGCTCAGAAAAGTCTGTCTCGACAGTCTGCCCAGGTGCGCAGCCGAGCCGCCACCGCGTCGCCACGGACCCCGCGGGACAGCTAGGAGCACTTGCATAGGAGCCTTCTGCTTCAAGAGCGACATGAGGCACGACTTCAGCTCACGGCCGGATCGCAACCTTGGTGTCATAACCAAAGCCAAGCCGAGTGTCGCATTCGACAAGGCAAACTGAATCAACATGAATCAAGCCGTGAGTCCGGGATGGGGTGGTGGACAGGGCAGCATAGACCTCGAGCTTTCTGCCCGGTGCTATGCCCATGAGTCGCCATCCAGGTGATGCTGCCGTTGTAATGCCAGCCCTCAGAGAAGAATACAGAGTTCCGGGACATGCGATTCGATGGCTTCGAAATGGAGTCACTATGGCAACCTTGTTGCGGAATGCTTGGGAGGCCGCCAGCCCGCGGATGCAGCGTTCCTTTCGTTTGCAGCGAATCCTTCTACAGGTAGAAGAAGCCTTGCTGCTATGAAAACTATGAAAACTGCTCCTCTCCCACTTCTCTGGCAATCCGGTGCCTGACAGCAGGGGCAGCCAGTCCAGGACTTCCCTGCCCATGCCGCCAAAAGCTACCCATGGCTCGGGGAGGCGATGCCCTCTCGGCGGGGCCAAGCCTTCCAAGTCCCTTTTTGGGACAAGCGCCGAAGTTACTGGTAGCAAATGGTCTCGGCTGCGTGTGCAAGTGCGCGCCCGTGCGGCACGCATATGTACTCTCTTTAAGCACAGCCAGAGTGATGTGCAGAGGAATGTTTGGGGTGTGGGGCAACAATACGACATGATTCAGCCTTGATTCAGCCTGGCTTCAACCACCGGGCAAAGCGGCTGTGGTCCCAATGAAAAGAAAGACGACCAAGGCAATCATCACTTCACCCCGAAGAAACCATTCAAAGGACCATGCTACATTGGCATGCAATGTCGAGTGTGCTACATCCTCAACGGACGAGGTTGCAAGCCTGCAAAACCCAGGACCTCACTTGTGACCCATGATGCCCAGGATAGCCCTCCTCACAAGAAGCTTTGCCAACCCCGCACACGTTCTGTTCCATCGCCAGCTGCAGCTGCGCCTTCTCGCACGAACCGATGGCTGCACTGCACACCACGGTGTTCAGCGGAAGGCTGCGGCGGGCAAAAAGAGTGAGAAGAAGGAGACCACGCTGCCAGTAGAAAGCTCGCTCGTAGGCAGAGACGGTCGCGCCAAGGGAGACAACATCCTTTGGAGCCGAAACGGGCCGAAAGATCTGCCTAGGCCCGGCCTGTGACAACAGGAGCACACTTTATATATAGTGTATACTCTGTAAGCTAGCCCGACATGTCAAAATGCAATCTGGGCGGCTGCGCGTCTGCGCTGGGAAAACCCGGAAGCCGCCGAAGCCGCGAGGCTCCAGGCGCCCGCCTTGCCCAGGGCGCCTGAGGGTCAAAAGGACCCCAAAAGTAGGGACTTCAAGAAGTAAAGCACAGCATGATGTATATATATATATATGTTATTCGGAGGGCACTAGTCCGTTACGATCGGTGTGCATGCACAGGAAAAATGCAGACGGACTCCTTTTTCCGGATGGCTGAAAACCGTAGCGGTCTGGATAAGTGCCGGGGCCTCGGGCCGGACACAAAATCCAAGGGAGGCTGCTACGGATCGGTACGGGCACCGGTCGGGACGGGAACCGTCGGAGCCGGGTGCCACAAGGGACTTTGCGGGTTTTCTGAAGCCGGCCTACGGCATGCAGGAAAGGGCAAAGTCCAACCCACCTCGGAAATCCAGGCTGTAAGCTGCGGATTAAATCGCCTAAAACAAAGGCGGAGACCAAGGGGGAGGTGGCGGGAAAGAAAAGGCTAGCACACCGTCGGTATGCGGAACGGATGCGCCTAAGTCGAACGGCTGCGGTATAGTTACGACTTGCCGTTGCGAGCCCTCCGATTAACACAATACGACCCGTCGAGAAACCGTTATTCGGAGGGCACTAGTCCGTTACGATCGGTGTGCATGCACAGGAAAAATGCAGACGGACTCCTTTTTCCGGATGGCTGAAAACCGTAGCGGTCTGGATAAGTGCCGGGGCCTCGGGCCGGACACAAAATCCAAGGGAGGCTGCTACGGATCGGTACGGGCACCGGTCGGGACGGGAACCGTCGGAGCCGGGTGCCACAAGGGACTTTGCGGGTTTTCTGAAGCCAAGGTCTTGAACGAAATCCAGGCAAAGGAGTACCCGCACCGGGGAGAAAACATCCAAAGTCAGAAGTCCAATGCCGGAAAGAGGTCACGGTTGAAGGCGGACGCAGGAGAGTAACACGGGCGCGGAGGACGGCTCAACAGGTGCCATGGGACCAGGATCTCATCGGCAGGATTGAGTCCCAAGGTGCCCGGGTCGCGGGACCGGCTCAGGGCATCAGCAATCTTGTTACGGAAGCCCGGAACATGATCGATATGTGCGGAAATGCAGAAGTGACGCTGCCATAACAGGTAGGAGTGCAATAGGTCACACATACCGCGGGCAGTAGAGAGGCCTTTCCAGGAAGCCGATTCGGAAGGGCTGTTGTCACAGCGGCTGACGAAATGTACTGGGTGGTGAGCGGCCGGGACAACGAGAGCAACGCACCAGAGAAGCGCGATTTGGCCAAGGAGTTCCCAGGCAGCAATGAACTTCTGAGGGGAAATGTCAGGGGAATACCAAGCACAAAGTCGAGCAAGATCCGCAGGAGATAAGGCGGATCGGAACCATACCGTGCGGCCGGAGGGAAAAGCCACGAAGCCGCCCAAGCCCGCGTGTTTGCTGTCGGCACAGGCGTCAGCAAACGCCTCGCAAGTTAACAGCGGCGCGAGAGACAGCGGGAAGAGCGGGATGGTCTGACACAGGCAGGAGTGCCAGAGGTCCAAGACAGCTTTAGATTCCTGTGAAAGTTTCCGGTCAGAGTCCGGAGGGGAGCGGACGGAAATCCAGAGTCGTCGCTCACCGGCAAAGTGGAGAGGAACATCCTTCAGTGTATGAACAGGACGGGAAGCCACACTGACCAGGGTGCAGCCCTGGGGGCAACTAGCCAGACCAACAGATTTTGTGAGCACGAGGTCTTTGGACAGGGCTGCACGGAAGGATTCCCACTTGGAGGGGGCCACAGCAACATGAACAAGTGGAGGTAGGCTTTGGTCCCGATATAGCGGTGCAAGAGACGGCCGGAATGGACGAAACAGGGAACAAACCCAAAGGAGTTTGCCGGTGAGTTTGCGAAGCAGGTGTAGTGGAATCGCCTCCCCGGAACGGGCTGAAGAAATGAGAAGGCGGAGACGGGCCAGCTTCGGTGGTTCAAGCGTGGCGGTAAAGGTTTCCAGGGACATAGACCAACCAATCCAAGTCGGCCGTGCGCCCAAATAGGCTTTGTGCCAACTCATTGGGACACGAAGCACAAGAAGGAAAACACACAGCACAGCGGCCCAGACCGGCGCGGACGGACCGGAAAGGAGGGAGATCAGGTCGTCGACATAGATGAGCAAGGCATGGCGGACGAACAGAAGCCGATGCATGAGGCGTGACAGAATCCCCGCCAAACGTGCCCAGTAAAAGCCGGACGCGCGTGCACCGAAATTCAATGTCAGACACTGGAATAGGCGGCCGCGATGGAAAAAGCAAAGAAGGCCTTGATCGGCGGCCCGGATCAGTATGCGCCGGTGAGCCTTGCTGACATCCAGGATAAGTGCGAAGAGCTGTTCCAGGGCCAGACGGAGAGGAAAGCAGCGACGGAGGCCCGAGATGGTCGGGTTCGCAGACTTATTGGGAAGAGTGGTGTGTTCTGTAACACCGGAAACGCTGGAATCCACCACCAGGCGGGGGTCACGGTCGGGGGCCTTAACAAGTCCAAGCTTCCCCACAGCGGTGCGAGCATAGGTAGCGACGAGGCTGTCAAGACCGCCCGGAACCTCCCGCACCCATCCTTCAGAAACTTCGGTTTGAAGAAGGGAGTCAACAGTGGACAGGTCGGAAAGAGCTGATCCCCAGGAGGAGGAACAATGCTGTAAGTCCATGGATGGGTCCTTGGGGGCGGAAGCAGGAAACAGCGTAGGGCAGGCAGGCATAGGTTCGTCAACACCCAGAGGAACTCCCTCAAGTAGCAAGTCCACAAAGGGTCGATCCGGGTCGCGCGAGAGCTGAAGCAGCGCATCCAGAAGGAACAGGCGGAACGGTTGGCCCGGAGGGACCGAAAGGAGTGTATCAAAGTCAGTAGCCGCCAAGCCCAGGAAGGAGCGCAAGTCACCCAAGAAAGGTACCAGTTCGGACTCAGAAATAGGGGCATCCTTGGAGCCGGATGCCAGCCGAGCGCGAAACTTGGCAAGGAAATCCCCGGACAGGATGCGCTGAACCCAGAGTTTGCGCAGAGGGCCAAAGGTGTCGGGGCCGGACGGTTTGGACCAGGAAGCAGTGGAGCACGAACCGGCACCATCTTCAATCCGAGAGGAGGGAAGTGGCCAGCAGAGCTGAGGCTCAAGAAGAGCCGTTCCCCAGGAGAGGAACGGGACTAGGCCCACTGACCGGGAGAGATATGGTGCCATCAGTGCCGCAACGCGCTCGCAGAGACCGTCCGGGTAGCAGGCAGTGGTCCGTGTAAGGAAGGCACCGGACGAGTCACGCTTGCCTGCCAAGGGCGGGTGAGTGCCCGGCGGGTGGCAACAGGTCGAGGCCAGAGAGGAAAGGTCCGCTAAGTTTGAGACAAAGGTCCAGCTCTTTTTAGCATTCATGCCAAAAGTGCAAGCGGCAACTTCCACGGCGGACAGGCAGTGGTGACGGATCCAGGCTTTGCACGGGTCGGTGAGCCACAACAAGCTGCTAGATGGGTTTTCAAGCAAAACCAGACCACCCGAGAGAAGCACGAGAGTGAGGAGCTCCCGACAGAGCTCGTGCAGCTTGTCGGATCGCTGCAGTTCAGCCTGCTGGCGCTGGGAAGGAGCAGGAATGCCGTGCGGGTGTGCTGGTGTCCGGACTGCGGGCGGGCCACCGGGTTTGAGGCGAGCACGGCTAAAGCTGGAGCAGGGTGGGGCGGCAACAGCCACACGCACGAGGCCAGACGAGCACAATTTCCGCATGGACGACTGATGCTGGGGCAGAAGCAAGTCCACCTCTTCCCCATGAAGCACGTCTATAGGGGCAATGCGGTCGAGGCCAAGATTGGAAACTGCTTTAGAGAGCGGGGCCGAGCAACCTGAGAACAAGTCCAGAAACAGTGCCGGGCGAACAGGAGGATCGGCTGGGGAAGTGGAAGGGGGGGCCCGATCCAAGGATGGAGCTGTCTCCTTGGCAGGGCGTGCACACGGGGAGGGGGGATGCATGCCAGGGCGGGCCCCTTGAAAAGGTGGGCGGACAAAGGAGAAGGAGTATCGGAGAACCGGGCGGTGCGGCGAGCGACTTCTGAGTCGGTCCGACTCCGAGGCAGGGGCCGCCTGAGCCACGGACTCAGCCGGGGCGTGGTTTGAGATCTCCTCATCAGAGGAGAAAATACGCACGGCTTCATCGGCCAGGGCATCAGGGGGCGAGCCTTGCAACGGCGGAGCAGAGGCCGACAGGGATTCAGCCGCATCCGCGTTTCAGTGCGATGTGGCGCGGTGTTTGGCAGCCGTGTGTTTCTGGCCACAGGGTTTGCCGGAAGGGAGCGGAATCGGGCAGGAATGAGAAAAGCGGCAGGAATCCAACTTGCAACGGCCGAGTACAAAGCGTTTGCAAATCTCCTTGCCATTCTCGTCCACCTCATGCCACGACTCTTCCCACAGATCCTTGACGGGTTTCTTGCCGGCCGGCTTTTTGGCATCTGCTTTGGCTTTGCCGGTCGGTTTTTCCGGTTTGCCGTCGGTTTTGAGACGTTTCGTGGGCCGGTCCGGCTTAGCTGGCTGCGACGTGTCGGCCGTGCCCACAGTGCGGGTGGGTTCCCGGACCGGAGGGGCAGGCATGGACCGAGGCCGGGCACACAACAAAGTCGGAATCATGTGCCGGGTGACGGAAACCTCATGAATGGAATCAGACAGCGACCACTTCTCATCTCGCATGAGTGTGCCAACGGCAGCCCAAATGGACCGGTCGGCTGCAAGTACTTCTTGCAGAGATGGTGCCCGGAGGGAAGGGTCCAGGGGGACAGCCGTAGCGGATGCAATGAAAGACTCCGCAAAAATCTTGCCGATACGGAGATGCAGGTCACCCAGAAAAGCCAAGGCCGTGACCAGAATTCCAAAGTGGCGGCGAAGCAGAGGCTCAACGGGACCTGAAGTAGGCACGGACGCGTGAGCCACAACCGGGTCCGGAACATCATCCAACAAGGAGCGGAGGAGCTGGTTGTCCGACCTGGGTCGGCGATGTTCATAGAACGTCTGAACGTCATGCTCAGATGTCCTCAAGCGCCACGGAATCCACAGGGTTGTTGGCTTGTCCAACTCAGAGCGGAGGCGGTTGAGAAATTCCAAACTGGGTGTGCTCGACGGGGAGAGGACCTCTCCCGGGTAGGCCTCAATGAACTTCTGACGCAGCAACTCCGCCGCTTCGGCCGTGATTTTTGGGCCGGGCAGGGAAGGCGGGGCGCTCCCGGCAGAGGCAGGGGTCGACGGGGCAGGTGCCGGATGCACAAGGTCGCGCGCCTGCACCAGAAGGCGTCGTGCAAAACTGGCAGATGGTGTGATCCTGGCCGAGGTGTCGTTGGGGTCTGCCGGAGGCCACAAGACGCGAATCCAGTCGTCAGGGGAGCCATCCGGAGGGATAGCATAGGCAATGGTCGCGATGGTCTTGAAACCCTTTACAGTGAGGACCTCCAGAAGCTCATCAGGGGCAGACCATTGCCGGAGCAGTGCCACCAACGCAGCAGGATCGTCAAAGGCGGGTGTGCCAGAACTTGACATGTCGGAAGAGCAAAAAGTCCAGGCTGATGACAGGAAAAGTCCAAGCAGGCGGCCTACCCTGATCCTAAGAGCCTGAAAATGGCAGCGGGACGGAGGCAGTAATAAGCGGACAGAGGCAGGCAATCCCAGCAAACACGGGAGCAGGGCCGAGTCCAGGTTTTTTTGACCGACCGTCCGCGCCGGTGAATAGCACCGTCCAGGTGCGGAGTAATATGGGGGCCTGGCGGCCTCCGGCCAACCCCCTGATATGCAGCCGCTGAGCTACCATCCGAAGCGGTGGCATATGCGGCACGCGTGATTCTGATGCTGGCGTCTGCGGGTCGGATCCACCTGACGGCCACACACTTGTGGACATTCCGGATTGACGCATGGCAGTTGGCAATAGATCACGACCCGGGGCGGGCGCAGGATGCTCCCACAAAGACGGACCAGTCGGGCCAAGAAGCTGACCGAGCAGCGACGCAAGAGGTCAAGGAGTTGCTGGTCGGTAAAATCTTCCAGGTCTTGCAGTTCCGGAGCAGACGGCAGGAGAACCGCGCCATCACGGTCCCAGGCCGCTCGCACCGGACGGTCCCCAGGCCCAGCCGACGGATAACCATCAGAAGCCATGGCGGAAGAGGGCGGCAAAAAGGGGGGGTTGGGGCGGGGCTGGCTGACACAGAAAGCACGAGCTGGCACATGCATATGCAGCATCTTTACAGCGGGGCGGGGCATCAAGTCTGGCAGGCGCGGCGGAGGCAGAGCTGGGCACCCGCAGGCGGGGCGGAACACCATGCCTCAGAACAGAGCTGACCAACAGAGGCCCCACAGGCCGGCTTCACCCAGAATGGTTCCAGGCCCAGCAGAGACACGCGTACGGACTTTGCAGTGTCGGGCGGGCACGGAACGGGACGGTGCAAAACATTGCTGCGAGGGTTGTGCAGAAACCCATTCATGCTGGGCTCTCGCTGTTGGGAGCGAGGGGGCCGAGGCTTGGCAAAGTCATCGTCCGAACCCGAGGCCCCGGATTGTTCGGAGTCGGAGCTGTCATCGGAGAGGTCAGTGCTTTCCACTTCCTCCTCAGCCGGTTCCGGATGGCGCCGGGGGGAGCGCGAGCGGCCAGAGCGTTCCCGCGGCGCCATGCCACCCATGTTGCTATCAGGTGGCGGCAAGGACACCCGAAAGTCAGGCAATGGTTTGCTAGAGCCGCGGCCCACTGGCTGAAGGGGGCGGTAACCGGACCGGATTCGGTTAATGACCTCAGCCTGCAATGATAACATTGGGCCTATATCGTCTCGGCTATAGACCCGAACGGAGCCTTCCATGGAGGACGGACGGTGATGGCCTTGCAGACGGCGAAGCTCAGGGTCAAGGTTAAGCTGCCTGGCCCAGGATAGGACAGTGGCCTTGCAGCTGTGAACCCCATACATGGAGTGCTCAGGCGGGCAGGCTTCGGGGGAGTGCAGGTTCCAGTGTTCTTGCAGGAGGGCCCGGAGCCAGGGCATGGCGCGGGACCGATGCAAAGGAGAGACGAACACCGGAGAGGCAGGGTCAGGCCCGAGGACCGGCAGCAAGAAATCCACCGTGCGGTCCGGGAAAATGCGTTTGGTATCGGACACGCACTGCTGAAGAGCGTTAAGCCAGGACATGCCCCAACAAGCGGAAGGCGAGCCCGTCAACCCGTAGAGCTGGCAACCCCACGGCATGTTGGCCCGGCAGCTTTTTGTGCGGGTGGCGACACCGGTAAGGGCAGTGGAGCCAGATTGCAGTATCACCCGGGACGGGGGAGACCAAAGGCCGTCGTTCCAACGAAGAGACGACCAAATCAGGCACAGGACCGACCCCCGAAGCAGGACCTCGGCAAGCAGAGTCGTGGGATCCATGACGGACCGTTCGAGCCAGACGACAAATGACACGGAAAGAGGCAAGGCTTCACGTTTTTCCACCGGGCCGGTCGAGGAGAGAAACGCGGAGCAAAGCGGAGTGTGCAACTGTACCTGGATAGATGGCAAGCCCGCCACCTTGGCCATCCAACTCAAGGCCTTGAAACTGGTGGTGGAAAGGCCAGAAGGGGCGGAAGTCAACTGAAGCCAGGACGGGAGTGCACCGGGCGGCGGGTCGGCAGGATCAATCCCAGAAAGGATGCAGTGCCGGACCCAGGCTGACCAGGAACGCAAGTAAAGCTGCAAAGTGCTGGGGGCATTTTTCGCGATGGCACGTGCTTGGAGTTCCCGAGGCGCGGGTACCAGCTTGGTATGCAAGAACAGGGTGCAGCGGTCACCAAGCTCCTGAACAAAGTCGCAGAACATGTTGCGGAAGTGTGCCAAGGCGCGAGCAGTTGTGGATTCCATAGAGGAGGAATCGGAGGCGTCAGTGGCCAGTGGCAAAAAGCCAGAATGCACGAAGGGAGCAGGGGGAATCACAGAGGGCCGCGTATCCGGAGAAGAGGCAGAAAGGCCCCGGGGGTACGCCAATGGGTCGCGGGGCAGGCGGGGTACCCGGGGGCAGGATAAAAGTGGTGGGCCCAACGGAAACGTAGGAGCCGAACGTGCAGGGCGCAGAGCCGGGCAGCGAAGAGGCCAGAACAAGGGGAAGGGGGCAGGCCGAGGCCGAGCGGGCCGGGGGCGAGCAGCCAGGTCCGACAAAGAAGCACGGGACAGGCAGGGCAAGGCCAGCCCAAGGCGAGGCACAAGCAATGATGCAAGTCCAGGCCGGGTGAGCAGGAGGGACCGGCACGACCTGAAAGGATGTAGAAGATGCCGACGAACGGCTGGAATGAGGCGGTGCCGAGGGCCCAGAGGCCGGAGAATCACACTGACGCGGGGAGGCGTCGCCCAAAAAATCCAACCGCTGCGGGCGGGGCGGTGTGATCAGTGGAGCGGCAGCGGTCTGCTGCAAGGGAAAGCCATGAAGCAAGGAACCAAGGTCAGATGCCAGGGCCGGGTTGCCCGCAGGGGCCACCGGCGGATGCACGGGTACCTGGCCGGGGCAGGGTAAACAACAAAAAGCGGAACAACGAGCAAGAAAGAGACCGGCGCATCCTCGATGGTCTCCAGCTCGATGTTGGCCTGGCGGCAGGAAATAACAAAAGCCACAATGTCTCTGAAAGATCCAGGCAGGTGCAGCAAGGCGGGGAACCACGACTTTTTAGGCATCGCCGCAGCGGGGCCGGATCAGGCCGGCCGCGAGAAGCAGAAAAGTGCACAGCACCGGGCCTAGCGGGCCACCCCAACACGATGATCTTAGAAGACTAGTTGGAATATGGGCAATAAATGCACGGGGCATGCGGGGCGGTCCGGACCAGGTGCCTAGTACCCGTCTTGGATACAATATGGGCATTTGTGCCCGGTGTGATCGGTCCGGGAATGCAACATCACGGGCCGGAGGCAAATGCGGAGACAGTGCGGGCCCCGGGCCGGACAATCGTGCGAGCAATAGCCGCGAATATGCAGGTGAGACAGGACAGACGGAGGCTCCTGAAGCGGAGCCCAGCTGGGCAAGTCCTGCTCCTCAAAGCAAAAGAGGTCGGGCCAGGGCCAGGAGTCCGTGCGGATGAACGGGCCGGGCGTCTCAGGCAGGAAAATGCTCAGGCGCTCCCAGCCTTCGCTGATGGTCCAGGGGCCGGTATTGGCCCGGCGCGGGGTGAGTTGGCCCCGATCCACAAAGATCGGAGTGCAGCCGGGGCGGTTGGGATCCGAGTGGACCAGGGGCGCGTTCGGGTCAATGCCTGGCGGGGGCGGGCGAATCCGGGCAGGACGACACGCAGGCCATCGGAATCAGCACCAGCTGCGGGGGGGTTCTGGGGCCTGGTGCCATCGTTCTGGTCCAGACCGGCATGGATGGCGTCGGCAGCCTGTTGGTCCGGAACGGTGCCAGGTCGCCACGCGTCGTCTGTGGATAGCGCCCTCGGTTCGGAGGCGGGCCGGTCTGGGACATGTGCGCGACCGGAACCTCAACGTCGAGCTGGCCCAGGTTGCCCATGGCATAGGTGACGTCCTGGGCGACTTCGGCGATCAAAAGAAGAAGTCGAGTCACCTGGGACGGAGGCAGGTCGGCAAGGGACCGGTAAATGGCATCATCGTCCAAAGTGCACAAAAATGACAGGTCCGTCTCGAGGGGCGGCGGGGCGGCCTTGGCAGCTGCCGCGGGGGCTTTGGGAGCCGCTTCGGATGGAGCGGCAGCCGGCTTGGCGGGGGGGAAAGAGGGGGTAGCAGGCCGGGCCGGAGGAAAGCTAGCTTTCTTCTTCGGGGGTCCGGCGGAAGCAGCGGGCAGGCCACCAGTGGTAGGGGGGTGGCTGGGAGGCTGCTTCTGTGGCGCGAGGAAGTCGGCACCACGTTTGGCCGGGGACGGGGTGGCAGGTGGATCCACGGGGGGGGCCGGGTCCGGAGCCACGGTCGTGTCCTGGGCCGGAGCCTCCGTCGGGACGGCCTGGGCGTCCGGAGCTGGAGGGGCCTCGACATCGGCCGGAGTCGGGTCGACGTCGGACCGGATGCCAACGGCGGCTCCCACCACACCACGGGCCAGATCGCGGAGAGCGTGTCCACCAAAGCGGGCCATGATCACCGAGAGCGAAAGGCAGAAAAGGTAGAAAGCGTTAGAAGCTGAAAGCGGCTGCGGGGGGAGACAGGGGTCGCTCGAGCAAGGCGAGTCAAGCAGCCAGAGCTAGAGCATGACCGGAAACAGCTTGCAAGCCGGCCTTCGGGGGCGAGACCGGCGGACCAGAAGCCGGGTCAGGCCTGGGAAGAGCCAACGGGAAGCGAACGATTAGAGTGCATACAGCTGGGAACCATGCATGATGGAACGGAGCTGAGCACCAAAGGACCTCAGCCAGATATGGGCCAAGGCGGAAAGTCTGAAAAGGCAGGGTCGGCCTCCTGGCGGAGAGGCGGGACCGGGGCCGCCTGACAGAAACGGTCAAGAGGCAGAAATGTTAAGCCGAAGCCAACCTCGAAGACGAGGATGATGTGCTCGAGTACCGCCGGGCCCTACGCCGTCGGCGAGGCCGGGAGCGGGACGAGTCTGAAGATGAAGACATCAAGCCGTGACAGTCTAAAGAAAAGGCTAGCACACCGTCGGTATGCGGAACGGATGCGCCTAAGTCGAACGGCTGCGGTATAGTTACGACTTGCCGTTGCGAGCCCTCCGATTAACACAATACGACCCGTCGAGAAACCATATACATACATACATATATATATATATATGTATAGAGAGAGAGAGAGAGAGAGAGAGAGAGAGAGAGAGAGAGAGAGAGAGAGAGAGAGAGAGAGAGAGAGAGAGAGAGAGAGAGAGAGAGAGAGAGAGAGAGAGAGAGAGAGAGAGAGAGAGAGAGAGAGAGCGAGAGAGAGAGAGAGGGCCCCCTTTTGTAAACAGCCGACTTACAAATCTAACAACTATTCCCTGAAACCCTTCAAGCAAGACACGTGAAAAGCCTCTATCAAGCCGTGCAAGGGGCTGATGATGGTGTTGTCGGATGCTGCATCCGTTTGTAGCATGACAGGCACAAATCGGCGCAGGAGGGAAAGGGCACCGGTCCAACGCATGGCTCCTTCCATGGAGTCCAAAGCTGTGTTGAGTGTGATGATCTCTGTCCTTAGCTTTTGCACGGAGAAACTGCGGTCCGATGTGCGAGGCACAGGCTCAGGCATCCTTGCAATGGTTGTTGGCTCTATACTGAGGGCCCGTCTGCAGGGTCATCTGCCGCGACAAACTCAAATGCTGCACTGCCAATCCCCAGTCTCCAGAGGCCCCCCTGATCGCTGCCCCGGAGCTGACGACGTCTAATTCAAGCCCGTTTCCGTGTCCCTTCCGAGCGGTGTAGCAAAGTCCCAGCGAGAGCCTCCAAAGCTGGGCCTGGCCACAAGAACTGAGGACTGCGTTAAAGGCCACTGTGCTCACAAGGAGTGCAGTCGACCGGAGCTCGGATAGTAATTGAGTGGATTGCGTCCACCTCTGATCTTTGCCGCATGCAGTTGTAGCCGCTCCCAGCACGATCGTGTTTGCTTGGATGGAGGACTGCCGTAGAGTTTGCAGGAGCTGAGACGCACGAACCCAGCTTGCTGCACATGCGTGCACAGCGGACCCATAGATGGCCAAGTTACCTTGCAGGCTGGCCTGTCTTACCGTACCAAGGGCATGCATGGCCCGGTGCCACTGACCACTCTCTGCGAGTCCATTCGTAACGACATTCACCGTCACAGGCGTAAACTTCAATCCGAGGCGCTGAAAGGCCATTAACCGGTTGGAAATGGCCTGCCACCCTGCACCTCCTCCGCATCCACCACACGCCGCGTTCAGTAACGAGTTGCAGGTGACGACGTCCACTTGAAGGCATTGCCAAGTCATGGCAGCAACTACTTTTAACCCAATTTTCCACTCACTCGTCGCCGCGGACAGCGCAGAGCTGTACATTATCACATCAGCTCGCAATGAAGGATGCTGTAGCTGCAGAATGCCCAGGGCCTGCACCCATCTCCTGCAACCACAGCAGGCCGTGAGACTTTCTGTGCAAGTGACCATCGAGGTCTGCAAGGACCTTCCACGAAGGGCACTTGTCTCAAGGAAGGCTCGACGCCAGTCCAAGCCTTTGCTTTGGCCGTGAATCACCGTGTTCCAAGTCGTGGTGTCTGGTTGTAGAGCAAGCATAGCAGACATCAACCCCAAGGCTCTCTGCCACTGAGAGCTCCTGGCAAGGGCTGGGGGCGAGGGCCTAGGTATGGGATTTCGTGCCAAGCTGACGGCGCTCGGCTGGCACTTAACTCGGTTCAGCGGTTCAGCAGTCCTTGAGCCTGCAGCCAGAACTGTCGTGACTGCGATGATGTCGACCTCGATAAGCTCGCCCCGCATGAGCTCCAGCACAACACACGCACAGCGCCATCGTTCCGTTCTCGCACACAGCCGGAGCGCTGCGTTCAGCGCAAATTTGTCCAAACGAAGAAGAGCAGAGACGTCTGCTGGCAAGTCCATGATTGTGGTCTGCAAGCTTGCAGGGGGTCAGCGATGCCTCATTTCGACGCTCCATGGCACCTCCCTGACTCTGCTATCTGCTGTTGGAGCATCTGCAGCGGCCATGCTCCGCCACTTCCCCGGCTTCAGCCATCGCTGTCGACGAGGCAGGCAGAACGGAATTGGTGAATCTGGCAACGCCTGAGGCACGAGAAGCGTGACGTGTCGGCGTTCTGTGCGGGCATGTGCTACAGTAGAAAAGTCCAGTTGCCTTCGGCCTGTTTTGCTTGCTTCCATGCCCTGTTCGCAGTGCGAGGGCTGCAGTGAAACAGTGAAACGCTCCCCTGTTTTGAGAGAGGCTTCGGCCCATGTCAAATCTCTTAGCGCACTTCGTTGATGCCATCGCCACATTGGTGCCACTAGTAGTGTTGTCCTTCCACCTTGGACTGCGCGGTTAGGGCACTAGCAGAAACAAGTGCGAGATGCAGCCTGCAGCTAAGAACCTTTCCAACTCAGACAAGCGGCAAAATGAGCAGGGACCCAGTTGTCGACCGGGCTGGGAAAGCTGCCCACATGCCTTACGGATCTCAAACAGGGTCTGCAGAAGCTGCACTTGCCGTGACCCACAAAGGCCCTGCACTGCACTGATCTAGCCAGCTCCCGCTACATGTCTCCCGGTATATGTCCAGCAGCCCTTCTGCAGACACCGCAGGTGCTACAGGGCTTGGTGACTAAGGCTTAGTGCAGGCCTCCGGCCACAGGCAATGGCAACACATCAGAAGGAAACACTCCTCTGCCCCACAGCATGGCACTTCCTCAATGTCAATACGTCTTTATACCCTGCTCTGTTGTGTCAAAACCGCTGCGTCTCTACTTCTGCGCCAGTGCCCGACCGTCAGCACTTGCAATCGGGCTGCCCGTACCACATACCAGAGCTGGTGCTTGCCTCAGTCTTACGAGCACTCTACAGCGAAACACACCAAGCACAACAACTCACAAGAACTCGGGACTGCTGCAGCTGAAGACTTCTGCGTTGACTTGGTCGCAATGGCTGGCAAAGAAGCCGACTTCCTCGGGCTCAAACGCATCTGATCCAAGGGCCAGAGAGTCAGAGAGAATCTAGGAGAACCGAGAGAACATCTTGTCCAAAGCACTCCAGGATGTGACCGCCGTGGAAAGGGTTGAACCTGGGTTCAATTCAGCTGCAAGCAACAATATGGGAGTTTCCGCCAATTTGAGGTACCTTATTTTGGGGTTCTTCTAATAAGGATCCTACTATTTCAGCACTCACAACTAGACAAGCAGGTGAGGATCCGAGTACCAGAACGACCAAGCACATTGGCTACTCCAAGCTACATTGGCTTCAGAGTCTTCCTAAGGATCCTACTATTTCGGGTACTATATTTGGGTCCCCAAACTTTCGGAAACTCCCATATGTAACCGTAACCGTAACCCAAAGTCACACTAACGAGTTGACGAGACTCTTCCGGGGCACGTGGCCGCAGTAGTCCTGAACGTGCTTGGGTCCCGGAAATCTCCGGTGAGCATCCTGAGCCAAACTGGCCTAGTATCAAGTATAAATATTAAAACTAATACTACTACTCATACTAATATTAATATTAATACCAATATTAATACTAATATTAAGTCGGAACTTCAGTTCAAGAATGCTCCGGCAGCAGCACTGCTCACTGCTGATCGATGGACGACAAACAACAATTGAAACAAATTTCCCCAATTGGTGCAGACTGAAGGGAGACAAGGCGGGACACGGGGAGCCGCCTCCTGACCTATTCTCTCAATATTTCGCCTAGTCCAGTTTTTTGTGCACCCCTGTTCTTAAGAGTTGCAGCATCCAGCGGTGGAGGGCGCCTGTTACTTCCACAGTCCGTTTACTGTAGGGGTTCATGTTGACACAAAAGGGAACGCCTGCGTTTTGCATTGTGGGTGCCAAGCCCGGGCTTTCCGCGCTTGTCTCCCGCTCTCTCCCTTCACTTCACCCCGTTGGGGCTTCTCGTGGTGCAGTGAAGTCCGTCCGTCTTCGACGACATCGATGACGAGTGGTGTGGATGCTGATGTGATGCTGATGATAGCGACGGTACAGCTACAAGAAGGATAGAAGGAATTCCGGAGGCCCCCTCAGACGCGCCTGAAGTGGCTTCGGCGACTTCTTCTTGGTCCAGGTAAGGTCGGGGAAGGAGGAAACGCAGCGCATGGCCTTGGCTCTGCACGAGACGGCGACCGCTGCTGCCACTACTCCTACCACACTTGGAACTGGCAGCTGGCAGAGATGTCACAAATCGGAGTTTCTGAAAACAGGGGACCCTAATACAAGACCCTAAATAGTAGGATCCTGATTAATAGGACCCCAAAATCGGCACCCCTAGTTTTCGGAAACTCCCAAATCGTGCTGAAAGCCATGTAAATTTAATTTGGCTTTTGCAATGCGCTCAGGCTTCAAGCGCGCAACGTGTTGCTGCCATACACTAGACATCACGCCCGAGAGAAACACTACAGTCACAGTCTCTATCTATATCTGAAGCTAACTAGCTAACTGTCAACATGTAAATCGGCAGGTCGAGGCCAACTATCACACAATGGGCACGAACTTTTCACAACATATCTGCACCACCACCCCGCCTCCCCCCCGCCACCCCACCCCCATGCGTTCAGCAAGTCACGCACTCATCCTGCCGCTGCATCCGCTGCAGCGTTCGCGCAGGGAATGTCCTCAGCAAGCATGGATCTCGGCTCGCACCCGTACCAGGTTCAAGGTCTCCAAAAATTCAAGGGTTCCATGGGAAAGGACGGGTGCCACTAGGCCCTACTCTTCGAACATGGAGTTCGGCCCTTGAAACTGCGTGAAGCTCGACCAACTCCAGCCTTTCAGCGGAGCCAGAAACAACCACTGCGTTTGTCTGCGTTGGCTAAGCGCTCTGCCATCTCCCCTTTGCCTTGGTCCTTGTTGCGCGGTTCGCCTTCGGCTGCCTTGCATTGTTGGCTGCTTGAGCGTGGTTGGACTCTCATTGCGCCTTGGAGGTGGAAGCATGTGTCTTCTGCTGTTGATCTTGATTTGACGACTCCGGTTGTTCCGCAGCGGAACCGCCACGACTTTCTGCAACATTAGGTCCGTGTTGGTTGGAGAGCTTGGTGTGCGTCGCGTTGGCTTGAAAGTGGCAGGCATGAGGTTCGCGGTCTGTCTCTTCGAGGGGTTGGCGGAGCTGCTTTCCCTGATGTTGATTGGGAGGACGTGAGGAAGTGGGCCTTGAGTGCAGCTCCTGCTGCCACGGTGGCTCTGGGAGCTTCCTTCAGTCCTGCGACTTGGCGTGCTGTGAGTGGTCGTCCGGAACACGCGTCCTCTTGTTGCGTATGGCCTGGGTGTCGTCGTCTTGGCACGTGGCGGCATATCACTTGGGAATGTTCTTCCCCTGACGCTCTCCTTGACAGGCCTGCTAGGCCCTCTAACCCGTTTGTGGCTCGTTTTGGGTGGAAGGTCAACAGCGTCTCTCGTGATGCTACTGCTAAGGTTCGTCGTCATCTGGTCAGGTGTCAGAAGCAGCTGTGGGAGTGCACTCACTCTGCTCCGCGAGAGGAGGCTTGAGCCTTCCTGTAGCAGCGCCCTCGGGGTGCTACTGCTAAGGTGAGTCGAATTGGGCTGATGCACTGTGCTGTGCGGCTCTACTGAGGAAGCTTGAGCGGTTGCTCTCGCTGTGCCTTTGAAACCTTGGCTAAGGTCCTTCCGCAGCTAAGGACTGGCTCTGGTGAGCCCCTTCCCAGCTAAGGACTTGGTGCGTTGGTGGCGCGCTTGTCCTTCTTCCTCTTCTTTCCGTTCTTTCCGTTTTTGTGCGACGTCGACCTGCGGCGGCTGCACTACAAAGCTCTTCTTCTTCTGCGTTTGTCTAGCTTTGCCCATTCGCTGTGCTCAGCGACGCACATCCGCCACCCGCTTTCCTAATAGCCCTTGACCGAGACTCTGTGATACAGAGATCATCCCCGTGAACCTCCTTCCCCCAGACCCCTGTCGCTGCGAGTTGCGGCGGCGGAGGGGCCATGGCGCAGCGAGGGCCTCTCGGCAGTTTCGCAACCCTTGAGAGGTGAAATCGAGCCGAAGGTGACAGCACTAAAAGGAACTACTATACTCTGATGGGGGCTCCTTATTATATAACTAAAGCGTAAAGGGTCCCGAAACCCGATCGTCTGGTATTGCTACGTATAAAAAGGCCCCTAAACATATGGGTTTTTGCATTTCGGGCTTTGCATCGATACGCACCCGGGCCTGGTGCACCCAGGGCACGGACGGAGAGTCGGAGAGCTGTGGGCCGGTAAGGGGTAGCGAACTTGGGCCAAAGGATACGGTTTTTTGTTTGACACTCACACTCGGACAAAGCCTGCCAAGGATACGGTTTCGGCGCTCACACTCGAAACAAGCCAGGCGAACCATAGGGCTTAGGGCTTTTTGCTCTCCAGGGATGTTTTTTGACGTTCACACTCGGACAAGCCTGGCAAGGTCTGCAGAAGTAGGTACGACGACTTCGTTTGCTGCAAATTCCTCCAGGGCTTGGGGTTTGGGGCTTATGGGCCAAAGGGTACGGTTTCGGGTTTCGACGCTCACACTCGCACAAGGCAGGCAAGGCTCCACGTAGTCCACAGTAGTTCCACTACTCAGGGCAGGAATAGGGTTTAGGGCCATAGGATCTGCCGGCACACCGGGAGCAACTCAGGGCGACGAATCTGTGCACCTTGCGCGAAAAAGAGAGGTGTTTGGCCGTGTCGGTCGGTAGCATCAACCTGCAGTTTGTCGAGGGGCCACTGCATGTCAGCAGAACCGCCTTCAGCCCTACTGTTTGCACACTCTGGAATTGGCAGAAGCTGGGATCAACACATCTGCCCTCGCAGATAGAAGTACCTTGCAAAGCTCCGCATTCCTCAGTTGCCCGTGCATGGTGCAAGTGCAAAGCGCAATAGCAACGGCCTTACCAAGTGTACGGCCAGTTGGGGGCACGGGAACAGGAATCGGAACAGGAATCTGCTTCGGGCTCGTTCCAACGACTTGATGCATCCGGTGCTGTCTCAGGCCGCATCCCGTCAAAAGCGGCGATGTGGAGAGGGGTGACCTGCGTCGTTGCGTCCGAGAGGATGCCATGGCCCAGACATCTACACAGTATAAGGTAATCTCAAAAAGGAACTACAATAGGGCCGATGGGTACCAAAATACTGTAATCAAACTAAGGAGCCCTCAAAATAGCATAAGCACACAAAGTAGGGGACTGCATCGGCTGTAGAACGCCTTCACGGCTTTACAAGGTACCGCAGTACAACGACCAACGACACCCTTGGAGTAACGCACAGACGGACATCTGCGGGCGCAGCCTCCAGCGGAATACTCTCCTTACCTTTGGTTAGTAGGGAATGGAAGAATGGTAGTAATAGTAGTCATAATTGTACCCCATTCCTCCACAAAGGTAAGTCTCTGAGGCGCTGGCGCCTTTGGCATCTGAGTCATTAACGTTGGCCTTTGCTCTCAGCAAAAGCCGTGCCTGAAGCCCAGGCAAACTGCAAAAGCACGCCCTTGGGGAGACCAGGAGGTGATGGCGAAGCGCTTGAAAAATCCGACTCTTGAGTTGGTGAACTGGAAACAAGGATCTGACGGGTCGGGCCTACTTGATGGCGAACTTCGAACACTCCCACATCGTAAGCACAACGCCAGACACCGAGTTGTGGACCAGGTCAGGGCGGCCCGCGCGCGCCACGGCAGACACGGGTCCACCAGACCTAAGTCCAAACGCCAGGCAGGGTTCAGGGGTGCAGAGACGAGGACATGGACCCGGGCTGGCACTTCTGATCATCTACCTAAGAAATTCACCTGAAGAAGCAACAAAACAGTTTACTGCGCGAAAGGGGCAGCTTCAGAACCAAGGGGTTTTTGAGATTTCCTTCCATTCGTGGGGAAGAAGAAGGCTTGGTTCGTGGCCGGCCGGCAACAGCAAACCGCACGATATGTCCAAAATCTCAGCACTTGTCGTCATAACTTTCACCGAGTTGGCCATCATCCTTAAAGCCCTTCTGGGATTCGGCGGCTTACAAAGCGGGAAGCATCTAGGTAGATTGGGCCCGTCCCCTGCACTATCAGCACACCGAGTGCGGTGCCCAGCCCAAGTATTGAGCGGATCGGGCGAGGCCTGTGCAGCTGGCGAGGGACATAATATGGAACCGCTACGACTGTGTCGCCATAGTGCCTGCAACATCAACAATGACCGCAAAGGGCATCATTGCAGCTACACTCGACAACTTCGACTCGGGCAAGACATCCGGAGTTCTCGGGGCGAGTTATCGTCACTCTCCTCCTTAGCGCAGCTGTACGCAGTAGCAGCAACAGCAACAACACCAGGAGGCCTATTGGCTCACCAGGCACTCACTAAGCGTGAAACTGGCCTTGTGACTTAGACCATGACTGAGGGAGAATCTAGTACTCCAGCTGGCTGCCCTGTAGACAAACAACTACTACAAAAAGAGCAGGTTTTGGACGGACGCCTTCAGAAATCGCTGGAGCGTTCGGACTTGCTGTTGCTCGTCGGCCGGCCCACTGCCGTCCTTGCGAACATTGCGATTACTACCGCTGTTAAGGTAAGGGAAGCCACTTAAAGGATCATGGGACTTAGTAACGAGGGTTACAATTAGGGTAACTATACTTACAACATCTTACAACCCCAATTAAGGTACTTATAACCTTACTTACTAAGTCCCATGATCCTCCAAGTATGTCGTGGACCAAGATTTGTGGAAGCCAGCTACCATGACAGCGACGGCGTGACACCCCAGAACATCCCGAACAATAGATTCGTCTGGACCCTACCCCGGTCCAGAAATGGCTCCAAGACCTGATTTAAACTTCGCTCGTCTGGCTCCTGGCACAGCGGGAAAAGGCAATCGTGGTTGGCTTCAGACCCCTATTTCGGTTGAAACCTAGGGCAAGTGTGTTGTCTGCGTGCCGAACCTTTCTTGGAGCCCCTGCCACTGGATCGTATTTTCTATTGGTCCCCGCAACTATCGGAGACGGTTTTGTGCAGACGTGGTGCCAGGGTGGGGTTTGAGAATGTGGATGACGAACACTTGCTGAGATGATGGCCAGCATGACAGCAGGCAGCATCCCTCTTGTTATCATGCTCAGAACCTGCTTTCGTCCCCGTCGCCGACATCATGTACTATCGGAAAAACATGCCAAGATCCACGACGAACTAGACTGGAGGACATCAACAAAAACTGCGCACACCCTTGCGAAACAAAAAACGAAACCATTGCTCTTCTGCAGCACTGAAAACCTTGGGATGATCTGCTCCTCAGCCTGTGTAGGCTGTGAGCCATCTTCACCCAACCTGACAGTGAAGAAAACGAAAGGGTCCGCTCATGGATCTACTTGCACTAGCCAAGGAGCCATCTTATTGTTACTATTCATGGATGCTACGGTGGTAGCGGCATGACTGTTCCTGCTCTGTCTGCTATCATTGACGCAGTAATTGAATTGTCGCTGATATTCCGTTCCTTGCAGTCCCCGACAGAGCACCTTACACAAACCCTTGGTCGCTCCTCGCGCCTGGGGGCGGATGCGCTGTTCAGGTTGCCTGGGCGGCGGCCGCCTCAGCAATGCCCATGAGAGCATCTTAACGTGTGAGGTACGGGTACATTGCTGGCGACGACGACAACGACGACCTGCCCAAGCTGCGCACCACCAAGGATAACGGGACCTCGGGCAGAAACGCCGGATGCCGCCCCGCCCGAAACTGTGTTCCTGCACTCGTAAATGTAGGCACCCTGCGTCGCGGACTGTCCTCGGGCGCAGCACTGCCTGCGATCTTTTGCACACTCCGGCTGAAACTTTTACTGCTACTGCTACTGTCACAGTGACTGCTTGTGCATGCGTTTACCGGGGTTTTTATTGATACCGTTCTTGCCACTACCACTAGTCCGTGATTTCGCTTCATGAGCAATGGACGAATCTACTCATGCAACTGGCCACTACCATATCGTCACCTCTTCTAGATCTGCAGTTGTGGTTGCCGGTTACTTCGTTGACTGCAAGCATTTCAGGTATTGGTTGTAGACATTGATGGCTGCACACCTCCTGTGTGGAATTGAACCGTCGCTATAAGTACCGCTACTCCTACTGCGCCTTACTATTGTTGTCTGTTGATGTCGCCACAGCTTTCAGGAGACGTAGTTGCCGTCGCAAGTAGTTGCGACTGGTGGTGCAGGAGTAGGTGTAGCAGCAGCTGCAAGAGCGGAGGGCAAAGCTCGTCATTGTCTGTATGCTCGGTGTCAACCATGGTCCTGAGGTCTAGTTTGCTGGAGGCAAGCCTTGGCTGACACGGTTGCCTTTGGTCCCGTACGGATCCACTAGTGCATGTCATGGACAAACATTCGACTATAAGCAAATGGTGCCTGACAGAATCGAAGCAAGGTGCGAACCACACACAACTCCTGCACTGAGCTGAGCTGCTTTTTCAAAGCGATGCAGTGGACGATCGACTGAAGCAGTCCGAGGCGTTACAGGCTCGGAGAAACCTCTCTTTCAGAGGCTCGTCGCCATTCACTTGTCCTTCTTGGTCTCCTGCTCTTTGGCCGATGCTTGCGCTTCACCTTCCTGCAGGGTCACGGATCACAAAGAGAAATGGCTGAGGCTGGCATTCTAAGGTTACTGTAAAGGTGACAACGAGCCGAAACGTCTCGGCGAGCGGCCACGATGTCGTAAAAGAAATTGAAGGCGGCGCGTGCCAGCCACACCACGAGATGTGCCTGACAGAATGCCATCACCCTCGGGTCCCAGCAGAACGAGAATTAAGCCTATGCGAATGCTGAGGAGATGGTAAGCATGCAGCACGTGTTCTTATGTTTCCAGCACAACTTACGCTTGGACCTCGAGTTCAGTATCTGAGACGTCTTATGCGCTGATAGGGACCCAATAAGGGACCATAACTACGACAACCACCTATATCACATGCAATCCACACAACTGGCTTCCTTTGGAGAGGCCTGGGCCCACACCAGCACAGCCAGCAGCAGCACAACGAAGACCCGCCCAGGATACCCCAGCATTGCCCCGGCTGTCCGGTCCTGTGGTTGTCGGCATGCGCCCTGGCCAATATATCGATCTATCTTTGTCTTTGTATATACATGTGTAGATACATATACATATATACACACACACACATATATATATATTCTATTATAAACTATTCTATTCTATTGAATTCTATTTTTTCTGTTCTATTAAAACATATTATATACACATACATATACATGTATGCATATATATATATAGTATGATGCCGACATCTGCATTGTGGATGCTTTGCCCAAAAGCCGGAGGCTCCGCATTGAGGTAGAGCGTCACAAATTTCTTGGCAATCCAGAGGGCATATCCTCAACTGAGGGACTCAAGGGTGCGCGTGGCTCTGCAGCCGGCTTCTTGCGATTCCTAGCGATCAGCCGCAGGCATCCTCGAGGAGTGCTGCTCATTCTCCACATCCTTGCCACACGTGGAAGATGCTCGGGCAACCTCGGAAAACATGTGGATTTGTGCGTACTATCAGTCTATGAGTATTGCAGCATAAGGGAATATAAAATCTGAACGAGAGCAGGAGCTTCTCCACTGTCAAGTAGTGCGCATCCTCGACCCAGTGATCGGAATCGTCAAAGACCACAACCTAACGTCAGCCGACTGTACGGAGTGCCATGCATGTCGCTATGTCAACCAAGAACAGCATCTGGGCGAAAACCTGAGAAATTTGTTGAAGAGTCCGTACGCACTGAGCGCATTCTAGCCAGCAGGCGCGAGGAAGGTGGTTTGGCAAAACGCCGAAATATGTGAAGCCAGGCAGTGTTCCATCAGCAACACCAAAGAATCCTTAGCTGCGCGACGGGCGCAAGCGTCCGAGAATACTGAGCTGCTTGACGGGGCTCTGTCTGCTTCGCCATACGTGTACACATCTACTTGGCCGACCCGCTTCGGCTTCATGACCTTCAGCGCGTGCTTGCACGGTAGTATTGTTGTACATTCGCTGCACGCTTGTAACACTCTGCTTCGTCTGATAAGTCTGATAGCTGATAGCTCCCGACAGCCTCCTTGATCCTTGTCTCGGCCATTATGTTTGTTTCGTGGTCCGTGACGTCCACGGCTATGAGAACCTCAATCACCACGCCAGAAACATCAATCCACGCACATCCATGCACCGAAGAGTCCCAACATGACCCACCAAACGCACCCTTGAGCGGATGAAAGCAGGCTTTGCCGGCTCGGGGCTGAGGGACCCGAGTTCAAAAAGAAGTAGACGCTGCTGAGCCCGAGCTTCGCAATGCCAGGGAGCCGGTGCCTAAGCGCAAGGCAGTGCAAAGAAGAAGCGGAAGTCCCGGACAAATCCCTCTCGGCCTTTCAAGACAGGAGAAGCCCCACAATCCTCGTCAAAACATGTTGTTATGAGGCAAAGCTTCACACAAACCCTCCTAAGAGCATCGACAAGGCACACATTTGCTTCTGTCTCACCTTGCACATGCAGTAGTCACGTCGCCGAGATACGTGGACACCCACTTGAGCAACGAGTGGTCGTTTTGAATCACCTGTAAAGCCAAAGGAGCGTGGCATGGCAGCACCGGCATAGCCAGGCGAGGTCCCGCCGAGTATCCGGCTTAAAGACTTTGGTTAGCTTGAAGTTGAGTGGGGGAGGGTTCACACCTAAACCCTAAACCCTTCGGCAAGAGAGAAGGTGAGAGAGGATCTGCACGCGAAGCCTTCACCTGAGGAGTACCTCGCACGGAACCGTCACGTAAGCAATAGCGTAGCGATGGTTACAACAACCGCTTGGATTTGGTCGTTTGACGCGAACGACACGACGGCCGAAGCTTCGCAATCCGACACGGAGGAGCCTCTTGTCCCGCCGCTGCCGCAGCAGGCCTTGCCCTCCCTTTCCTTAGATAGATCTACTATATAGATTATATAGGTGCATACATACATATAGATGGATAGGTAGAGAGGCAGGCATGCAGGTAGGCAGGCAGGCAGTCACATGGATTGGTAGGTAGGCACTCATGCGTAGGTACTGTAGCAGGTGTTGGCAGGTGGATAGGTAAGTAGGTCTGTAAGCAGGTAGGCAGGCAAGCAGGTAGGCGGGTAGATGGATGGATGGATAGATGGATAAAAATATCGATAGATGGATAAATACTAGATAAGTAGGTAGGTAGATAATCACAAGGATGGAGGAAAGAAGATGGAAGACCGAAGAAAGAAGATAGATGGTGGAAGCTACAAGAAAGAAGACACAAGCTAAACGATGCAGACAAAAGGTGGAAGACATAAGACATGAGACGTAAGATATATGCTACGACGGAAGTACAAGAAAGAACATCGAAAACACAACAGAGAAGAAAGGAGATACAAAATACAAGATTTAAGAGAGGATGTAGCAAATGGAGCATCAACACAAGATAAGAGCAAGTTTGCGACGCAAGTACAAGGTGCAAAGAGACAACAGCATATGAGATGGCACAACAGATCTTGTGGGTGCTCAAGGGTCGAATCGCATCCTCTGCATGTCTCTGCTCGGTAATGTAGGAACCGGGTTGAGAAACCCCGGTCATATAATCCCCAATATATTAGGATTCATATAAGGAACCCTAATAAGGACCCAAGGTTTCTTAATCAGGTTCCTACATTAAGCTTCAAAAAGCCTTCCAGCAAGCGGCCACAAACCCTTACAGTTCCAAAGCGATCTTCGCTAGGACCGCGATCAGTGCCTCAGCGCTACACCATGCCACAACTCAAGCCGACCCTGATTTCCCCCCCCCCCGCCCCAAAGTTAGGCTCTGAATTCTCAAGGTTCCAAAGTGCCCAGGCCGTGCCAAGTTTCACTGCTGCCCACTGTGTGGTCGCTGGAGCGTACACCACCACCTGCTCACCTGAAGCACCCCCCCACCACGGAACTAAAACTTGTGCCAAGTGTATGTTACATAGTATGTGCATTGCTTTTTGTTTGCTTCCCGTTTATATCCTTTCTAGAGCCAGTTGGAGCACGGGCGAGGCAAGTGGCATCTGACAGATTCACGGCTGTGAGAAGCAGTCTGGAATGACTCGTCTCGAGGTTCTTCAAGACTGATGTAGAGCGCTGGTGTGATCCTCCTTTCTTGGAGCGTCGTCACACTTCTATAAGATGCCCTTGCAATCCTCATCAACAGAGCAAGATTTATCTATCAGGGGTATACAGTATACACTGTTCTCACAAGCATACCGTGATTGGAGGGGGCTTCGTGATATCTGCACAGGGTCGCGTCAGCTCGTGCGTGGGGATGCTGCGGTTCAACATACTTCACTTGTCCATGTGGGTTGTTGTCAAAATTCGGGTCCCATTTTTGGGGTACCCTAAAGATTAGGTGCCGTACTATAATAAGGACCCGAAAAGAGACCCTAATTTTGACAACCACCCATGTAACTTCCTGTTGGGGAAATCATTGGAGCTCAGATGGCTCCTCGAAGGCAACAGCAAGTACTGACACAGACAGGGAAGTGTCAGGGTTTTTAAACTACGTGGAACATGCACTGCCACCCACTTTCGGCTGGAGCTTTCTGCTGGGCGCAAACCTGTTTTTGAAGATGTCGCACCACGAACCGATGACATCCACGTCGCATTTTGCGAATTCATCACGTTCTCCGAGTACAGGGGTCCGACTTCTAGAAGAGCCCGAAAGCTCCCTGCTCGGCACCCCCCCTTCCGCCTGCTTCGGGCTGCAGGGGGCACTCCGCAGCCTGGAAAGCCCTCATGGAGAGCTGGTGCGTCACAGCAGCCTCGATGCAGACCGGAACCAGGAACTGCCCTGTAACCTCTGGCGGAACGACAAAGACAAGCCCTGAAACCCCAGAATCTCAGAATCTCGCACACATTCGGAAAGCCCGGTAGACTCTAGACTCTGGACGATGCCTCGAGGAAACCGCGAGTCAGCGTGCGCGAACAGAGCAGCAGTGCTGGCCCTTCGCCATCCAACGAAGCCAAAGTCGGGCTGGGGAGGCTTGTGACCTCACCGCGGAGTCGATCAAGCAGCTGCGGAGCGGTGTACGATGGTCCGTGCGCAAATGCAACCAACGCTGGGCCTGCCGAGTCGATTAAGGCCAATGCAAGTGGCTGCATCATGCGCTTCAGGAACTGCGTCATCGGTTCCTCCAGGAGCAGAATGTCTGCGGTTCTGGCACTGCCAAAGCATTGATGGCTCAATGCAGGGTCCTTTTCCCAGACGTTGCGATATCGAGCAACTCCATCTCCCCGCCTGCAGCAACGGGCCCAAAGCCCCACCTCACTCTGCACGAGTTGCCCGCTTCGATTCTGTGCGACTTCCAGATCATTCCAGCTAGTCCACCTGTGTCTTACCGGCTGTCGCTGATCGCACACTCGTGCCCATTGCCTGTAGGGCAAACGCCGGCCCTGCTTCAGCAGCGTCTCATGTGGTATCCACACCAGCTGACCGCTGGGGCCTTCCACCTCGATGGCTTCAGAGCACGATCTTCTGGAATGCTTTGCATACGGCTGAGGACTTCGACATCCGGCACCTGAACGGTCATGTCTTTGCTATCCGTGGCTTTCACCGTGACTTGCACTCCAGCCAGCGCGCGACGCGCACCGTCACGCTCCTGCCGAGCACAGGGCAGGAAGACCTGATAGATTCTTCAAGCTCACCTGTCCTTGCCAATCTCCGCTAGGCGGCTGGAACGCAGAATGAAATCGATGTCAGTGTCTACGACCTTACATCGCCATGGCTGCAGCAAGCTTCCAATGCCACGCGACTCATCCTCCTAACATTGCCGGCTCCCTTCAAGCTCCGAGATCACGACGAAAACTTGATCCACCAAGTCCTCCAAAGGAGCGCTTTGTCTCCAGAACAGGAAGCCAGGGAAGCCTTTCAAGTTGAATTCGTTCTGAATGCTGCCCTTGCCGTGGGTGCAGTCTGCGTGCGCAAAGAGTACCTGAGGCTCTGTCGTGCCAACTTGGCTAAACAGAAACAGTAGCATGTACGGCAGCTTCGCTCGAGAGGCAAGTCGCCCCTTCTGACCGGAAGTCCTCCGCAACGCGGTCAAGCTCCGGTAAAGCTTTTCGGCAATGTGGGCAGTTGGCATCATGCAGAAGGAGTGCGACATTGGCGGCCTGCCGCTTGGTGGCAAGAAAGTCCTCGGGAGAACAAGTCAACCTGCTCTGTACCTACCCTTCTACTTGCAGATCTTGCAGAATTAAATCGCACAAACACCTGTCATTTACATAATTACGTACAACGAAGTGCATATACTCATGTGCATGCACGCATACACAAATACACAGGCAGATGCACATGCATACATCATGCAAGCATGCATACAGATATACCTACGTACATGCATGCATGCGCGCCATGTACGTTTCCACATATACATGCATACATATACCTCCCACCGATCTATGTACCCACGCACCTATGTACCTGCATACCTACGTACCCGCATACCTGCTTACCTGCATACGCGCGCAGTATAAACACACGAACACACACACACACACACACACAGACAGCTCGCGCTCGACCGCGTCAGGCGAGGTTTAGTTTCGGGGAGACGAACACTTACTTACTTGGTTGCTTGCTTGCTTGCCTTCCTGCCTGTATGCTTCACTGTTTCCTTACGTGCCTGTTTACTTTCCCACAGAGAAGTACCTACCCACCTAACTACTTACCAAGTAACTATCTACCCACCTAAGCTAGCCTAACCTCACCTCACCCACCTGCGGACCGACCTACCTACCGACCTACCGACCCACCCATATACCGACATTACCAACAATTGGAGGGAGGGGAAGGAAGGTGGGGCGACGCATAGGGGCGCACCACAGCAACGTACACTCACACATACACACATACACACATACACACATATGTATATATATACATATGTGTGTATGTGTGTGTATGTGTGTATGTGTGTATGTGTGTATGTGTGTATGTGTGTATATATATATATACATATATGTTTATATGTGTGTATGTCTATGTGTATGTACAACTGTGTGTGTGTGCGCGCTCCAATACAGCCCATGCGCCGCGTAATTGCACCGGTGGGGACAGACGAGTAATGGTGGGGGAATACAGCTCACTCTCACCATCGCGATTCGCAAGCAAGACCAGCGATTCCAAAGAATAAACCACATAAAGCTCGAAATTACGTTGCCGCTGTATAAGCCCAAAACCCCAGACACTTTAAGCCTTGAAACCGACAACCCGATTTAAACCTGACATACATGCAGTCTTGTACTACAATAAATAGATACAGCAACAGACAAGAGCAGCAATAACAGGAGATCCCAATCCTACAGATCCCGACCCCAAGTGCAAAGCCCTGCAAAATCCGTGTAGAAACCCTTTAAAAGCCCTGAAGCTTTTTGTTAAGGACCCAGTCTCCAAGATGGCCTTGGGAGTGCCCTCGATCTTTGCAAGGCGTGTGCTCTCCCGAGCCTGGTTGTAGAGCTCGCGCTCCTCACAAGCTTGCTGCTTACTGCTCGTGGCACTCAGTGCTCTCAGCATGTGTGTGAATATACCTATACGGGCATACATACATACATACATACATATAGCAACTTACTTGTTAACTACCGTGGTCGGTATTCAGATTCTGTGCGTTCTACTGTTGCGGCTGCTGCACTGTTGCTGCGACTTTCACTCAGTGTGGCCATTAGTTGTATGGAACAATCCAGGCGAGGTTGTGGCGTGGATCGAAAGATAGTGTCACCCTGGCAACTGAATCTCTCTACTCCCAGTACACCGAGTACACTGCCAACGCCGCTCTGCAACAGTGAGGCCTACTAGTATGGAGGTTCAGGGGGCAGTTCTGGGCTCGTGCCATCGTTTCTTGGACCCTCTCTTAACAAGGCGGGAATCCCGAGCCTTCCACCTTTGGAGCCTGCGCGCGAGATCCCAGCTTTCAAGGCTCGCTGCCCAGCTTCAAGGCACAGTTCAGAAACATAGGGTTTAATATAAGGGCCTCAATAATTACTTATACAATATTTTGGGGGCTCCTTATTGTAGTTATAGTATGATGGGCCCATATGGGCCCCAAACCCAACCACAGCGGCGGCGTTTGTTCTAAACTGAGCCGCCCGTAGTAGACAGCCTGCATGGCTAAGATCTCCTACACCGATTCATGACCGCAGGGATGGAAGCCGTGCTTCTACTACATAAGATGTTTTGAACCCGAGCTCTCTAATGGACACTGCCGCCGGGCATCGAGGTCAGCGAATGCGATGGAAACGACCAGGTACAGATCCAGGAAGATCCGCAACAAGTGCTGCATGGAGCTGTAAGTACTGCAATGTCATATGCAGCATGTAGCGCCGTGTGATGTAAAGCAGCCTGTGCTTGCAATGGGCCTGTGGCTGTTTCTGGTTGCGGGGGTTTATCTGGAGCACTGAACAGCGGCGGAACCAGAACACGAGATATTCACAACGCGCCTCGCCGGCATAGCGTGACACTGTAGCCAGGCATTACATCGTCACGCGCTCCGTGCCCTCCCCCCCTCCCCTGAGGATGCCTCCCTCCTTTGTGGTAGGGTGTGGGATCCCTCTTCATGTTTGTGGTTGTGGGGTTTGGGGGTTAGGGTTCTATTTACCTTAGCCTGGGTTTTCTCCCTCCTACTTAGCAAGGACGAAGCCCGCATTAGGCTGAGTTTGGGGTTGGGGGTTAAAGTATCAGGCCTCGAGTCGACAAGAGCTTAGGGAGGGTTGTAGGTTCGCTAGGGCTTTAGGCTTAGAACCTGCATTTAGGCGGGGTTTACGGCTTTAAGATACAGGCTAAGGTTAATAAAAGCATGCAGTAAAAAACAGGAGCACGCGCCACGTTGTGGTGCTTATGACTTGCGTAGGGCTTGCGTGAGATCCCGTGCCAGACCATAACACCATTGGGGGGGAGGGGCCGGCAACGCCAGACGCCTGACCACACATACTCCGCATTGCATAATTAAGAATTCATCATAATTCAAAACTAATTTCAGGAATGGTGAAAGTGAGCCCCACACCGCTATCTGCTCCATAGCTTCAACAGTCTCATACAGACTCTGAAGAACCGTCGCCTCGCCGTGGGCTTGGCCCACGCAGGGAAGTGGAGCGCCGCGTGGCCTGAAGGTAGGCTTCTTCCCGACCCTCCAACTCATGCAACTCGGCAAGTGACAAGTGCATCTGCTCCACAAGGAGGCAGTCAAAGTTCCCACAGGTTGCATGCGAGTAGAGCAATTAAGTCTGCAGTGCGCCTGGTCTGACATCTCCCTCTGCTGTTGTACTGTTTGCATGTTTGTCTCTGTTGCCTTGCTGTCTCTTGTAATTTTTGGCCGCCGCATCACAAAGCAGGGTAATTTTCTCTTGTAATGGCCTGGGTGACTGGGTGCTCTGCTCCCGCTTCCTTGCTTCTCAGCGCAAACAGCGACTACTTCGGTCTGCCCTCCGCCGCCCCCTCCAACGTCCAACCCGTGTGAAGCGACCCATGGTGGAGCCCCGCGCTCCCCAGATTTGCCGACCCCAGTCACCCCTGCCATGCTTAAGTGCGTTTGACTGCGGCATCCCTTCCCCCACCGAACCTAATCCCCCCGAAGCGTAATTCCACCTCCGGCTGGCGTATGTATGCATCGAGACATGACTTGTCTGGCTGTTTGCATCACGGCTCATAGTGCACACATGCATGATCTGCATGTTACACTCACTTCTCAACCCCAAACCTGTGAAGAGAAAGAAAAAGAGGCTGCAGAAATTGAAAGAAAGACTCCGGGATAGTGGCAAAAGCGTGGAAGGAGAGGGGCGGGAGGGAACCGATGCAGAGCATTCCTGATGTCGGACTTACTCAGAAGCTACGACCACACTTTTTCCACGCAAGTGCTCGCGCGGTCTCGCGCAAGCACGTCATGTTCTGCGCAAGGGGACCGAGACATAGGCGGCATCCTGAGACAGATCCACAGAGCCAGCTCTCTCTCTCTCTCTCTCTCTCTCTCTCTCTCCCAGGCATTCGAAACGTCAAGCCCGGTTGCAGGACACAGAGCCAGCTCTACATCCAAAAACTCGGCTTATAGTGTGTGTGTGTGTGTGTACACACACACACACACATATATATATATATATATATATATACATGTGTATATATATATATATACATACACACACATATATGTAACTATACATATTATCGATTACAATGCTGCAACGTTTACCCTCGCAGCCATGAACATCTGCCGAATGCAGCTCGAGATCCCAGGATGCATGCGTCACCCAAGAAGACTTCGCTTGGCCCACAGCGGCAAAGGCTCTGCATGGACCCCGAGGTGGTGGAAGGCCCAAAGGAGCCAAGGCCTCAAAGCATACTCAAAGGGTCCGGAGATATGTTACTGCAAGGGTTGCTGTGCGGGCTACAAAAAACAGGCCTGAAGCAGCGCGGCATCGGACCCGAAGACAGCCAGCATCAGCGGCGTGCCTGCAACCCAAGAGTAGCTTGACCATGCAGGAAACGAATGGTTTGTAACAGCGGGGCCTTCATAATTACCTAAACTATTTTGGAGGTTCCTTAATATTATGATTATAGTATAATGTAAGGCGCCTATATTAAATATCGTGTGCTCTGCCCAGGTGCCTGGTGCCAAGGTTTCTGCCCAGGCGGCCACCACTGCTGCCTCTGCCTCCACCCTGTCCTCGCCGGCAACCTTCGCGAAGACGCCTGGACCCAGCTGAGTTTCTAGCTGGAAAAACCACGTTTTTGGGCACCTGCGCATAAATCTGAATCCTGCATAGATGCATCAGATCCAAAAAGCTCAACCTTGAGCCTCCCCCGAATCACACCCGCTTTCTGTACATGATGATCGAGTAATTATGGGCACCAAGTGAACGGAACTTGGGATTCGAGCTGATGCCGAGGTTTCTGGGTTTAGCCTCCGACGACCCAGAGCATCAGCAGCCGCGAAACGACAGCGGGCAAGTGCCACCCGCACCAAACAGAAGATGAAGATAGTGTAGCTTTTTGTCGCAGGCTGCGGATGGCCGCGGTGTGCAGGAGAGGAGCACTAGCGTCTTGCTGAACGCAATGCGCCAGTTGCATCCTGCGCTGGCAGCGAGGGTCAACCGAAAGCTTCGAATACCTAGCCGACTCCCCCAGGCCCCAGAGAGTTCGGTGGACCCTCTGCCGAAAATCGTTGAAACACGGCTTCAAAACCTTTGGGACCTCTTGGGCTGTACAGCGGGTCAGAAAATTGATAGAGTCGATGAAGATCACATGCAACTACGACCTTTTTGGTCCGAGTTGCAAGTTGGCCCAATCCAGAAACTACTGCACAGGATCTTCCGTTCTGGACGGAGCATTTTAAGCCTGCAGCTTAGAGACGAATTACACTGTCAGGCTGCTGTCGGTTTGACATCCCGAAATGCCAGCTTTCAGTGCGCCTGACCTGTCCCGGGGCAACCTTAAATAGCCCCGCCACTAATCCGAATTCCAACCGTCGGCATGCACAAACCGTGGGCCAGCGCAGAGCTCTCAAACAGCCGCGAGCTTGGCAGGGATCTCCGCGTACTCGGCGATGATCTCCCGAAGGCGATCGCCGGTCATGGTCTCCTTCTCCTGGGTTCTTGTTAAGGAAACCAGTCTAAGTTACCATAACCGGGATCTATAGTAAGTATTATGGCTTACTTTACTTATTAGTAACCGAAAATTGGTCACCCAGTCTCTGTCAGCTCGTCGGCAACGCGATCTAGGCACGCACGGTTGGTCATCAGGATGTTCAGTGCATTGAGGTAGCAATCATCCGAGATGTTCTTGATGGCCTGGTCGATCTTCTCGCTGAGCTCCTCCGAGTAGTCGGGGCCCATGAAGCCGCCGTCATCGATTGCAAGGGAGCCGACCTCGGACATGCCAAACTGGGTGACCATTGCCCGGGCCATGCGCTCCACCTGCTGGAGGTCGCCCCCGGCACCCGTCGTCACCTGCCGACCAGGGTGCAGGGACATGAAACATCATAAAACCAGGATGAGCCAATCCAAGTCACAACGAGCCGCAAGACACTCCCAAACCGGTCTGCGCCCCTGCACCTGGCCGGTTCCGAAGACCAGCTGTTCGGCAGCCCGTCCGCCCAGGGCGCCGGCAATACGGGCCTTCAGCATGGCGGCAGAGATAAGACTCTGGTCCTCGCCAGGAGTGAACCAGGTGAGGCCCTTGGCCTGCCCGCGTGGGATCAAGGTCACCTTGTTCACGGGGTCGTGGTACGGGAGCAGGGTTCCGACGATGGCATGTCCTGCCTCGTGGTAGGCAATAAGCTTCTTGGCCGCGTTGTCCTGCAGTGCACGTCCCTCCAGGCCGGCGATGACCCGGTCGGTGGCGTCGTTGATCTCATCCATGCTGATGGCCTTCTTGTTGCGCCGTGCTGCAAGGATAGCTGACTCGTTCATCAGATTCTCCAGGTCAGCACCAGAGAAGCCGGCGGTACGCTTGGCGATGTCCATAAGCGTGATCTCGCCGTCGAGCTTCTTGTTCTTGACGTGGACCTCCAGAATCTGAGCACGGCCTTTGACATCCGGGAGACCCACCTGCACACGGCGATCGAAACGGCCAGGACGCAACAAAGCGTTGTCCAGGATGTCCGACCTGTTGGTGGCGGCGACCACGATCACACCGCTGTTGCCCTCGAAGCCGTCCATCTCTGTGAGGATCTGATTCAGCGTCTGCTCACGCTCGTCGTTGCCCCCACCCATGCCGGCCCCGCGCTGGCGACCAATTGCATCGATCTCATCGATGAACACGATGCAAGGAGCCTTCTCTTTGGCCTGCTTGAAGATATCTCGCACACGCGAGGCACCCACACCGACGAAAAGCTCGATAAACTCCGAGGCGGAAGACTGAATGAACGGCACGCCGGACTCGCCTGCCAGTGCCTTGGCCATCAGCGTCTTGCCCGTGCCGGGGGGGCCTGTCAACAGCACCCCGCGAGGGATCTTCGCGCCGACCTTCACGAACCTTTCGGGTGCCTTCAAGAAGTCCACAATCTCCATAAGCTCTTCCTTCGCCTCGTCGATGCCAGCTACGTCTTCGAACTTCACGCCAGTTTCAGGCGTGATCATGATCTTAGCCTGGCCTTGGTTGCCGAAGCCTGGGATGCCACCGCCACCGGGGGCACGAGAGCGGAGGAACAGCAGGCCTGCGATCAGCAGCAGCGGGAGGGCGACATCCCCCAGGACATTGAATAAAGGATTTGGCTTCTCCGGTTGATGGACCTCAATCGAGATACCCTTGCCTGTCAGCTTCTCGATAAGGCCTGTGGTGGCACCTGGAAGATCGCAAACAAGCTGGCCACCCCCTGACACAGTGGCGACGGCCGTGCGCCCAAGGTCGTAGAAGTCCACACGCTTCAGCGAACCCTCATCCGCGAACTCCAGGAGACGCGAGTAGGTCACACGTCCCGTGACGCGGGCGAATCCCCCGCCGCCCGGCTGTTGCATCTGCATCTGTGGGGTGCCCATGGACTGCAGTGCCGGCACATCGTCAGCCTTGGCCACCAACGGTGCTGAGGTGGCAGCGAGAGCTGCCAAAACCTGAACAGCAGCATGCTTCACAACGGTGTCGGGCAGCGCAACGCCGGTGGAGACCTCGCCGGACATGTCCTTCACGCGGCGCAGGACCTCCTCGCTGGTGGACTCCCGGCTCTCGGCCTCAGGCGTTGCCAGCCCGAGCCGAGCAACAGCGCTGCGAGCGGCCTTGCCACCCTGTGGCGAAGCACGCGTAGAGCCGCAGAAGCCGCGACGAGGGCAGTCGGCACAAGCGAACCTGAAGCGCACTGTCCGTTCACAAGCATGCACCAAAGTCCCCTCAAAGAAAACACTTCAGCCGCCTGCAGCGTTCAATGACAAATCACTGACGTTGCAGCTCCTGCAGTGCCGAGGAACATCATCGGCTTGTCCGGATGCAAGCACTGGGTCTTGCGAGGCATGGAGACGTCGGCTGTTGTCTCGACCACCTCACCTGTGTAGGCGGCTACTGCTATCTTCGTGTTGCCCATGACGAGCTTTCCTGCGGCAGCTGCTTTGTTGATCAACTTCATCAGCTGCTCGCCTGAGACCTTCTCCTCCTCCATGAGCTGCTTGGCAAGCTCATCCAGGAGATACATATTGTCGCGCAGGAGCTTCATGCCGCGCTCGTACTGCTCATCCACGATGCGCTTGACCTCGGCATCCACCTTCTGCTTGAGTGCTTGAGACATGGGAGGTGCACCCTGGCCCATAAAGTCGCGGCCCATGAAAGGGCCACCACCCTGCTGTCCTCCGAGGAGCCGCTGGCCAATCTCCGGGGACATGCCCAGCGACATCACCATCTGCTTCGCCACCTGAGCGGCATGTGCTGGCGGTTAGTGAGGAAGCCTCAAAACGAAGGTAACGGAGGGTAATCTGAGGCAACCTGTCGGTCCAAGCTCCCCTCGCATGTTGCGTCCGGCACTACGGCTGAGACGTTTTTGGAAACGTCAAACGAGGACAGGCGAAGTAAAAAGCAGTGCAGTGGCTTTGTCAGTTTTGGGGGGTTCCACTAAATCCTTCCTCGGTGTTCTGAGTGAAATCGCGACGAATCCTGCGAGTTTGGCAAGTTACTACCGCAGTGACAACCTCTTAGCGGCTTAGCGGTCGTGCATGATCCCGTCTGCACTTCGCAAACGCGGTCTTCGCGGTGGCCAAGATGCGCTCGATTGGAACTGGAAGTCGAGAGCACTGCAAGCTCTGCTACACCGTGCCACACACACCCTACAAAAAGTAGGACTAGGACTAGGAAGTGCCAAGAACATCCCACAATTCTGAACGCATGCGCTGTATGTTTGCACAGTCTTTGCGCTTCGTTGCCTGCGTGCACTGCTGGAAGTCGTTCGACGCACCGGTGGTGACGTTATCCCTGCCGTTGATGATCTCCTCGGCCAGGCGCCCGCCCAGCGCCACGCACATGCGATTCTCCAGGAACTCCTTCGAATAAAGACCGGAATTGAGCCTCTCCTCTGAGGGCATGAAGATCGTGACTCCGCCGGCAGGCCCACGGGGAACGATGCTGATCTTCGCCACGACATCATAATCGTTCATCAGTGCACCCAGGATGGCGTGACCGGCCTCGTGGTATGCCACCAACCGCTTCTTCTGCTCGGACATGACGGCATCCTTCTTCTCCAAGCCAATCGCAATGCGCTCCAGTGCATTGAAGATGTCGTCGGAGTCGATCTCCGCCTTGTTCTGGCGCGCCGCGACGATGGCACCCTCGTTGAGGAGGTTGGCGAGGTCCGCGCCAGACATGCCGGGTGTCTGCCGGGCAATGGCTGCGAGGTCAACACCAGGCGCCAGGTTCTTGCCCTTGGCGTGGACCTTCAAGATTTCGGAGCGGCCCTGGACGTCGGGAGGATCCACCTGACGCACTATCTGAGATCTGCTGACATCACTTCACTTCAGGACAGTTCTTTACATACATTGTCGAGGTCCTCATGCTATGCCTTCCCCAAGACAATGTGCTCGTCTACAAGCCTGGAACTCACAAACTCTGCACCCGCTCGCCCCGAATCTCGCTCCACCTGAATTTGGCGATCGAAGCGTCCTGGCCGCACCAAGGCTTGGTCCAGAATGTCGGCTCGGTTCGTGGCCGCAATTACCACAACGCCCTTGTTCGCTTCGAAACCATCCATCTCCGTGAGCAGCTGGTTCACTGTCTGCTCTCGCTCGTCGTTGCCCTGGCCGAAGCCCGCGCTACGCTGGCGGCCCACCGCATCGATCTCGTCGATGAAAATGATGCAGGGGGCTGACTTCTTCGCCTGCTCGAAGAGGTCACGCACACGTGAGGCGCCAATCCCAGCGAAGATCTCAACGAACTCCGATGCCGAGATGCTGAAGAAGGGAACGCCCGCCTCACCGGCCACTGCCTTTGCCAGCAGCGTTTTTCCCGTACCCGGTGGCCCAACTAAGAGAGCACCCTTGGGGATCTTGGCGCCGAGCTCGGAGTAGCGCGAGGTGTTCTTCAGGAAATCGACGACCTCCACAAGCTCCTGCTTGGCCCCATCGCATCCTGCGACGTCTGCGAATTTCACTTTGGTGTCCCCGTCCTTGATGATCCGAGCCTTGGACTTGCCGAGCTCAAACGGGTTTCCGCCTGGGCCACCAGGTCCTGCGGGTCCTCCCATGCCAGCACCTCCGAAGAGAACGAGAAGTCCTGCAATCAGCCAGGCAACGGGGCCCGCGAAGCGTGCCAGGAAGTCCAAAGGCCCGCCACTGTTGGCTCCAGGGCTCTGCATGACGACATCCACCTTCTTCTCTGCAAGAGTGTTGAACAACTTGTCCTCAATCCTCTGATGCTGGTCACATGATGGCCCATGGGACAGGACTCTATCTATCTGCAGTAAGGCGAGGGGTCCAGCCTTGAGCATGCATGGCCAGAACTAGAGTTGAACCAAACACAGCAACAGAGCCGGGCGGCTGTGCGTTGGGAATCAAGTTCACCTCGTGACGAGCTCCATCCTTGGTGGTGTACTGCGCAGAGAGCTGGTCATCCTGGACACGCACCATCTCCACGTCACCACGGTTGACGGACTCCATGAAATCGGAATAGTTAACAGCATCCGCGGCCACGGCCGGCTGCAGGCTGACGCTGTAAGTCAAAAGAAGCGATGCGGCAGCGCCGGCCGCCCAGCGAAGCTGCTTTTCGGCGCCACCTCGCAGCGACTCGCCGGCATCTGCAACCTTCACGAAGGCCCTGACAGCTGGGGCCGAAAGCACTGCACCTCGGCGGAGCTCGCTAGCAGCAAAAGCCTGAAGCCGCTGGACCAGGACAGCCACCTGCTGCGGCTCGGGCTGTCGAAGAAGCTGCTCAGCCAAGGCCACGAGCTCTGGAAGGCCTTCAGGACCGGGACCCTGACGATCGTCTTCGGTGGAGCGAGCAGCCACTGTGGATTTGCGCTTGGCCGGCCCGCGCTTGGCTGTGCGGCGTGAGCCCAAAGCAGCGACTGCGCCCATGCTCACGGCGCTGGCACCTGCGGCTGACATGTTCAGGTTCCTGTCCTTGTCACCAGCCGAAGCTGTGCTGGCCACCTGGTGCGTCTGCAGCTGCATCTGACGAGGGACATCCTGTCCGGGAACAAGGAAGCTGGGGGCTGCCACTAGGGCAGCAGCCACAGCGCCACCTACCGCCACACAGCCTTTTGACCGGCGGGCCATCTTGCTGACAACCGCCATGTCGTGTGCGATGCCTGGGAGGAACGGTTGACTGGTCTCGCTGTGCGTGCTCGCGAAATTTGTCTTGAGCCAAAGCTTCGGAGTAGCTCTCCCATACCCTGACACACAGATTTCCTGCCAGTCTCGCTGTGCCAACTTGCAACAGAGTTTGTGTCGGATGCAGGAGCCTGAAGCATTCTCTGGACAAGCGCACAGAGTCGCCACGCCGTCCTCGGACAGGCGGCTCAAGGCTCATAGACAAAACCGAAACCCCAAGGAGCATGATGAAGATTACTGTACTCGAATATACTATAAAAGACTACCACAACCTAACCCAGAACCCAATGTGCCGTCGTCACAGTCATGGTGAAGGCTGTCAAATGCCTCGACACCGAAATACGACACGAAAGCATTCTCTTGTACTAGCTGCCCCCCAAAGCAAATCTTGGAATCTGATCTTCCGGCGATCTGATCTGGCTTCAGAGACGAACGTGAATGCTCGTGTGCTTCATCCATCGCACAATGACACGGATCGTCCCTCCTCGAGAAACGTCACAAAGATCGCGGCATCTGCAGCACTGCACAACACCTCATTCGTGCACAGTGCCAGAGGCTACGGTATCAACCCTCTGAATACGGAATACTGCTGATACTGAATCTTGTATTCGATTGTGCTGGCTCACTTCAATACATCTGCAATCTGACAGCCCTTCTTGCATTAGTGCGTGGCAGCGGCTGTAGCTTTGAAGCAGGGTTCCGCAGGCCAATCCTTCCAGCACAATCTTGCTTACAGTAGGGTGTTCACTCTCGCACATCCAGGGCTTTAGCGTCGTGTCCTCCGTCCACCACCCGGCATCTCGTTTCCACGTGAACAAGCTATCACGAGCAAAAGTGATCGGGGGTTCAGCAGCAGGCTGACCTCAGGGTCACAATGGCACGGCAAGGCACAGACATTGCTAGGCTATTGATCCTTATTCCGCCAAAAGCACCTTCGGCTCCCTCTGCCAGCTCGTCAGTTTTCAAGCACCTGCAAAAACAGTCCGAGTGTGGGGGGTGGCTTTTCGAAAGTCATCGACACGAGAGTGGCAGTGAAGCCTTGGCAACTCCTGCTGGAGGTTCAAGCCCAAATCCGCCTCCAACTCTCCGAGGGCTTCGAACCACTCCTGGGCATTTCTTGCGCCCCAGCACGGGGCCCACTCCGCTGCCCACCATTTGTGAAGTAGAGTGGCATTAAGCACAGTGCGGACGAAACCATCCACCGACTTCTCAACCTCGCCGCAGTGGAGTAGGCTGTAAACGGAGTGGCGAGCACTCTGCCCAAACAGAACATGCACAGTCACTCTTTGACGGCCTCTGGGGACAGCGTCACACAAACAGCAGGGGCATCGCTATCGGCAGGCTGCCTCCAGGGCTGGCACACTTTTGGCCTTCTAACTTTCAGAGCGGCCGAACTCTCGGATTCGAATGAGCCTGTACATTTGCCCATCGCTGATCTGCAGGTCGGCGCACTCCCATCCACGATGCGGGTCCTCTTTGGAGGACTTCAGCCATTCCTCAACTTTCTGCCGATGCTGAAGGAACTCGTAAGTCTTCACACAGAATCCCCCCCCATCCTGTGCTCTTGGTGGGAATCCTGCGAGCCGACATCGGTTGAACAAAATCAAACCCGACAGAGTCGAATGCAAGGCTTCGCTTCAGGGCGGGGAGCTTCGCCGATTCGCCAAGAATCAGAGTCTCGCTTCACCCAGAGCCAGTAGCCCTGAAACTCTTGGAAGAAGAGAGACAGGAAGGCATCATCCTTTGCCCTGTCCTGACCAAGCACGAGCAGGGCTCGGACCACGCGGCAAAACTGTTGCGAGACCAGCCACTGGCCAGTAGGAAGACAAGCTTTCGTCGAGAATGCGTCGCCAAGGCTTTGCCTTGTCCTCAGCACGTAGTACACACACTACTATGTACCCATCTACGGCAAGATTGAAGCCGCGACAGCTCACAACTCTCAGGCATATCTGTCGCAGGTTGTTTTGGCGAAACCCTGAGGGACTGGCATCACCCGAGAAGTGCACTATCTTGATTTGGCTCTGGTCCTTCAGACGCGAGCGAAAGGAATCTAACTGCAGCGGTACATGATCTGGCTATGGCACAAATGACTCAGGCATGGGAGCAACGGTAGATTCAGCAGCTCTAGTGCAGCAGGTCGATCAATCCCAACCCCTGCCCAGAAGTGATCCAGATGCTGGAACTACTCCAGCAGCTGCTACCAGCAATCGCCAGCTACTTCTGTAGCGTTGCCGCAACAAGATGCAACTGCACAGCGAAGCAGAGCAAGCGAGGGCACAACTCCAAAAGCCTACCTCCAGCAGCCGTATCCGGTGTGCGCTCGCCACCTCAAGTCCAGAACAGGCCGCTCAGGGCGGCAAGAAGCACAGGGACGACGCAGGCATTGCTCGAGACGAAGCTGAGCGCGGCACGCGGTCCGGATGGAGGGCCAGAAACATCTGGTGGATTTGAAAGTTATACTCTACACCGATGTGTCGCCAGGGCGCATCCGCCCAGAATCTGCTCAGATAGTCCTCCATGGGATCAAGGATCTACCCGTGCCTTTGCCGGGAATCTCCAAGGCTCAAGTCAAAGTCATGCAGGTCCTGCTCAGGGCCGTTGCCCACGCAGTGCCTTCGTGCAGACAGATGCTTCGAGAACTTCATGGAGAGCTGGCATGACTCAGAAAGACTGCTAGCTGCCACGGAAGCTGCTCCGGATGATGGGGATCTGAGAGTTCACCAAGCATCTCGTGAAAAATGTCGAGGTCAGGTTGTAGGAGCATAACTCCGGCATTTATGCCTCTCGAAGGATGGAAGCAAAAGAACCTACAATCTGCAATGTTCGCCCCGCCCTCCCTGTATCTGCGCTTGAAGTTTCGCCTGTTCCCTGGCCCCAGGACCAGCCGCTGAAATCCCTACCCATGAAGAAGTCTCGCCCATCCAGGGTATCTCCTGGAGCAGTTCTTCACTTCGGGCTTGGGTCGGACAGTGCATCAAACATGAGTGCCACGGCGGCCTGTCTTCAGTGCCTTCCATCCGTGTATCCCTCGTCGCATGGCAGCGGGTGCTTGTAACTGAAAAAGTTCATCGACATTGCCGCGCCTTGTGCAAATGCATCCGTGACTTGACTCAGGTCTGGCATGAAACCGCCATCCGCAGCCCAGGCGCACGAAAATGTCGATGTCAAGCACGAGAATTTTCTCAAACTCAACCAACTCCAGGGAACGCAGCTTCGTGAAGACCTTTGCGAAGCGATGTCCTGGAGAGGAGTTTCCCAGCTTGTCGGCCGCCACCGCGATATGCTGCACGGGCCGGCAGTCCCAAATTCTGGACAACAGAAGTACGCAAGACAGAGGCACGTCGTCGGCATAGAGACAAACCAACGCATGCTTGGAGCCACTCCGCTTGATCGAGTGCCCCAGCACGAGAGCGCCGAGCACATATTCGCTGGACTTGCCCCACCTGAACAACACTTGGAGGAATTGGGGCTATAAGTGCGTAAAAGTATATTTACCATGTTCATAACCCTAGTTACTAAGTCCCATGATCCTTTAAGCAACGTGGGTTTGGACATGCCTGGACGCAACACAGAACTCCAGGCGGCCGGGCTGTTCGGGTTCGCAAGATGACAGTTGCATTGCAACGCCGAGGTCATAGTAACATTGCTTACAAGAATGCTTGCAATCAACTCGCGTTTCAGCACAGCTACGAGTACGGTCAGTCGAGGATCCGAGAATCACGGCACGCCATCATCCACATTCAACTTGGGTGTTTTGGGGCTTACTGAATTTACTGATTGCGGTACTGCGGTGCCACAAGCTGGAACGGGAGGTCATTGGCCCCTACATGTCCCTACGGTCGCAGCCTTCGTAGCTTGCGAATTAGCGCAAGCCAAGCAGGACTGATCCGTGCCCTCTACAATAGACTCGGCAATGCCTCACGACCTCCTCCCACCAAGGCTTCTCAATCAAAAGCAGGAGATCCCTCGCCCAGCCGCAAGTTGATGACGTAGGCAAACCGGCCCCGGGCGGCCGGCAAGGGCTCCCTCGTGGTCAGAATTGGCATGAACAGTGGTGGGGCTACTATCGGAGGACAGAGGGGCCTGAATAAGTATACTACTTGGGGAGTTCCCTCTTATGATTATTGTAGGTATCATATACCCCAAAGCCCTGTTCTCATTATTAGGACCCCTGTATTATCCCCAAATTTGCCAGCTGCCTCGGACCCCGGGGGAGCGACCGAGAAAGCGCCAGCGGTCGCTTGCAACAGGGGCAGTGGCCGTACCAGGCCTCTGCGCCGTCTGCCTCTCAAGAGCATTCACTGCTATGAGTATAAACTCTCAAGATGCGTCACTCCAAAAAGCACATCTCCCAGGCGCAGGGTGCCTGCGACACGGGCAGCGCTTCCTCGTCAAGATGGACTGCAGACACAGCGGGACCGGAGGGAGGGAGGGAGGGAGGGAGAGAAGCGGGAGAGAGGGAAGGGAAGGAGCAGGAAGGGCAAGGAAGGGGAGGGAAGGGATAGGGGAGAGAGGGAAGTGCCTGAGCATCTGGTTGAGCTGATCTGTGCATTGAACAAGACACGAGTGCGGGCCTACCCAAGGCGAGCAGAGCGACAATACCGGGATAGAACGAAAAAAGCCACAGCCGAATACGAACGACGACACGAAAATACCATCGTGTCGACAAGGCCATACTCAGCTACTACAGAAGTTACTGCAAGCTGCGCACAATGGCGGGGAGTGCCGCCACCAAGCATATTGACTACAAGCAGTGGGAATACCACCGCAATGCCACGAAGAACCCCGAAAAATTGACCGAGATCCGTGGAGGCATACATGCTAAAGTTGACTGCCAAATGTGGAGATACCACCGACATACACCCACGATGAGCAAGCCATGCAAGCCCCGGGCAAGAAGTTGACTGCGACCCCGCATGAGATAACCGTCGCCGTGAAAACCTGTCGCGACGCTGACTGCGAACCGAAGGAATGCCTTCACCCGTAGTGAGAAACAGGAAGTTGACCACGAACCATGGGGATACTGCCGCGGCGAAAGTCGAAACAACACTAGAGTGGCATGCCTCCGCCTTCAGTGGACTGTGTAGGTGGCCGCCAGGCATTGTCTCTTGGGCTGTCCCCGACTTCCGATCCGGCAAACTAACAACAGGAAAACATCCCCGAAGCGAGAGCACCTAATCTTGCAAGCACGTCTCGGACGTCTCTTGTGTTGCATCCCTGAACGGACAACAAGCCTTGTCCGCTGCGCCCCAGAGTGGTGAGGTGATTCGCAGAGCAGTGGGCCGCCGCCGGCAGCATCCTTCCATGCTGGAGCCGCGGAAGCGAGAGACTTTGGCTTCATCCTTCTGAGGTCACCGACTATCAAGGCCATTACAACCTGCATCAGCCTACATCTTGGAGGCAGGAAGAAGAAGAGAGTAGAAGAGGGTGGAGTAGTGACGCCTCACGATTTTCTACACTTCCGCTTGGGATTGAAAGGGTTCTGTGACGCTTATGCCAGTTGCCACTACCCCGATGAGAAAGCTCTGAAAGGGCATGGTACAAGCGAAGGTGAGTGCAGCAGGTTGCGGCCCAGGAGCTGCGGCGCTTCAGAAAATAGGATGCCTAAGGAAGGATGCGAATCTCATGCAAAGCAACATATGGTCGATGACACTGAAAATAGTTCATATTATCTTTATTATCCGGCTGCCGGCTATCAACGCCCAAAGGCGGACATGTCAGCCAAGCTGCAAGGCATTTCTGCCGCCCTCTGTCAAGGGTCATCAACAACCGGCGAAGAGCATGGATCGTCATCTCTGAATATATAAACCAGCAGGCTGGGGCTTGCAGCCTAAAACGATCCGCGTGCGTTGGCAGTCCCCGGGTTGGCCATACCTTGCTTTACGCTCCCACACCACAAGTAGGGTCGGTCAGATCAGGGTCCTGGCTGGTGGTCATCGTGGAAAGGTGCGGAGGGCTTTGGCAGACTACATGATGCACCTACCGGCGGAAATGATGTCAAGAGCGCCACATAGGGCTGTGTTGTCACAAACTATCTACCCTAAGTGTTCCCTGACCACGCCGGTCTCGACGAGCTGAAGTAGGAGCATGCGATACACGCAGGACCCTGAGCATCCGAGCTTCAAGACAAGACCTTCAGTGCAGTGCATTCTTCACAAAGCCCTACGAGTACAACCTGGGCAGCTCCAGAGCAAAGTGCCCGACCCCACCTGTGGCTGAGCCGACCCTGCAGGTGATGCCCCGGCCCCACCATCACCTCGCCAAACTCTGCCCTGATTGGAGCTACACTGAGTCGACAAGATGCTCACTACGCTCACGGAACTTATCACGACTCAAGGATCATGCGAGAGCCATGGTCACGGTGCAAAAGGAGTGTGGCCTCTTGGCGTGGTAGACCTGCGCATAGTAGGCATAGTACCTGTGCCGAACTAAGTCGTGGTATGTGCCCATCAGCGGTGCCGAAGTCTTACAGCCACTTGCTTGCTACTCGGCACTGGAGTTGGTGGATGGGGTCGGACGGAGAGCCTGCTCCACCTCCAGCAAGAATTCACATGGATCCATATCGTCCTCCGCGAACCTACTCTGACTCCACCTCCGCAATCGCCTCTGCCCGCTGTTTGGCTTCAGCAGCCTGCAGTCGCACGATCTTCGGAAGGAACCGAGTTGCAAACTGTCCCTAGTGCCCACAGCTGGGAGTCATGCCAAACCTAAAATCTGGGGTGGCGTCGGAGTCGTTGCGGCCTCAAGCCAGCTCGTGCTGTAATTTGGCTATGCCCTACGCACCAGCCGGGTTACAAACGTGCTCCGAGCACAGGGAAATGATACACGATCGCTGATAGCTGCGCAGAACAGCAAGCGAAGCTAAGGTCTCTCTCGCACGAATGCCCACGACGCATCAGAAAGCCGTTGCTCCGCTGGGTCTGTCACCACCAGGGCATCCGCGCCGCAAAGCTTGAGCTCCTGGATGACACAGGAAAGCGACCCCTCCAAGATGGAATACCGGCAAAGGCAGCAACAACGGCGACCCCAACTATGAGACGGACGAGGCTCTAGATGTTTAGGCTTCCTGTACCTGACGGTCAGGATCAGCTGACTGATGCTGATTAGCTTCGGCACTCAAAGTCCTAACAGAGAGCCACCTTCCTGGGATACAAATACCTGCGGTAGAAAAGCTCCGGGATCTCCAGATGCAGCTTAGACAACCAAGTCAGCTCTTGTCCGTCCCTGTGATCGCGGCTCTGTACACTGTACACTCTTCAGAGGGGATTGATTCCCCGTCTGCTCGTTTCACTTAGGTCTGCTATTCGGCGGGCTCCGAACGACTTGACCAGCATCTGAATCGGACGTTGAGATACTCTTCGCCACGGCTAGGTCAAAATCCTGACTGCTCCTTGCAAAGCCTCGGCTCATGCCCGCCGAGCTTGATATGCTCGGTTCCGTCGCGGAAGGGCTGCTGTGTTCAGTCGATCGTGATCACGATCACCACGGTCATTGCGGTCATCGCGGCGGCGGCCATCGCGATTATCACGGCCACGACGACCATCTGCTGTGTACAGTCGATCGTGATCACGATCACCACGGTCATTGCGGTCATCGCGGCGGCGGCCATCGCGATTATCACGGCCACGACGATCATCGCGATGCTGGTCTTCCGGATTTCTGATCGTAGCCGGGTACCCCGCGAAGGACATCGGCCGCTTCCTCCGCCGTCGGCTCAAAGTGGACCTCGCCTGCATGAAGGGGCAGGTAGGTGATGGTAGGTGGCTACTGCTGGCGCTGACTCTTGAAGCCTTATTCCGTTATTCCACTTGTTCCCCTGCGAAATCCCTCAGACCTGGAAGTCGAAGACCACAGAGGCCCTGCAGACGGGGCAGGCGGCGTGTCGCAGAGTTCTGTCGGCTTTGAGGCTGGCCCGAACAGCGTCAGCGATGCAGGTCGTGTGGAAACAGTGTCGACAGTTCACCAGCTGCACCCAGGTTTCTGCCACGTTGGCATCACTTGGAGATTGCAATAGTTGGTTCAACTCTTTCTTTCCACACCCGCTGGTGGGCTCAAGGCAAATGACGCAGGTGTCCAAGTTTGGTGCCTTGGACGCCTCCACGGACCGGGTCTCCTCCGCCTTCTTTGCCTCTGCCTCCGAACCTCCGCGCTCTCCGCGCTCGCGCTGGCGCGCCGCCGACACCTTGGCCTCGAAGCGTTCCAGGGAGTCCTTGAAGTGCCTGGCCAGGACGGCCTCGATGACGTCCTGTGCGTATATTACAGTATCATGTAGTATATCATAGTATATCATAGTATTTGTTGGGTCCCGCTTGATAGTATATCATAGTATATCATAGTATATTATAGTACATTATAGTATAGTATAATTTACAAGTACACACACGACCTCGGCGTACACTCGCCGCCCGACGCATGACGGCACCTAGACTTCCATCTCAACATCACGAGGAGTCCAGAGCCTACAGCAAGCTAGGTGGCAATCACAAGGAGTTGCTGTCTGCTCATGTGACACCGGCTCATTAAACAACCCGCCCCCCTCACACGCGAATACGGATTCAATCAAGCTCGCTTGCACTGCCGTGTTCCTCCTCCTGCGGCTGGATGTTCAGTACCTGGTAGAGCTCCTTGATGACGTCCCACATATGGTTTGCGGCCTTGAGATCAACAATGCGCCCATGATCCGCAAGCTGGCAGCCGAACTCCAGCACACGAAAGACGAAGTATGCGTTCTTGCTGGACTTGTACGGATCCTTCCAGTCGTTCAGGGCACGCTGTGCCTTCAGCCAGGTAAACTCTGCATAGGATGTGACAGACTCCTCCAGCAATCGCAGGTCCAGCTCGAAGTTTCGAAGGCGCTCATCTTGGAGCTCTTTCAGCACAAAGCGCTTTGGGGTGGAAAGACAGGTCAGCATGGTCAGGTCCATGGCATGCAGCTTCTCAAAGAAGCATCGACGCTCAAACACGGACACCTCACAGCGGCCCAGGGTGAACTGCGAGTCTGGCGTGTCCTGCAGCACCTCTTGCTTCGCATGATCGATGACGGCAATCAAGTCCAGGTCGTGTGGGCAGAGCTGGTTAGCAAATATTGTGGAACCATGTACATACAGGCCACAGCACTCGCCCCACTTCTGCTCGAGCTCTGCGATAACGTCCTGCAACTCCTGCTGTGTAATGACTGCAGCCGCTGCAGCCCGTGCATCCTGTGGGCGCTGCTCCCCATCAGAAACTGCACTCGATGCACCTCTTTCCACCTCACTGCTAGCAGCACTGGCACAGCTTCGGTAGGACAAACTGCCGTCACTTTGGCTGTCGCACGCCTGTCTCTTCCACGTCTCTGACCAGAGCTCTTCCTGCATTCCTGTCGCCATGGTACTGCGCGGAGCCCGGATGCCCTGATGAGAAGTCTTGGGCCAAACAAAAAAAATGCTGCGGGCACGGCCTAATATAGGGGCCTTAATAATTAGAATAGGGTTTTGGGGCCCATTATACTATACTTATGACAATCCTCCCAAAATCTCAAGCACCACCCAAAATGCCACTGAAGAGTAAACCTGAGCCCAGATGCCACCAGCCTTTTGCCACCAGTAGCTGCAAGCTTCGATGGGGAGATGCAGCACCGACCCAGGATAGGAGAAAAGATCTGGTAAAGTGCCTAGCACACCAGGACTTTACATCCTCGCATCGGAAACCGATATGAGAAAACCCCCTCCACTGGTAAATAACGGGTGAGGGCGGGGGGGAAAGATACATGGAAAACCGATTTGAGCAACATCTGCCCATTCGATTTCGTCAGATTGTGCATCTCTCACAACAGCAAGCTCCTGTAACTGACAAAAAAGGAACCCCCCCAAAATAGTATAGGTAATTATTTAAGCCCCCTAAATATGCCTGCACGCTTCCTGTCCAATTGCACGGTTCAGGTGACGGCTGCGACGGCTTCGGGGCTACGGCTTCGGAGTCCTGCTCAATGTCCTGGGCAGGAAGAACTCCGGCCTCGGCACTTTTGAAGTGACTCAGATGTCCCGAAACTCTGTACTGCAAAGCAGGCCTCGATCATCCGCTGGAGGAGGAAGACAGGCACCCAAATGACGCAAACTGCAGCTCAAGCCTCCTTTGGACCCTCGGCCAGAAGCGCGCGGCTTCAGTAGAAGGTCTGACGAACTAATGGTGCTGGCGGCGCTTCTGGCGCAATGGCCGGCGCTTCACTTTGCCGCACGGCCTGGGAGTCCCAAGAAAAGACCAAGAGGGAGTCCGAACAAAGCTGATGCATCTGGACTATGGTTAGCCACTGCTGTCACACAGCGCGCGGGCCTCATTAACAGCAGGATATCCTGCAGGTGGTGGCATTGAGCCTGCCATGATACCAAGCTCACGAAGGTGATCAGAAGTTCTGCTCTTGGCACGACAGCCTTGGTGCTGCGACCTGAACAGTTTTCTCCGGACTCGAACAACCGGCAGGCCCAACAGCCGTAAGCCTTAAGACCTATACACTTACACGGTCCTACACACTAAACAGTCCTTGGGCCCTGGGGCAGGTGGAACAAAGCTCTTCGGCACACTGTTGATCCCCGGAAGGCCTCGCACAGCCACGGGGGGCCTTTCGCCAGCGATGCCCGTGGCTCCGAGTGTGCCACGCAGCCTTGGAACAGACTGCAACAACAAACCGAAGCAGGACGCATACTTCTGTCTCTCTATGCATCTATCTACTTATCCACCCACCTACCGACCTATCTTGCTAGCCAGCCAGCCAGCCAGCTAGGCTAGCTATCTATATGAGTGTGTCTGTGTAAAGATTCTAACATATAGCAAGCACAGCATACACTCGCATACTGATGTCCAGCCTTACCATATTTTTGGCCCTCGCACTCGAGCAACAGCCTAACCATATAAAGGCGTGTTCCACTGCGATTTTGCGGTGCTGCAGTCAGTCACACTCCGTCCTTTTCACAAAACTCTTGAGTGGTAGTTCTTGGACAGGATATGGCTCCATTGTCTCCACCATGCGGGATGGGACCGGGTGAGACTACACAAAGCCCACCGAGCCCTCGACGCCATGCGATAGTTTTCTGGGATGGCCTCCAAGCCGCGCTTCCGGCGAGAAGAACTCAGAACCAAGCCATCTGAGACAGTGGGCCTCTCCGATGTTCTTGTCCAGGTCGCGCAACTGGCGCGCGTTGATGGACAGGAGGTGATGTCGCTCCTGGAGGCTGGCTAGAGTCTGCTAAGGTAATTTCTATTGCTGGAAAAGCTGAGAGTCGCACGTCATGGGGATCCCAGTACTTGTCAAGCCGCCTGACGCCAAGAACCGAAATGTTCTGTTGACACATCAATGTGAGCATTTATTCAGTGCAATTAGTTTCGGAGAAAGTGGTGACGGCATCCTTCAAGGCTCGATCAGTTTTGAAGCTGAAGAAAGCTTTGCAGAAGTCGGGTTTCGACCCTCGCGCTTCCACGATTCACGACGACTTGGGTTCTTTTGCTCCCCACCTGTTCTTATGATTTGGGGTTTCGGCGGTCACATTGGGACTTTCCAGGCGAGGCTGCTACTGCCTCCGCTAGGCTCAGTAGCCAATGTTCGTACACTGCACTGCACATTCGATGCCGGCTCCTGAGCCAGTGTCGCCAGTCGTCGTGGCCGACACGCACCTGAGACATCACACGGTCTGAACACACTGGTTGCTGCCCACCTGATACGGCATTCGACAAGAGCTGCGCTTCCCCACGTGTGGCCACCAAGCTTCCCACGGATATTTGAGGATGTCGTGCAGCAAACTGAACCAGCGCCCCAGTGCAACTGCGGAAGATGGCTTCGCTTACAAAGATTGGTCAGGAATACGGGCTGAATTGCTACACTGGGAAACCGCAATGAAACCTGAAGGCTAGCTTTGACCGCTGACACACGAATTAACGCTTCATGATTAGCGGTGCTCCCGTCGAGTCGAGCATCTAAAGTCTAACCTAGGGTCCAGAGTCTAGATATCTTCATGATGTCCAGGCTGATGCTGCAGCTGCGGAGTGGATACTCAGCCTCTACATGCACAGTTCGGCTTCTGTGGCCCCCAAGCCACCATAAGATGGAAGGCCCCAGGTCACGACCGTACCGTCTGCTAACAGGGCTGCAAAGGAGCTGAAAGATGCCTCGATCTGCTGCACATCGCAGAGTTGTGGGCTGTCGCCCCCGTGCTCCGGGTCACCCCAGGCCGCCACAGACCCATCCTCCAAAATCGCGGCAAAGGCACCAGCTGTGGCGCACAAAGATCGAACGCCAAGCACCTCACCTTGTGAACCGCGAGCACTCCTACCGCCGCAACTTTCGTCTCCCCAGGTGACAAGAGAACCATCTCCAGTAACAGCAGCAAACGCTGCTCCTGACCCGTGCAGCATGCAAACGTTCCTAAGACCTTCCTGGACCACACTGCTGTCACCTCCAGTCTCTGACTCGCCCCAAGTGCGAACCGTTCCGTCGGACAGCAAGGCAGCGAAAGCTCCGACTGTTGTAGAAATGTGTCGTACATTCGAGAACGATTGCAAACAAGAGCTGCTTCCCCATGTGACCACGGTGCCATCTGCCAGCAGCGCAGCAAAATCGGTGTATGTGGCATATAGCTTCTGAACACCTCGCAGCCGAGACTGCACAACCCCACTGTCACCACCGTGCAGAGAATCACCCCATGTCACCACAGAGCCATCAGATCGGAGCGCCGCAAAGGCACGCAAGGAGCTCTTCACATGTCGGACGTCATGCAGCTCGCCGTGCACGTCGCCAGAGTCCCCGCCATGCCGAACACATCCCCAACTCACCACACGACCGTCTGCCAAGGTGGCCGCAAAAGCGGCGTAGTTTGCCTCTACGTGCACCACATTCCGGAGCTGCTGCTGCACTGCGCTACTGTCACCTCCACAGAACTCCTCACCCCACGTCACCACCGATCCGTCAGAAAGCAATGCCGCCAAAGCCCTCTCAGAACCCGAAACCTGCCGAACACCATGTGGCAGGTCTGGCGCCACAATTCCCTGATAGCCCCAGAGAGCGGCCGACCCGTCTTCACGAACTAGAGCAACCCCTTGTGACAGCGGGAAAAGCTTCCGCGCTTTCACTTGAGCAAAAAGCTTCCCTCCATCCGCCAGGTCCGCAAGGCGCACCGTGCTCCATTCCGGCAGTGGCTCCCCGGCTTCTGAGACGAGGCCCTCCAGGTAAGTGTCAAGGCTTCTCTCCGCCTTGCGCCTTAGGTCTGCAATCAGAAGATCTGGTAATACATCCACCCAGGCATGCCGGCCACTGAGCAAGAAAATGCCCAAGTGTAGGGTCATTGCCCATCTCAGATTTCAATTTGTACGGCAAGCCGCCTCAAGGGAATCTTGCTTGACAAGTCCCCTCAGTAATCTTCTCCATAGTGTGGGGACTATTTGCGTCTAACGTGGTTCATGACTGTCGCTGTGGCATTGATATTGGTTGGTGTTGTGTGTGTGTGTGTGTGTTTGGCAAGGGTTCCAGCAATATTAGTGGTAGCGATCTTGATTCCTGGTGCTGCGGGTCTTGTCGTCTCTGCTGTATTCGTTTCTGTCAGCCTGATAATTAATCATTATCCCAAGTAGCATCTGTCTTCCTGACGGTGCGATGCCGGAGCATGTACACAATTCATCTGCGAGTAGGATCACCCCAAAAAGAACCCACCCACCCAACTGGAGGCGAGAAAAGCAGAGTCCATACAGGAAACGATCATATTACTGAAACGCTTGATATTTGGATGGGCCGCAGATCATCCCAGCGAAAGCATTTGCTGGCAGGCCTGGAGCAGGGGTAGTGGGGCACGAAGAGCTCCACCCAACCACGCACCTGCGCACGCTTGAGATGCAGGCGATGCCCCTTGTGTCCCCCTTGGAACTGTTCCGCATGGTCGGATTGTCCAACCAACCTACAGCAGGGAGCTCTGATGTGGTAGCCTGAGAGTGTGTCATTTCCAGAGGGTTTCTACAGGAGTCCCGATGTGGATCCGCATCCTTGCCAGGACCTGAAGTTTTGCGCACGAAACGGCTCTCAGAGCCACATCCCCGCCTGAGTGTCACCAGCCTTGCCTGAGGTATTCGCCACAGTCTCCTCGCAGCTGTCCATGCTCAGGTGTTCCTACTCGAACTGCGGCCTAAGGCGCCTCGTACATCCACCTACTACAAGCAGAAGACGCTTCGGTAGGTGCATAACCAAACAACTACGACATCCAGTCGACAAGAACCACTGCTGACCTGTGGTTTACCTCAATAACCATTGGAGATTGGGTTCGACGGACTTTGCCCCCACGACTCTTTTCGAGCCTGCAGTGCTCTTTCGGGAAGTTGTGACATACGCGGATCCAAGCTCGCCACAGCCGACAATGACTTAGCACGTCACTTTGGCGGGCCTAGCCCTGTTTTCCCCGATCGCCTGCATGTCTCGGATGGCTTCGACCACCTCACAGCAGCTGAAGCTGATGGTAGCGCAAGGTGTAGACTCAGCGTCTAGAGTTCGAGCACAGACTTGTGAAGATGTCTTAGAAGGGCTTGTGATTTTCTTCTCTGAAGCGTCGCCACGCCTACTTCGATCTTCCACTTGGTCTACAAGGTCGGCAACCCAATCACTTTCCAGTGCGTGCCTGGGACAGGGCCGTCACTTCGGCGTGGTGCTTTCGTTGGTAATCGCGCAACCTCGGCAGTCCCAGGTCCTACGCATGTGTGGCAAGTCTCTTGCTCGCAGCTGAGCCAGTCACGTAGCGGTCCTCATTCCGAAGCCCGGGTCATCGTCATCCGGCATGCCGTGCTCCTCTCAAATCGCCCCGTACCGGAAAGCTTCTCTTATCTCGCTGTGATGATGCCTAAACATGCACAAATACCCTGGGCATCCACATGCCTGCAGGACATCCACATGCCTGCAGGACATGGCAGCCGTCTCAGTCTCTTGTCGCCGCTCGCTGTTTTCTGCGTGCCCAACCTTCAGTGAGCTGCAGTTAAGTCCTGCATGAGTGATTAGCGATGGCGGCACAGGCGCTGCAGAAGGATCCTTTGCCTTCAGCTGCCCTGACCAGCCAGCTGTTGTCTGCATGTCCAATGATCTTTGTTTGTGGATGGCTGATACAGTAGCATCCTAAGCCTTAGCTTCTCACCATGCTTACCATTGTATCGGTCCGGATGCAGCATCAAGCTATATCAAGCTTGTTCGAGACTTGCACCCTAAACTCAGTGCAGGCACATAGCAATAGCAACGCGAACATAACTTCGTAATGTCGCGATGCCAAGCCGAGTTAGGAGGCTGTACACGACTCGGAAGCTTGTATTTCACCCAGATCCAAGTTGCTCTTAAGGGGGTGGTCTGTAGGAAGACTGAACAGAAATTCATCAAAGCATTGCTCGCCACTTCGACAGCAACTAGCGCCGCCATTCGTCCGAGTCCAAAGCCCTAAAATCCGCATGCAGCGTTCTACTGCCTGCGGACCACATACTCTAAGCCCACTACTCCTACTTGCTGAATGTGCAGCTTCCAATCAATGGTATCCCTTCGTCACAACGCCATGAATCCTGCAGGAGCGAGGGTTTGCCAGATCACATCTCCAGGCCCATGTTCAAGTCGCGTGTACAGCATTCCTCTCCTAAACGGATACGCGTCTACGGCCCCATCTGACCCTGGAAACGAGCAGTCCCGGTCCAGTGGAGGCCGTTGGCTTGTGGGACTTGCTGGGTCGTTGGAGTAGCTGTCTTGGGCACCAGATGAAACAACATCGTCCAAGGACCAGGGAGCTTTCCCAGATAGCATTCTCCTTGCGCAGCCCAGGGAGTTAGAGTGCTTGCTTACGGCGTATGTTCTGGCTGCTGGAAAGCGGCAGGTTGATCAAGAACGTGGCTTGTGACGGCAAGACTTTGGGCTCGCCATCCCCCTGGCAATGCCAGGAACATGTAGGTACAGTCAGTGAAAGAATGAAGCACCGGCTGAGGAGACGAACGGAGTATGGCCCAGAGCCCCAAGATGCCCTTCTCTACCCTTAAAACTTAAGCCCAGTACTTTTTTTCTGAAAAACTGCCACGAAATATGGTGAATCTGAGACCTGAAGCCATAGCTGCAAAGCCTGAACCCTCAATCATACAAGGAGTCAAGGTATCAAACGTGGCTCGGCCGCATCACTTGGCCTCGCCCTGGCAGTCTCAAGCCTGCAACAGCCACACGGGGGTTTGAAAGAATATTGGCACAACATCATAAAACACTGTGCTGCTATTTCACAGATGCGTACATGCCTGCTACCTACCTACCTATCTAGCTACTTACCTACCTACTGGCTTACGTACGTGCATATTTACGTGCGTACGTTCATCCCTTCTTTCGTTAAGGCATACATGCACGATGTATGGATTGTGTGTGTGTGTGTGTGTGTGTGTGTGTGTGTGTGTGTGTGTGTGTGTGTGTGTGTGTGTGTGTGGGTGTGTGTGTGTGTGTGTGTGTGTGTGTGGGTGTGTGTGTGTGTGTGGGTGTGAGTGTGTGTGTGTGTGTGTGTGTGTGTGTGTGTGTGTGTGTGTGTGTGTGTGTGTGTGTGTGTGTGTGTGTGTGTGTGTGTGTGTGTGTGTGTGTGTGTGTGTGTGTGTGTGTGTGTGTGTGTGTGTGTCTGTGTGTTCGTGGGTGGCCTGCATTTATGCATGTGGGTATGTGCATAGGTACGTATGCACGTATGTGTGTATGCACGTACGCCTAGAAGTGTATGGAAATATGTGTATACACATGTGTATATATATATGTGTGTGTGTGTGGACAAATATAGTACATACATATACACGAGTACACATGTTCCATACGTGCATGCATAGCTGCCTGCATGCATACATACACACCAGCATACATACGCACATTGGCATAGTTTCTGGTTGGCTTATGCGTTTATGGGTTGCCTTTTTCTTGACTTATGCATTCGTTGTTGTACTACTTGGTAAGATTGTCTGTTTTTGCAATGCACCACCGTCGACTTAGCAGGCAAAGGCTGCCTGAAGAGCTTCCACCAAGGTCCAACCCGGCACCACTCCGGGTCTCTCCAGTTGTATCCTGCAGCTTTGCGCCCCGAAACGGTGGGTTAAACTGGTGAGCACCCAGTCTGACGCACTCACAGCCCTGTTCTGGCCTTCCCTTTATGCAGCTACTCGCGGTACGCAGCGAAAAAACTTTCAGACTTCCAGTGTTGCAATGAACTCCAAAATTTTGGCTGGCAATCTTATGCCCCAAATACGGGGACAGCAATAAGCAACATCCGATATCCAATAACCCAGTCAAACACTGTTAATGACGTTTGTGCCTTGCTTCCGAAATAACAGCCCGGCTTCTACCATCTTCCGAACACCAGCACTTCTAACGGGAATGCATGTCCATCTTCAAAAAGCGCAACTCCTTGCATGCATCCAACAGTATGACTTAGGCTGAACCAACGCAAGGTCCTTCTGAGAGGTCCGAGGACCACTGTTCCATGCGCAAACCTTGCCACTGCGGCAATGCATTCAAGCGATGTCTTCGAGAACAGCAAGCGGAAAAGAGAAACAGCCCACGCAACTACGGGTATAGATGAAGCCTTTTGTGCTGCTTCTTGAAGTATCCTGACTATCAGCTCCTCTAACTGTATCTAACTGTGCACCACCATGGAGTTAGTTCCACTGAAACGAGCACTGCCTCAGAACCTCAATGGATTTCATGACACCATCTGTGCTGAACAGACGCTGTCCCATAGAAGGCAAACCAAGATGACGGACCTCAGGTGAGTCTGTCTATCTGCGCATTTGGAGTGAGTTGAGCATGTCGGCTCATCAGTCAAAGACACGAACTGCCAATCCCATACTGTTGACTGCTGGGCGCCGTTTGAGTTCAAAGTCTGAGAGAGGGTGTTGTTCCCGACCACACTCAGTGAACATGGCCCGGGTTGCCGGCACAAGCATATCTACAGTGTAGTGGAAGCGCGCCGCGGCCACCAGGACCATTTCCAGGATAAGGCAAAGCACGCAAACGAAGGCTACCTGAAGCAAGGTCTCAAAACATCTACATACCACCACTACTACTACTACTACTACTACATACTACTACTACTACCTGCCACTACGACTGCTGCTACTACTACTACTACTGCTACTGCAACTGCTACTGCAACTGCTACTGATACTGATACTGCTACTGCTACTGCTACTGCTACTACCACCACCAGTGCCACTACCACTACGACGACGACGACGACCTTCTTCTACTCTATTATTCTTATTATTACTACTACGACTTCTACTTCTACTACTACGACGAGGACGACGACGACCACTACCACTACCACTACCACTACCACTACCACTACCACTACCACTACCACTACCACTACCACTACCACTACCACTACCACTACCTACCACTACTACTACTACACTACTACCACTACTACACTACCACCACTACCACTACCACTACCATACCACTACTACTACTACCACTACTACCACTACTACTACTACTACTACTACTACTACTTACTACTTCTACTTCTACTTCTACTTCTACTTCTACTTCTACTTCTACTTCTACTTCTACTTCTGCTGCTGCTCCTTCTACTGCTTCAACTACCTCTGCGAGTAGTAGCAGTAGTCGTAGTAGTAGAAGCAGCAGCAGAAGAGAAGTAGCAGTGGTAGCAGTAGTAGTCGCAGAAGCAGCAGCAGCAGCAGCAGTAGTAGTAGCACTGGTGGTGGAACAGAATTAGGCATCTGGACCCTTTGGTCTTATGCACTTCTCTGGCGAGGAGAAGAACCAAATCTTTTTCTGCAGGAGAGCCACCAAGCGCTGCGCCTCGGCTGGTATAGGCGAGGACAGAAAGTATCCAGCTTTGAAGCTGGCCATGGCACCACATGACATGCATAAGAAGAAGCGCTACAAACCTTGTTCGCGCGAAGACAGAGCTACTGCTGCTCCCGAGATTAGCAGCCCACCAAAGCATTGCTAGTCTCAGCACCGGTGTTGATATGTTCGGATGAAGACTGTCGCTCATGTTAGGAGAGTTTCATACTGTTCTAGCTAGAGGATTTTGTTGAAGCCCGGCTCAAGTCCAGCATCCGCTCGGAATCGGCAGCCAACATGCCGTAACATGCCCACGGCATGTCGGCAAGCCACTTCAACCAATCCAGCTCTGGCTAGAGGTCTGTTCATTACTGTAGCTGCTTTGATGGTCCTCAGAACTCCGAATCAGTCTTATCAACGCCATCCCCAAGTCTCGAAAGTCGATGTGCAGCTAGGTGTCCCAAAGGGGAAAGTCCACCGCACCCGTCAGCTTGTAGGCCGCAAGGGAGAACAAGGCCGCGAAGTATCTTGATTCACCGGTCGTTTCAGTCTGTCTCTCTACCAACTTCCGTTGTTGGACTCTCCATGGACCCATCAGTGTCGCGTGTGCAGGAATGCTCTGTGAAGGGATGTGCCAGGCGATGAAGGGCTACGTAGATTCAGGCAGGGAGCGTGTGCCCAGAAACCATCATGTCCTCGGTTAAGCTGCCAGGACACCACCGACTGAAACAAGAAAGTTCATGTTCTGCTACAAAGGCTGTCAGGCAACTGTCGGGAAAACCATGGTTGCTATAGGAACACAGCTTCGACAACAAAGAAAGACAGTGACTATACTCCGCGTCCAAGATGCTGCGCAATATCTCATGCGTTTTCCTTCCACACCAATGATTTCGTCAATCATCGCCTCATGCATTGTACCCACAGGTTACGACTGCCTTTGGGCGCCTTTCGGGAAATGGCACCCATCTCGGCCGAATCTCACTCATTTTGAATGTTGCTTCGATTGATCCCTTTACCCTATCTTGCATCGGATATTCGCGCAGTGGACTACGACGAATGCAAGCTCAAAGCGTCGACCCGCGCTCGTTTCTCCGGAAATGTCATGTAGCAACACCCGCCTGCCACAAGGTTGCCCAGAAGTTGCTAAACCAGCGACGGTCCCGCAATTGCCTCCACAGGGTCTTGATCCATGCTAACCCGCATTCGGGACTCGAGGCCAGGGAGCAATGGCTGCCAGAGCTTTACTTAAGGAAGCGATCCACCCCTTCTACGGCACCCTCGCACAACTGAGAAGATGACTGCAGGGCAGCATCGCCAAGCCGAGCTTGACACCTCAGTGGCAGGGGTTCGTCTGCAATCTCCGAAGGCACGGGTTGGGACCCCGAAGGGTTGTGGTGCACGGCATCCCCAAGGTCAGTTCAAGGGGAAGCACCGGCCAGCGGTCCACAAAATGCTTCGGGACCGTACAGTGTACGGCTTATACCCAAGATGGGGCCAGGCAACTGCTTCCAGCCAATGGAATCGGGAAGGACCGTCACAAGATCCAGGATTCCTTTCATGATTGCCATGCCTGAGTGTCGCTGGCCGACATAGCGCATGCCTATAGTGCAGGTCTCTTTCGACTGCGGCCAGAAGACAGCAGGCAACAAGGAAGGTCTTGTACCACAGGCCAATGTGGAATCGGTTAAGATAAGCTGAAGCTCCAAATGTCAGCCTCAGGCACAACATCCCAAAAGAAGTTGCGGTAAAAACACTGGCAAACACTAAGCGCCGTGCACACAAAGGCCGGCCGGAATGATGCCTGGACTCTACTTTCTTAGTCTTTACAGCCTCTCGACTGAAAGCGTGTCCTTCACTCCACTCCAGAGCCGAGCTGCCGGAAAGGTCCAAAATAAACATGGGGATCTTCACGTTGCCATCCCGGACCTTGACCCCAAGAGGCTGGACAACGCAAGCACAAGCACTTCCAAAAAGAACTGAGACCAGCCACCGCCTCGTTTTCTCCAGTTTCCCTTGGTCGATCATCAATTCTCCAGACTTCCGCGTCGCATCCGCACGAAACCGGGAACCCCATCTACGAGACACCATGTCGTACAGCAGTCCAAAAAAGCAACGACTCCAAAGGGTCCCCCCATGAACCAAAGCTGCGAATACAACTGCACATTACTGTATAAAGGCTCTTCGCACTTCCGCTTCAGAACAGCTGCTCGAACTGAACTCCAGGCCAAGGCTCGTCGCAACAAACAGGTGAGACACGAGATCGAACATTTCACCACCTGTCCAGGCTTCCGCTCTGTGCACCGGGCCTCAAGCAGTAGCTCTCTCACGTGCCTTCAACCTTGGCGAGCCCGACGGGCTGGTTGGACGCTGACCGCAAAGTTTCCAGCTCATCCTTGATACGGTCCTGCTCGGACTCAGAAACAAGAAACAACTGCCACTCACGCTTGCTGCGGCTGTGTTCAGCTGGCATCATTGCCAGACATTGAGTCTGTCTTGGAAGAAGAAATCGGATGTCAACGCCTACACAACTTGTAAGCAGCGACTGCAGGCAGTCCATGTACCGCACGTAGAGGGCTGTTGTCACGTGGAGCAGAAAGCTTTGCAGAGCGAAGCAACAGAAGAACAGGAACATGGGATAGAGGACGTACTTCGCCTCAGCATGCTTTCCACTTCTCAAAAACACCCATGTGTTTGTGCTCTTGAAAAATCGACAATTGCAAGAATCGGCGGGCCACCTGTACCTTCCAGTTCGTCTGCAGCCCTGCTTGATCCTCGCACATGCACGGCTCTCTCATGGCTCTGCCTAGTTATGGCCTTCTTGAAGCAGAGGTGGCCTCACCTGTGTGCACTCCCTCTCCTGCCCTACATCCGGTACGTAAAGTTCAGGAACTGTGAAAAGAACTTTGCCTACTTACGTTCGCCCATCTTCAAGGCTTCTTAGAGGAGGCTCCGTGAATGGAACGCAAGATAAAAGTGCAAAGCCGCATGGGGGAGAAACCGCTTGGGGATGGGGCCGAACCAGCATCGACGGCCTTGAAATCAACCAGTCGGGTGTAGGCTGCACAGCGCCTCACCTCGACGGAGAACTCACAACACAGGCGACCCAAAGACAAACCCTTCTGGGCACAAGAGGCTGCTGGACTGAGCCTTACACCGCCGCCAAGTCTATGCCTGATAGTTTACCTCGGGCTTAGGTGCAGTGTCTGAGACTTGCGTACGAAGCCCTGCCCTGTTGAAAGCCAAGCAGCTGTAGATCTTGGCCAAGACCGTCAGCTCAGCCGCTTTGTCAATACGATCATCCTTCAACAGCTGCTCGACCACGTCCTCATCGTGGCCAGAACACAAAGCTGTTGCAGCTCTTTGAAGGCTGTATGCACACAACAAAGCGAGACAAGTCTCCTGGGGATTCTCCATGTGTGCCTTGCAAGGCTCCCAGCAAACAAGAACAAAAGGGCCAGAGAAAGTCTCAAAACGAGATGCTGCAAACTCATTGAGCTGCTTCTTGAGCGTGGCCTGGCGAAGGTAAGAAAGACATGTGGATGACTTCACGAAACCGCTGCGCCGCTATGCCAGCCACCCTGGACCCACAGGCCATCTGCCCCAATCCTGCCTTCCGCTCAGTCTCGGGCTTTTCATCCTGGACGTGGCTGAGCACTCTTTGCTTTTGCTCTGAAAGACCCTTGATAACTACCTATACTATTTTGGGGATTCCGCACTATAATTACAGTATACTAGACCCCAAAGCCCTATTCTAATTGTCAAGGCCCCTAATATAGAACCCCAGTATAGATCCCTTATAGAACCCGTATAGAACCCCTTGAAAGGGACCCCATATTCTAATTATTTTTCCCACCCGCACAGCTGTAAGATCGCACCGCAGGAAAAACGTCCGAAAGTCACTACCGCATCCAGTCAAGAATATGAAGGCCCGACCCGGGCCTTGCCCTTCAGCAGAGTCATTAGCTCCCTGATATCTGCACAGGCGTTCGTCATGTCACCCTCCACTTTGAGCTGTGTTCCTGGCAGTAGGCTGGGAAGGCAGTCACACACCTTGAAAGCACTGAAATCACTAGCATGACTCGATAAAGGCGGCGAAACCCAAACACAGCTCCGACGCTGCCTGACTCCAGCTGAAAATTATCTTTTTCTTTCTGTCCTTCACAGAGACGAGCAAGGCTGACAGCACAACTGAAACCTGGGACGTGTTCCCGCTGGGCTCCCACCTGCCAAACTGCGCAGTGGACACACTGGATGCCGGGCGATCGCCAAACGTGCCTGCGCAAGAACTCGCCAAGGTCTTCGAATCACTCGGAGCATGCGTGGCCGCCATGTGAGAATCCATGATGTAAGCCTGCCTGCATGCCGAAGGGGTCGGCCTTGTCTGGCTTGAGTTGCCTGTTGCCTTGGGTTCGCAGCTGTAAACATGTTAGCCTGCACGTCGACATTCACGCGACGCGACCGGACCCTGCATGACTGCCTGCCGGAAGCCTGGCATAGGGCCGAGTGGCTTTCATGCACTCGGTGGATGGCCGTGGTCGTATCATCCATTCGTTTGTCCCTCTCCCGCTCCCCATCGGTGGGGCTTCGACCCACCGCATCTTCCGAACTCACGGCCATGTCCTCAAAGGTTTCAACATGAAATCTCAAAAGTCATTGGAGCGCCTCCTGTACCCAACTCTCTCGGAAAGAAAGGTCCGGCCGAGATTCTCGTGAGTTATTCCTTCTGGGCGACACTCTCAATCGGTCCATGTGGGACCGATCTTCGAGCAAAACGGCAGCAGAGGGCAGGGTTGCATTTGGACGGCAATGCCAGGGTTTGGGGTTTAGGGGTTTAGTAGTTTAAGGGCGTAGGGTTTAGGGTTGCCCTGTTTTCGGCAACTCTCATTTGGGGTTTAAACCTTCGGACCCACGATGAACAAAGACTAATTCAGCTGCACAAGCATGCAGGGAGCTCGTCCTCCAACTTCTCCTTAGCGCTTCTAAAGGAGCCCATCGCTCTAGTCCTTCTGCAGGAAGCCTTTACTTTCATCCCGGGCTCCCTGAACCCCCAACCTCTGAATAATGAAACTATAATACAACTATACTATCACTGCACTATAGCTAGAATAGAACTAACATTAACTAACTGTATAGTATAACTCACCCCAAAACCCCTGAAACCCGACCTAAACCTTCCGAGCGCAGCTGGGGCTCTCCACGCACGAAGACCAGCCCTGAGCGTCGAGGCGGGCGCGTGGGCCTTGGCGTCATCCCTTCCCTCGATCATCCGGACCCCCAAGGGGGGGGGTATATGGGTAGTTGTCAAAATTCTGGTCCCTTTTTGGGTACCCTAAATATTAGGTGCCGTACTATACTAGGGACCCAAAGAGGGACCCTAATTTTGACAACCACCCCTGTAGGGGGGAGGGGGTAGGGGGCCTTAATCCCCATAATAAGGACTTAAAAGAGGTCGATTTAAGGAAGCATAATCTCTTCCCTACAGATCTGAACATGATGCTAAAAGGCTTCTGGCCGAGGATCATAGCAAATCGGGCTTTGCTTGCTTTTGAAGCTTTAAGCGGTATCCCGTGTAACAATACTTAAGCTTGACAAACTTGCAAAACACGTTGCATTCTGCAGTGGCTATAGTCTGTAAATTCCTGTGAAAATGCGTGCGTGTGTGTGCGCTTGCATATGAAGGTCTTCACTTATCTGGCACATAGCATTACTGCAAGGTGGTCGGCAAAACCTTCCCTGCTGCAAGACACCGAGACCTCGCCGGAGCTGGGGTGGCGACACAACGCGCCAGATCTTTCCTTGAAGCAACATCGCAAACTACAGCAAGCAGCCTCTGAATCAAACCTGACCGCAGCAATGCAGTCGAGGCAGCCCATCAGGTGAAAGCAAAATTTACTCCATGCTGTTAATGCACTCAGCAACTAGCTCCCAAAGAACCGAGCGAAGGCCAGAATACCTTTCCATTTGTAGTGCTTGATTATACCGTCGTCGTTTGTCGGTTCGCTGAGTGTTTGTTCGTTGCAGCGCAAACTCACTCTCGCTGCAAGCCTGTCGCTGGCCACTGCGGCCTAGCTGCGGCTTGTAGCATCCGGCGGACCGTCAATCCACAGCTCGGCTGAGAGGTGCAGGGCCTCGGCTCATGATTGTCAGCGTAGTCCAGCACCAAACCAGTGAGCGGAGCTCGTGCTGCTGACAGTCCAAGCACTGTCCAAGCCCTGTGCGATAAATCCGTTTTCGCTAGGTCTCTCCATGCAATGGATGAAAGCTTCGATTCCGACCCTGGGCTAGATGACCATGTCCAGCCAACCAGCCATGACGGCGCCATGCGAAACAAAACCAAGGCCGTGGCAATGAAATGACTGGAGGGCTGCACCTACAGCTTCCGGTATGCCTGCTCGCGTCTTCAAAGAACTTTCCCAGTTCGAGGATACTGCCCGGCGCTTGATGTCCAGCAGTTCGAGGAGGCTGGGAATCTCCGCGCGGTTGGCCTCGTCACGAGGTCGAGGCTTTCTTGAAAAGACGTAGAGAAAGGCATGCCCGCCACAACGCCGCCTGAGATTCCTCATATTAATGCACCCAGCAACCTGCCGCTGCATGGTGGATAAGTGAAGTAGCCTGGACGTCATCGTCCTCGTAGCCATCCGGAAGCCAGCGTGGCTCCGGTGGCAGCAGGTAGAACTGCACCTATTGGTCAAAGACACGAGGAGCATGTTGTGGGTGCAAGCCTTGCGTGGAAATCAGCCCCAAGCCAAATCTTCAACTTTTCGTGCGGCACGGGCATCGTTGGCATCTCCAAGGAAGTTGATACCTGCAATGCTGAGGTCAAGCTTCCTGCAAACGCGAATAGCAGCATGAGGCAGTCAATTTAGCACAAATCCATGTGATCCGCTTTTTCGTCCATAGCAGCATCTTCAGGCTACTGTATTCCTCCCCATAGCTGTACATGCTCGATCAGTGCATCTTGCACGCACGTCGAGCGAACCAAGTTGCAGAGCGAGCCACCGGTGGGTGTTGTGTTCACAGCAACCCAAATGCACTGTTCAGGCTGGATGCACAGATGTACCTCTTACTACCTAGCAGCTTAACATCTCAGCGGGCATCCACAGCAACAGCAACTTGAAACTCGCGCACTGGAAGCTCGCCCGACTGGCTCTGCGAAACTGCGAGCCTGCTTGACACTTTACACATGGTGCCAGGGTGCAAATGTTACTCGTTGTATGAGCCTATGCTAACCGGGTTGCCCTTCTCACCATTCTTTTCTAGGACCATCCGGTCTGGTGGGCATACGTGAGTTGAAAGATGAATCCGCCCAAATGTCTGCAGTTTTAACATTCACGCACTCGGAAGCAGTGCTCTAGATGTCATGCGAGCATCCACTAAATTGGCCCTCAGTTCTCATGTCGGAGCTTCTTCCGCGGCGGCGCCGACTCCACGTCCAAGACTTCGAGGCTCCATGCCTTGAAAGCCGGGCCACGAACTCCGAGAATACGAAAAGAATCCCAAGGCTACTCCAAGGCTGCACGCTGCAGCGCCATAGTGATAAGAGTCGCAACAAAGCAACAGAGCCGTACAAGTTGTGGTTTTGGTTAGTAGTAGCAAGTGTGTAGCACTTCACTTGCCTTCGTCGCAGTAGCAATTGGCCTTGCCGCCGTTTTCGCTTTCATAGCCACTGTAGTGGGACAATGAAGACCAAAAGTCCCAACAAAAGCACGATGAACTTGTTGTCTTTTGATGGCCGTGACATAGAGTGGCCGAGGCACTACATAAAGTCATGAATTGGCTTCCGAAATCGACAAGTCATGCACGCCATCCCGAGAAAACCCATTTAAGCAGTGTATGCGGCCAGGATGCGGTTGAAAGGCCGACCTGGGCAAGCAGTGCTTGAAAGGCCTGCAAACGCTGCATTAACTGCAGTCTAGACACATTCTCGGCCTGCGGGACCGTGGGTGGAGGTTCCGACCTCAGCGCAGCCCTTACTAAGAGGATCCCCATTCACCGAAGCATAGGGCGAGCTGCGCCAAAGGCGCCCCATTCTGGTCCTCTGACATGAACAGAAGCCAATGCAATATGACATTCTGCATGGCTTCAACTGTCCTCGTCGTCCAGCTCCATGGCTGCAACCGTGGGCTGCGCTGTAAGAAGTGGCTCCTGAACCCCAGGGTTTCGGCGCTCACACTCGGACACCTGGGGTTTAGGGTTTAGGGTGGCTGTCCAACGTCCGAGCTGAACAGTGCCAGCTGCTGCCTACCAGTAGCTGATGATTCGCATCGCTGCATGGTCCCCGCATAAGCCAACGTGGGGGTCCTGCCGCGGCTTCTCACATTCCTGCAAGGAAAGCTCCGACTCTCGGACTCGCAGCTGACCATCTGGAACTGGCTCCTGAAACTCATTCGAGCTCACATTGCATCTTTTCCTAGGTGCGCCCTTTATCGCTCGCCGTGCAGGTCAAACACCAGAATGCGCCAATGCTCCAGACAAACCCGGAGGTTAGCTGGCTCTTGGCCTCCGTCCTTGGGTCCTTGAGCCTCTTTTTGCCAATAGGCTAATTTCACCATTGCAAGTTTCCAAACGCCCAATGCCTCGCGACAGGTGGCCGCCAGGGCTTCTTCCAAGGGTTTGGCAGCGCCAGGAAGGCCCTCCTCGAGAACCTCGTCCCACAGCTCAAGCCTGGAGGATGCACCAGACAGAAACAGGCATGGAATAACAGTGCATCTGATCTCCAACTTTTGCCATGCGCCTTGCCTGCGGCCCGGTTCGCTGGAGAGGCCTTTGCCCACCTCTCCAAGCTGCGTGAGCAAGGCTCGGGCGGCGGCAGAGCGCTGCTCGGCGGCCTTGAATGCATTCCTTGACAAACATGGGGCTGTCGAAACGGAGGGGGGCCCTTATCCCTGGACTCTATAACAGAAGCATCCTTTACTGCTTCGGGCATGTAGTATGGTCCATTATGCTCCCGACTTTCCTGAAACTCCTAAATGGCAGCCGCAACCACCTTTTGCTGCCTCCAAGGTCACTAGCACTGTTGCGGTAGTGTGAGACCTCCACGGCTACGACTACCTGCGGGTACAACGAGCTGGCATTTCTGCTACGACAATCGCTAGAACTACGATTTCGACGACGACCACTACCACTCCCGCTCACTCCCTTACTCCTGCTACCACCTTGTACTCCTGCATTCGCCTGTTCCTCCTACTACAGAAAAGTGCTACTGATGCTGCTGTTACTAGTGCCACTTGCTATCTGGGTACTCCCTCTCCTCCTCTTCTTCAAACCTGCGGCTGGTGCTGCCTACCCGCGAACTTATGATAGCGTGGACCGTCTGAACCAAAGAAAACTCAATCGGCCACGCGAGATTCCTCTTTGTCTCGGCATCGGACTGCGCAGCTGCCGCTTGACATTCCAGCTCAGTTCGCTTGTCTGTGGCATCCTCCAGCTTCGAACGGGCGCTTCGCTCATCTGCCTCTGCCTGCGAGAACACCAACTCGAATTTCGCCAAACAGTAGCAAGAGCCCTGAAGCCTCCAGGGCCCCTTGGCCCTGCCTTCGCGAGAGCTTCTCTGCTTGCCGTCACATCCGCCTCCAGCTTCTCCCGGCTTGAAGCGATCACCTTGCAAAACGGGCCCAAAAGAACGAGGGGCCTTCCGCCTTTGCACAGATTCCACCTGGAGCTCATCCTGGAGCCGCTGGCCCTCCTTCGTGCCAAAAGCAAACTGAACTGGGTTCCGCAATAAGATACCTGTATACTTTGCATGCTGCTACAAATCAATTCTGAGCGGCCATATGCGTCGCGGGAGAAACTCATGCATAAGTACTGGCGGCTTGCTAGCGTGTGGGTTTCCATGGCATGCATGCACGCATAAATGGCTGTCTGTCTGTCCGTCTGCCGGTCGTTTGGTCGGTTGGTCGGTTGGTCGGTCCGTCTGCCTCTTCCGGCGTCCAGCGCCCGGCTCGACGTGAGACTACAGAGGATATAGTCTTACACATTTTGCCACGGGTGCTTGTTGCTGTTGTTGTTGTTGTTGGCTAGTTCTGCCTCCTGAGGTTTGGGGTTGGAAGGTTGAGGATTGCGTGTGTTAGCGACTCTGCCTATATCGCATGTAGAACTTTTTGTACAGGACAAGTGGGTCAGGGCAACATCAGCGCCTTATCAGTGTACATCACTTCAGCACGTATTGAAGTCCTTCTATAGGTTCTTATGCTTTGGCGTGTTAAGCTTGCATTTCAGCAGACAACAGCATACATGCAAAAAAAGAAAGTTCGATGTTCAAGGTTTCTGGGGTTTGTACTGTGATTTGTTTTCGCCTGCAATAACTGCAGATTGCCCATTTATGTAGATGCCGCCATGCATGTATGTCATCTATGAATGTACGTGAGCACGTATGCATGCATCTATCTCTGTGTGCGTTTCAGTTTTATGTACTGCCCTTCGTCATTACATGATGCTGTACTACGTGCCCTGTCCGGGGTCCTCGCTTGCACGTTCAGCATCTTGCTCAGCCTCGAGCTGCTGCTGCCGAATCAGCCTCTCCGCCCACTCCTCCGAAGATTCTCCGGTTCGATTTCGAGGGCTCTTCCCGTCCTCCCTAGGAGGCCTGGCAAATCCCTAGGGTGGTGAGGAGCCAGGTGGGGCCGGAGACAGCAAGGGCAATGCAATAGTCCGAGTTACTCAGGCTGTTCACTCAGGTTCGGGTGATACCTCTGGATGACACTAAACACACGAGATGTATTCGGTTTCTTTCGAGTAATCCCCAGCGCAGAAGAAAGCATCATGCACACACCGTGACTGCTAATCTGACAGTCCAACTGATGCCAAGGCCCTTGTCCTGCACCTGCTTGGCCCGGACTTGCAGCTCAGCCAGTTGCTGTCGCAACTTTTGTTGTGCCTGATATCGGGTGGCATTCTGCGGGAAAACCTGGGACTTGAATGAAGCCTACATGTACAAGCTACAATTCACACTGTGAGACTGCAAAGACACGAGGGTTCAGACTGTTGCGATCTCTGGCGGCGCTGCCTCCCCAGCCAATGTCAAGTCCTCTCGCAGCTGCTGCTGCTGAGCCTCGTCGCGGACAGTGGCGTTGGTTTCAACTCTTCTTCTACTCCTCTTCACACAGCTACAAGCCGCTCGATTCGGGGAAGGAATCGACATGCACAAACTCTTTGGGTCTGTCCAGGACCAGAGCCTCTTGAGCGCTGTTTTGCATCAGGTCAACCTCCCCACCGTCTCCTAAGAAAGATCCGAACCCTCCGTTACTTTCATCGGCACCTCGAGATCCTCGCATTGCCGGCTCCGCTCTGCCAGCTCCTCTCATTGACGTTGAAAAGCCCTGAGCCAAAGTCATTCAAAAGGAACGGCCGACACAACCAGACCAATGCTGCGACGGCGATACAATGTTCCCGTTCACCTTAACCGCCTCCATCTAGTCGCACCCCCACCCCGCCGTCCTTTTCAGAAGTTGCGTGACGTCCTCGAAGTTCCTCGTGGGCGACGGTTAGCTCCTTCAGCTGGCGCGCCTGCTCAGGACAGACCAGCAGACGTTCAGAGGGTCAAAGCAAGGGACCAACTTCTCCCTGCCTCTACCCGGAGGCCCTCCACCTCCTCACCAAGCTTGTCCTGGGCTTCCTCGGCCTCCTCGAAGGCTTTCACAAATTTTCTCACCGCAGGGAGGAGGGAGCTTGCAAGTACCTCTCATGCAGGGAGCGTTGATATGCGAGGTCAACCCGCTGCGACAGGTCTGACGGTCCGACGGTCTAACCACATCCCTGCCCAATTCTCCGACGATGCTGGCAACTGCCGGCGCTTAGCCGCATACTTGGAGGATCATGGGACTTAGTAAGGTTATAAGTACCTTAATTGGGGTTATAAGTATAGTTACCCTAATTATAACCCTAATTACTAAGTCCCATGATCCTTTAAGTAAGACCACACGAAGAGGTCGTTCCGACAGGCACCACTCCTCTCGTCGAAGCCGCTCCTCCTCGGCCTGGCATCAAGCGCGGGGCGAGGTGCGGGGGCTGGCGGGCGATCCGGGATGGGGGGGGTTTAACGCGAGCGTCAGTAAGTTACCCGTAGTATATGGGTAGTTGTCAACATGATGGTCCCTGTTTAGGTACCCTAAATAATAGGTGCCGTATTATATTAAGGACCCAAAAAGGGACCCTGATATTGACAACCGCCCAAAGGAGCCACTACAGGGCCCCTCGTCTGACAAGGCCTTCGGCGAAACCATGACCCGGCTCAAGCAACATCTATCCGAACATGCATTACAACAGCAATAGAGGAAGATTGACCGGCACTTGAGGCTTTGTGTTTATGGCTTGACCTTGCAGCTAGACCCCTGCATGAATGATATACCTCGTGAAGCACCAAGTACAGATCCTGGCCTGCTGGCGGACTTTGCGCAGCTCTAGGCTGAGATTTTCAACCTGAGACGCAGCACAGATAAGCACAGCAAACGGGCACACCACCCAGAATGTGAAAACAATCAGGCTACACAGGATACATGCAAATGCCAGTTCAGAAATTGAAAAGCAGTCGAGTCTCGCGATTACGTTCTTCATCCAGCTCGCGCTGGGAAACCTTTCGGCTTGAGCTTAAAGAGGCAAAAACATCGGTTCCCATCGGTCCCCTAGTTGAGCTTGGAGACTAGCAGGTCAGCTTTGAGCTTTGCTTTGCTCTGCTGCTCCTGGCAGCTGCTTCTGCGGAGAAGAAACCAAACTGATATAGGGGCCTTAGTAATTGGAACAGGGGTTTAGGGCATGATATCTTATAATGAAAATAATGAACCCTAAGAATAGTGTTGGTAATTATTTAAGCCCGTATGGTAGTGTGCAAGCACCCGTTTCTGCGCTCCTGAATTGACAAGTAATGGGCAAAGCGGTTCTCCCCCTGTGCCACCGCGTCAGGCAGTCGCTTTGGATCAGGCGCCGTTGCGGGAATGTCACCTCGAAGAATCCCGCCACTTCCAGCGAAAAGACCCGGAGCTGCAAGACACCACAAAACACGATAAAAAAAAAAGTGGAGACTGTCAGGTTCCAACTCTGTGCCAAAGAGCCGGGATCCTCCCTGGGCTCTTCGAGCTCTCCATGGAAGACCAGCTTGTACTGGATGCGAGGTCCCGGCTCTACCCCATCCTTTGGCTCGACCTCGGCGCCCGGCTTCTGCCCCGCAGGCCCAAAAAAAGGGTTCCTTTTAGTAAATTTTGAATTTTAAGGGGTACTTTATCTAGGGTTCCAGAATAGGGTTCTATTAAGGGGTACTATAGGGTTCAATAATAGGGTTCCATTTTAAGGGTTTGGGGCTTCGGGCCTCTGCATCAAGTGGTTTGGTGAGCGAAAGGATGTCTCCATCGGCTAGCCGACACCTCTGGCCCTTCTGCAGCTTCCTGTCGTTAACGAAGCTGCCGTTCGTGCTGCAGTCCTGCATGTTCAAAGAAGCAGAGTAACTCAATTCTCGCGCTGATATGCTCGTTCTCGTGCCTCAAACTCAGGGGGGCGGCCAGCAGTGCAGTGCAAAATGCAGTGAGTCCCACTCACCTGAGCGGCAGAAGGGCAGTGGCAACGAAGCCATGCAATGCTGGTGCAACACACAACACGCTCTGCCGCCAAGTTGCTGCAAGATGAGGACACACGAGGAAGTTGTTAGGGCGCCGCCTCCAGTCAGTACAGTACGTGTAGCTCTCAAGATGACCGCTGAAAGCCCTTCGCACTTCAGAGCAACTGCCGGCCCGATGGGGGCGTCTCCGTCGCAGGGAAGTGGCACAACTTCTTCATCGACCGCATGGAGTGGCAGCAACTGCCACACCATGGCTCTGCGGACAGCTTTTCAGTGCAAGGTGGTGCAAGAATTTCTCCTGTCTCTTGCTCATGGAAAGCATTGAACAGCCACGATGGAGACAGATGTGCATGGCAAGGCAAAATTGAATGTGCTCGACACGTGGCACGACCCCTCCGGCCCCGTCAGAGTCTGCAGAAGAGAGCATGCCATGTGCACATGCTCCAGCAACAGGCAAAAGCTTCAACGAGGGCATGCAGCATCAGAAAAGTGCAGAAGCGCACCAATGTGCTCGAAAAGCCATGATGTGTAGAGGGCACCTGCCTCGAATTTACCAAAGACGTCTCATGCAATGGCAGCAATGGGTCCATCTGTCTGCCAGTGACTGCAATGAAAGGGCAAGTCTAACTGTCACTGAGCACTGGGCGTGGTAGGTCCGAAGCTGCCGAAGGCCCTGTGCGAAAGCGCAGCACAGCTGCACAAAATGGGCAAATCACCACGTGCCCTGCCTGGACATAGCCATCTGAGCTGTTGGATGTGCAGAGGAACTTCGCCAAAGGCCGCAGGGTTTCGTTGACGAAGAAGTTCTGCGAGAATGGGCGACGGACAGCTTGGCCGGCTCAACCGGGAAGGGCAGGTGCCAAGTCAAATCCTACCTGCCCTGCATCGTCCAAAGACCCACTTGCCTCGAGCTCCTTCCAAGCAGGTGACCCTGATGCGTACGGGCGCAGCGCCGTCATGACCTTGGGCACCAGTGCTATGACAACACAAGGCCGGCCCCACTGACCATAACCGCCTGACTACCTCGAGCGATCCAGCTGCATTGCTCAAAGAGCAGTAAACACACACGAGTCTGCGCCCGCGGCTGAGACCAGCTCCTCTCCAGCTGCCTCCACATGACTTGAAGCAGCAAGTCGGACTGCACGGCACAAGCACAAGTGGACCGATTGACATAGGTGTCTATTTGTCTGTGCATCTGTGCAAGTGTGTAACTGTGTCTGTGTGTCTGCGTGTCTGTGTAAGCATGTACATGTTTAAGTGTCTGAGTGTGTAAGCACATCATTGTACCAGTGTGTATGGCATATGTGTGTATGTGAGCATGTGCTGTATGCATGTATGTGTGTGTCATCCTTGTTCAAAAGGGCTAAGCAAGTATGAAGTTTGCGAAGTAGAGCAGCGGACAGCAGGGGCACCGCGGGCTCCAACAATTCCGGTGCTGTGATACGAGAGCTGATCACTCCCACGCACCTGCATTGATATGGCAAGGGGCCAAGCCAAGGCAAAATAGGATTCTGATGGCATTCGATTTCTGACCTTTGAGCACAGTGCTTGCTCATATGACGGTCTCGACATGTCAGTCATGCAGTGGATGTGAGCCTTGAGTCCTGTAGTCTAAACAGCGACAAAGGAGCAAATGAGCAAAGAGAGACCAGCTAGACAAATCAGATAAGCGAGACAAAACAAAAAAGATCCACATCACCGACGACATGCCAGGTCACGAGATCTGATGCAAGCGTGTGTGCATGTGCAGGCGTGTGAGTGCGCGTGCATGTGTCGCGCATGTCAGTGTGCATGTGCGTGTGCGTGCATGCCTATGCGTGCGTGGGGGGGGTGCCCATTTACTTGCACATGTGGGGGCAGGTGTGTGTGTGTGTGTACAAACATACATACATACATATATATATATATATATATAGGTAGATAGATAGATAAATAGATAGATAGATAGCAGTGCGATGCTTGCTGTATATAAATATATACATACATTGACATATTTATAGAGATATATGTATGTAAGATCTGTGTGCGCGTTTGCTTATATGTGTACGGGTGTTTATGCATGTGTGTATGTATGTATGTATGTATATATGTATGCATGCATGTATACATGTATGTCGGAATGTGTAAGAATGTATGCGTGTGTACATCATGTAGATGGTGCTCAATCTGTTTATGTAACTACCTATCCAAACGTTGAATTCTTGTACCTATTTACATCATATGTATTCCTTCTTTCCTATATGTACTTCTATCGACGTCCGGTTCATGTATTTAGGCGAGCTATCAAACTAAGTACACACCCATGACCATCACGAAAATCATGCTATGCTCTGCATGGGTACACCATTCCGAGAGTTTGAAGCACCTTCTGCCAGAAGGTCATTGGTCTCGAGCTGCACCATTGCACCTCAAAGCGCGAAGCAAAGGCCAGAGGATAGCATTGGTGTATGCCGTAGCTTCAGAACTGGGAAAAGCCGGGCGAGGTTAGGGTGTGATATAGTCTCAGGCAACAGAACAGTCTTATGCAACATCGCTGGGGATCGTCTTCTGCAGGGGTTCGGCAAGCGGCAGTACTGTTGGGGCCCGAGCTCTGTCGCGCCCAACAGTCATGCATGAGCGTGCAGTGTTGGAGTAAGCTCGAACGAGAGAGGCACTTGGCGGGGCCTCTTGTTGCCACAAACGGTGGAGTGAAAGTGAAAGTGTCTTGCAACAGATCCCAGTAGATTGGAGGGTGTCCAGCTTTCCCCCCTGCCGTCTCTGAGCGCTCAGCCATCGTGGAGAAGAAGCCAGCATCGGCGTAGTTTGCATGGTCGAAACCCCAAAGCCTAAGAACCGTCGTCGGCAGGTGTTGAGAGAACGGAAATCGCTTGTAGAAATCTCTGGGAAGCGTCATTCGGGCCATTCGGGATGAGGGAAAAAGCCCAGCAAATGCCACACGACTCCCTTGTTCAGAATGGGCTTGGATTGTGCGCCTACCAACACTCTTCAACAGCAGCGCCTTACGCCCTCGAATCCCCAGCGTCACAGCATGCTCCAGGCAGCAGCCCATGTCTCGGGAGCCCGCATATTTGCCAGCTGCTGCGTGCTGAACTCACTGAGGCGCCTGGACTCCACCAAGATCTCTTCGCTGTGATATCGTTGGTGTACATTCAGGTATCTTTATAGGGGAACTATAAGGGATACATAAAGGTATCTTTAGGGGCGGACCATAAGGGGAATAGTGTACATTAAAGTATCGATTATTGGGGAGCCATAAGGGGTTGGCTGGTACGCATGGCTTGCCTGGTAGCTCAAATACTCACTCCCCGTTGGAGAGGGCGGCTCCGTCCATCATCATCATCATCATCATCATCAACTGCTTGTTCGGTCCCGAACACTAGCCGAATCGAAATGCAAGGCCACATGAGTTAGCTCGGATTTGGTGGCACTGCCTTGACCTGTGATACCCATACTGTTAACAACGTCAACCCCGGAGCACTGGCATCTCCATCAAGATCATTCCTACTACAAGCACTTGGCTTGATTTCCACTACTCGGCTACCACGAAGAAGCGAGCTTACCACTCCCGTGGATTTTAAATTCCCCTAGCGACTGCGGTCTTCTTGGTTCAGAAACTGACCTGCGGGGGAAAGTACAGAACGATATCACTTTATCATTCGGGACACTTGGGGAGGTGGGGGGAGGGGGCTAAGATACTATACTCTCCTAAGGGTCCCTCTGACTGTATCGGCCCGGCCTCAGAGCTGTCACCGCAATGGCCTTGAGCAGCTGTGAGTCTGGCCTCGCATGCTCCAGCCACGCGAAGGACCTGGGAGTTTCGTGTCAGGTGGCTGCTTAATTCTACGGATCCTTTTGCGGGCTGCCCCTAATAGTAAGGATCCCATTGTTGTCGTGCTCCCCTATGAATTCCATCAGCTTCTTTGTAAGTCGTGAGTGAATCTGTTCACCCACCGGCAAAACGCCTGCCACTGGATTACGATGACTATAACTATAAATTGTAAACGCGTTCATACCGCATGAGCAGCAACGTGTGCAGGATGCTGTTTTTTCGACTCTGCTCGTTCATAAAGACTTCGCGAATCAGCGGTCGAGGACCAAAGACCCGGAGGGAGGCCGATGAGAACCTGTTGTACCTGTCTGCAGGGTGGAACGTGTGAAATTGCTTCCACGTTGTAGAGATGACTCGGGGCATTGTTCTCCAGCAGACAGCTTGCAGACTCCGGTCGAGGTTTTCTAGTCTAGTCGTCCGTGGGGGAAGCAATGGTGCATCCGAGATCATGTCGGATTCTGTTTAGAGCACATACAAGGAGAAGGACGCACGAGTAAAGCAGCATGCAGCCCGAGCCTGGACCACGTGGGCATCTTCTCTCTGCGTTGCCACCAGGCACCACAGTCGGTCGGGAGCTGCTTCTCAGCATCTTTGGCATAGTCTGCAGCCAGCTCGAACACGTCATTACCTGAACTGCGTTCAGGCGGAAGCTTCAAGGAGAATGCAAGCAGTAACCAAGTCCCTTCGTGCAGGCCGAGCTTCAGCCCTCCGCATCCTTGCACTGTGGGAATGTCACCAGAAGGTCGCCCTCCACAAAAGCGTCGCAATCCATGGTCAAGGCATTCAAGGCATCGTAGGCATTTAGCTCGAACTGTGGCACGATGGCAGCATGCCGATCAATGGGGTCTGGCTCTCCAGCATCGGCTCCTGTCTGCGTGGCTTCCAGTGCCTGTCCTCGGCACCAGATGATCCACAGCTACTTGCCCTGCCCTTAAAACAACTTCCGGCTAAAAGAACTTACTGCATGTTAACCACAAACTGCGATCGAGGTGGAAAATGATGATGCCAGGTTTGTAACTCGGCCACTGTTCATGAGGTTAAGGATCATGGCATCCTGATCCCCAAAAAGCTGGAGCTCCACGTGCGCAGCTGTCAGTGCATCGTGTAAAAACTTCATCGACCAAGCGCTGTGCCGAATGATCCAGTTTGCAGAGCTGAGGCCCCATCCTTCTTCAGTAATGAGCAGGTTCACCTTCATGGCAGCTGCACTCTGCCGACGATAACCCTAGTCAACCCGCACAGTCTCGACCTGTTGGCTACTGCAGACAACGACACTCGCAACTCGCAAGACCAGCATCCTTCATGTCCTTGTACCTTGCAAGGTTTCGTGGGTTTGGGGCCCCTTGCCTCAGGATCAAGCAAGCTCGCATTGCAGCCCGGTCCGGGCTCTCTGCAGGGCTCACGGCAAGGCTCCATCTTGTCCTCCAGCTGGTGTATCCAAACGGCTCCATTGTCCCACTTCAGGCTCTCCGCTTGCCTGGGGCTTCCCTCGCCGTCCTTCCAAACAATGCTGGCCTGCAGAGATCCGCCCGGAAAGTCCATCTCCAAGCGGCCATCCACCAGCCTCCCTCCGGAACGGCCGATCTGCTGTGCCTCGGCCTGCACTTCGTCACTGTCACTTTCTCTGGAGATATAAATAGCCCCTTCCTCTCGGTACTCATCCGCCACCCAGGAGTCGAGCCACTTTCCGGTCAGCAAGTCCAGGTCTTCAGCATCCTCATCCTCTCCGCATACGGGAGCAACTTCCGTGTCTGACCCTCGCCCTTGCTTGTATTGAGCATACTGGTAGATGACCGAGTCCAACGTGCGGTTCATATTCATGATGATGGAATCGCAGTCGAGCCATGCCACCCAGTCATACTTATTGGACTGGAGGTAGGCAAGCACTGTAGCCAGCTTGGCATGTTGTACTCCCAACCCATGTGCCCCAATGATGGGGTGCTCCAGGTGAAGGCGCAGGGAATAACCATGGTGCTCAGCATAAGCTTCGCGATTCGAAGGCGTGAGCCTGGGCAGTGCCAGCGGATGATCTTCCGGGTATGCGCAGATGGAGACCACGGCGATCTTCAGTGTTGGATCACGAAAGGAGGGGGCAATCGGCACCAGGTTCCGAAACTCTCGCCGCAGCCTTTGGTCATGACCCCGGCGCATTTGCATAATTGCCGGTATGATATGATGCTCAGTCACCCCCCAGGCTTTAGCGGGGGCCTCGGGTATACGATTTGCATTTCGGAGAGTGAAGATGAAAACAAGCGCCAGCTGCAAAAGCCGGTATGCCAAGCCAGTCAAACCCTCCGGCGCACCGCCTGCAAAGCCGAGAGTGTCGACAGCTGTCGGGGAAATGAGTCTTGCCAAGATATAATATCCAGCCACCACGCCCACGTTGCAGGAGAGCACCTCCGTCACGTTTGCAGTTCGGGCCAAGAGCTGCTCTGCCAGGCCAGCTGCTGCGGCGCTCCTCTCGTTGGAGTCCTCGATCGCCGTGGCCCGCGCAGCAATCTCGTAAACAGCATGATACGTCTTCCATTCAGACGTGTCGATAGCACAGGACAAGTCCAAGTCGTCATCAGCCGCATCGGCTTCCACAAATGCTAGAAGCACACAAAGGAGTTCAACAGGGCGCCATGGAAGCATGCCGGGCTGGACCGCTGGAACACTGTCCCTGGCAGTAGGAAGACCACCTTCGTTGAAGACTTCAGCTTGTCTTGTTTAGGGTGATTTTGGCCGCATCTCGCTGTGACGCGTCTTTGTTGGGCTGACTTGCTCGCTGCATTGTTACGTGGGCTGCTGCTGGACAATGCCAACGCATCTGATGGATGCTACATAATATTACGGGAATAGCCCACTTCGTAAACTCATGGAACGCCCCTGAAGCTCTACGAACAAGACGGATTGGGCTGTCCCCATCTTGCAATCCTTAGAGACAGACCAGCAGCAAAGAGCCAAGTCCAGCGGCACCTTGGAGGCAAGAAGCACGTGTGCGCGTTTACCTTTGCGCCGCTGGCCAATCCGGCCCAAGGCCCCAGCGAAGTCCGGGGCCTCTTCTTGAAGCAGCTGCAGTGCTCTTGCCTCTGAATTTCCAAACCCACATAAGAGCTCACCACTGACCAGCTACCCGAGCCAAACAGCTGTGCACTTTTCAACGATCCGATCCTCCAGCGCGTTGAACAGCACATCGGCCCGGCGCCCAAGCCTCATTCAGATCCGGAACTCTGGCGGCTAGGCGGCAGCTTCGGTCGAGGATCCGACGTAGCATATGCCCAGGCGGTGTTGGCCACCTTCACACGCTCTGCAACCATTCTCAGCAACAAACCCTCTCTGACCCAAGGCAGGTGCATGCTGCGGGGAGAAACGGTCCATCTTTCGCAAAGCCTCAACATGTGTTTGCACTTATAATTGGCGGCAGTCATGCCATCACGTACGCATCGCTCACATCCTTGTGTCTCATCCAGATACTTTGTGCAGCTGCGGCGAGAGCATGAATGCATATCTGAAGAAATGACCCCCCACGATTCCCATAACCACAGCAGCCTAACCCTGACTGCCTCACCAGCAATGTGGTGCATCAACCTCGGCCCAAGAAGAGCATTACCCACGTTGGCTACATCGAAGTGCCCTGCAATTCAAACTCACAACTGCGAGATGTGCAAACAAACATGTTGCCGCTGCTCTTGCCCGAACAATCTTTGGGCGTGCCCTGTCTGACATGTAGCATCTAGTCTCCGAGTATTGTCACCACCACCGTACAAGTGCTGTGCATGTATCTTCTTCCTGATGTCCTAACACTTGTGCTCGAGCAACTCAGGCGAGATTCTTCACCACGCATGGGAGAGCGGAGTGCTGAACATGCTGCCTGCTACGAAGTTAGTCTCTTAGTTCAAGCACTCTTAAGGCGTTCGGGAGGGTGTTGATGAAGATGGCGGGGATGATGAAATCGGAACAATCGCCTGGGGCTTCAATCTGTCAACTGTATCTACTTCGTCTTACCCCACAAACGCGGCACTAAGGCCATTTCCGCTGGGTCCTAATTGGAATTTTGCCCAATCGCATGGCCACCAAGCCAAGGCTGCGGCACGTCGTCCTTGAAACGCATTGTTGCCTGTGTCCGTCAGCGAAAAAAGTGTGTTACTCCCCAAGCACTTTTTCATCTGCCTACCAGGCGCGATGCAAGTACAGCAAAGTTGTCAGAAGTCCCCTCTTCCGAGAACCTCTCTCCCGCACCCCACGCGCCCCCCCATTTCCGGCTCACATTTCTGAGAGACTTTTCATCCGCGACAGTGCCGAGACGGATCATGCGAAATGTTCCAACTTGCCGTGCTGTT